CTACAAATTTTGCAAATATTGGGTAACATGATCGATATACCTGTTGTTATCTGTGTGACATATTAAACAGATGAATTTTTGTATGAAAACATAAAATTACAAAGTTTCTGTGAAAGTGATATCATTGTTTATTTTAATACATGCATTCCACAAACTATAGGCACCTGTTCTTTAATTGACTTCTCAGCAAACATGGGTTCCAACTCTTTAATTGGCTGAGCGACCAAAACCCTCCATACCCCATGAGCCAATCAGAATTCGCAAACGTGCCTCGCAGCCACATTGAGACCTTTTTTGGATGTTTTTACCAGTACCCACAAACAAATATATAAATGTGTAAAATGTGCTAAAATATAACCTAATTTTTTTCCAAAAATTTATTCTAGGATGAAAAAAATTTCTCAGCACAATATTTATGCATATAACTTTTTAACAGGAATGACTCTGAGCTAACAGCCAGTCTGGCAGAAGAATCAACATTTTTATCAAAATCGCCAATGTAAGTTTATCATTTGAATACCAAATTCTTCTTTATTGTTTCTCGTATTTTGTTGACCTTTCTTATAGAGCTTGACTTACAAATTTCTTTTTTCTCATGTTACTTACAGGACTCATCTCGAAACAAATGAGGATATAACAAAGAAATCAGATCTGTATCAGGAAACTTTGGAATCTTTGTTGCCCTCTGCAGTTCCTAAACAACAATCAATTGGTACTGATGAAAGTTCGTTTGACTCTGTTGCCAATCTAATTGCTGAGAAGGTTGCCAAAATAATTCAGAAGAATGGGCCAAAAACATCATCCAGTACTGTTGATACGAAATTAAATTCCTCAAATTTAAATGAGTTTTTGGAAAACTTCCCAGACTTTAAAGTTATTAAAGACGAAGGCATGGGTCACATTCTCAAATGTACCCCATGCAGCAGTTTTATTGCAAGCCCATATGACAAGAGACCTCCATCGAGAAGAGGTAATATTTCATCTGCTGGGTCATTAGCAACTGGACTCACTCTCAGTTTTGACACCTATTCAAACTTGTGTTTTGGACATTGCCAAAAATGGTTTGATTTGAAGTTCAAGCTACAGAAACATTTGTCCTCAGAGGGGCATCTAATGGCCTTACAGCATGCAAAATTATTGAGAAAAGGAGAAAAAAGACGGTCATTGGTAGTAAAAAACCAATTAAGGACAGCATTGGGAGTTGTAAAATCAAAATCTGCAGCTCTACATTATGAGACAAGGCTAGCAGAGTTATATGCTGCTGGAGTTGATGTTGGCGACTATGGGCACTCCAGAAAACTCTTTAATGCAATGATAAAGGCCACATGCAATTACATTGACATGAGAACAAAAAGATTCCTAAAGATGCCTCTTCCAAACACAGGTATGACTCCACATTTCTATGTGACAGCAGACAAATCAACTAATCATAGAATTGTCAACCAAGTCACTATGGTGTGTCTAGTAGTAGATGGAGCTCGCCAAGGAATACCTTTGAGCATGTCTCCAGTTTATTTTAACTCAGAGGGAGACACTGGTCGTGGAAGCGATTTAGCTAAAGCTGTCATTGATGATTTAAAGAAGAATGCTGGTATAGAAGAAGATCAATGGATGCAGGTTCAAGGAAGAGTCACTGATGGACAGTATATCAATACTCCATTTGTTGCTGCAATGAATGAACCAATCATGAAAGCTATACAGACGTACGAAGATGAAAATTCTGTCAACTTGTCCCACATTAAAGATGAATTCTGGTGGCCAGTTCAGTGGGACCCAGCACACTGGCTAGACAAAGTTTTCAGTGCTCACAGGAATACTGACTTTGTTGAGCGCTTACTTAAGCGAACAGCACAGTATCATCAAATGTTTAAGCATGGGAAGTTGCACACTGTTGCAAAAGAAACTGCTAGAGAGCTGTCACTTCCATTTCGTGTAACAAATTCTTATGCTAACCAAAGATTCATGAGCTCTAGCTATCTTTCCTTGAAGAACTTGGCCATTTCTTTAGAAGCTTATATAGAGAGCTACAAAGATCATGATAATCGAGAAGATCTTGGTTATAAGCTATGTGGCCAAGACTTTTGCTTTGATCTTCTTGGGCTTCTTGATCTGCTATGGCCTTTGGTAACACTAATGTTAGAGGGTCAAGCTCAGTGGTGTCCTGGATGGAAGTTTGCTGGGTACATCCCAAAAGCCAGAGATGAAATTATTAAGATCATGATTGAAATTGGAAAAGAATCCCCTGCAAAAGAAATTTGCAAATGGCTTGGTGACAGAGGGGAGGAAATTAGAAACATGAAATATGGTCACAGCAGTCTTAAAGTTGGATGGCTTGTTGTGGAAGAAAAAAAAGGAATGCCTGTAAGCTGGGAAGCACGAGAGATTTCTGATTGCATTAAAGATCTTCAAGACTTTGGAGATAAGATGTTAAAAAGTCTTGATGAAAGGTTTCAGAAAAGCTTCCCAAAGCTAAATCAAATTCTTCATGAGTGTTTTGACTTTGGCGTTCTAATGCAGGGATTGACAGGAAGAAGGTCAAATTCAAAACAGCATCCAATAAACAAAAGCAAATTTGCTTCTCTTGGTATGGATGCTTTCAAGAGATGTGTGCAATTTGTAGCTGACTTGCCTCATGTTAAAGACAAAAATTCTGAGCTAGATGAGCAGTTTTCCTTTACCATATTTTGGCAGCTGAAGTCAACCCTTATAGAAGTAATTTGGGGACGCCTTTTTTACTCTCATTTCCCCAAGTTTTTTCAGAAGGTAGAAACATTAGATGGGAAAGTAGAAACTGCATCTTTAAAGAATGATTTACTGGATGAAAGTGTTTTCCTCTTGCAATTTCAGCAGGTCAAGCCAGATTATTTTACACTAGCTGATGTCTTCGAAATAGTGCTGAGCAATGGTGACCATTTCACAGTAAGCCTTGTTGAAAATGAGATTATCAAGTCGTTGTACACTGATGTTGAGTTCTATTCTTTAGTTGGACAACCTTTCTGCTTGATTTTTGACATAATGTATTCAAAAACTGGAACTGAATCCGTTGTTGAATCATTTTACCGAGTAGTTGAACAGCAAGAAATGGATGGTGGTCAAAGTATAGCGATGCTTGGCGCACGAGCAAAGGTTGATTGGTGCTTGCCTCCTGCCATTCAATGTGAAGATGCACTCAAGAACATTGCAAAATTGTATATTGGAGGTGATACAGAAGCTGGACTGCCTCGGCATTATGTGCCAGTGTATTCTGACTCTAGCCAGCAAAAAAAGAATTTGACGGGACTTTCAAAGGTTCTTGAAAGAGTAAAGAGTCAACATGTTAAATTGCCATTTCTTTTTTAAGTTCAGTGTGTAAATTATCTATGATTGTAAGCTAACTATATTGCATTTTTGGTGCTTTCAATTTGACAAATAGCCCTGACAACAATAAGACATTTCAAGGGACACCCTGTAGAGTGAATCATTTCTGCATAAACATTCAGTTATAGCATTTCCATAAAGCATCCAAGACCCTCAACAAGAAAAGAACAAACGTTTGCTTGTGAAACCCCTTTTAAGCAACTTAGCTCTTGGCACCTTAAAGATCATCGAACTACACAGTGTTGGAAAAAACTTTTGCTACCTCCTCCCTTGAAAAGTCACAATATATTGTACTTTAGTGAAATACTTATCAAATGTTTTGTTAAATTATTCAATTATATGCAGATAACTAATTTTTAGAGTTACTAATCATAAATTGTTGATTGTTGGGATTTGCTCTATATACTAAGATTCCACATAGATAGTATTCATTCTAGGTAGCGATATTCATTCCACTTATAATATTCACTCTAGGGCTTAGGCCCCCCCCTCCCCCAAAACAAATTTCAATCACGGTTGTCTGAACTTTTTGACTGGTCTTCTGGACCTTGCAAAAATAAAAAATTATGTTCATATGTAATGTCAATATCAACCCCTTTTAAAAAATGTTAGTTCTCTGACTTTTCTTAAAACAGCTTTTGTAGCAGATTTTTCCCTCCCTTTTCCTTTGTTTTCGTTTCTTCTTTATTTTGTTTCTTTATAAAAATCGGCTCGTGTGGCATACTGTTTTTTACCAAGTTTAAGATTAGACTTTAATTTGAGTGTTCTTGTGTTGAAGTTTGTAAGAAAAAAGATTAATGAAAATCTTCAATTGTTTGAATTTTGGTTCTACCTCAATCCAAAAATACCGTTGAAGCCAAGGGGTGGTCCAAACAGTTACGTTCATGCTCAAGTTTTTTGGCTTATTCCGTTGTTTCACAATATTCTTGGTGAAAAGTGTGGTTTTCTCTACATGCCTTTCATAAAATCAGACTATTATTTTCATTTTCCTTAACTGTGTTTTCTCTACATGCCTTTCATAATTGGGGCTCTAGCACGAGTTGGAAAGTAGGAGGGTCATGGGGCAAATCAAAGACCCATAACAAAATATTTTGACAAACATAGTGGGCTATCATTGATAAATATCAATTTATTACAGCCGCGCAAAAATTTGTGAAATCCTGACGAGGGCGCGCAGTTCAGGAAATTTGTTGTCAACTTGTCCGCGCACATGGCAAACTTTCCAGTCTGGCACTCTTCTATGTAATGTACATAACACACGAAAAATTGTCCTGTAATAAGTGTATTTATAAGTCACTAAGGTATAATTTGCACTTGTTTCACAATGGCCATTTCAGAGAATTAGTGGATGGCATAAAATAGTGGAAACATAGCCTACTGAAGTACTTTTTATTTGACACTCTTTCCTCAACCTCATGGGTGGATTTTCTAAAAAATAATTTATGGGGGTTGTTTTTCGGATTTGAGAGTGTGTCCAACTAATGAAGAAATACTCATAAGGTAGAACCAAAAACTCTTACAAGGTCAAGAACATGCCATTACAACCAATTGGATACCACCATTGCCTCTTTGAAATTTGTAAATTTTTAGTTTGTTTACTTTTGCTCTGATGAAGCCCCGTATGCCAGGGGGAAATATTAGCCATCACTGATTTGTGTGCTTGTTGTTGTTTATCCTCGTCGCCTTGGGGTGTTCCTTATATACTAATAGGTTAATACAATGAATTTTGTTTCCTACATGGTTCCTGTGTTTCTAAGCTTTATATGCCTTTGTTTTAGAATGCGTTACGTGGCCGCCTACCTATTAGCAGTGCTTGGAGGTAACTCCAGCCCATCAACCAATGACATCAAACATATTCTTGGGGAAGTAGGTGTTAGTTTTGATGATGAGCAAGCAAAAAATGTTTGCAGTAAACTTGCAGGAAAGGACATCAATGAGGTAAAACATCTTCAGCTTCTTATGTCATTTTTTTCTATGAAGTGCTACTGTTTAGTTCATATTCAAGATATCCATTTTTATTTTAAAAAAATTGCATTATGTTGTAGTTTTCTTGTACAACTTATATGTAAGAGGAAAACTACAATATCTATTGCAGATTTTTTGAAGGTGTTCAGTTATATCTTGTTTCAAAATATCTAATGCTTCGTGTTTTTTTATATTCATGAATTTACCATAATTGAAGCAATCTGTTAGTAATGGATTTGGGATGGCTTTAGTTAGAAATTGTCTTTATTTTGGAATCGACTGGAAAAATGATACCATCAAAAGACCTGAAAGAATGCAATGAAAAGTTTCTAAATTTAAAAAATCAGTTATATCTGTTGCAAATCGAAAAAAATGTTGTCATGGAAGCCTTGGCTCTTTCAGCGGAGGGGCACATGGGGGCGAGGGTGCAGTGGCCCCCTAATATTTTGGAGCACGGAGATCTTTTGTTCTAGAACAATCGGAAAATGTGACGTAATCATTTCAAAACATTTAACCAAGTGCCACCCTTGAGCTCATACCACATCAAATCGTCTGTCAATTGGCCTGTTTTCTAAAACTTATGAACCGACCAAAAGAACAGTTATCCATGAGCAAAGTCTTTCACTGGCCATATCTCACTCAATTTTGTATTGATTCAACTGATTTTGCTTTGGAGGTATTTTGTGGGTGTCTTTCCTGTTGTGGGATCAGAATACCAACATTCTAGAAATAGATTTTTTTGATGATGTCACTAGAAATAGATGTTTTTGAAGATTCTTTGATGAGGTCATGTCACTTTGCCACTATTGGCTTCAGGTTTGATTAAGAAGTAAATACATTTTTAATCTTTACATTTCTGACCACATTTGTCAATAAAAAACTTCACTTGCCAATTTTCAGTCCAGTTGCCAATCTACCCCCCTCCCCCCAGCAATAATACCATCTTTATTCTCTCTGTCAGCGATTAAGAAAACTAAATCATACAGTGTATTTGCTTTCTGTTATTGTAGTTGATCAACCTTGGAAAAGAAAAGATGGCAAGCATGCCAGCTGGAGGTGGTGCAGTCGCATCAAGTGGTGGAGCTGCTGCAGGTGCTGGTGATGCTGGTGGCAAAGAGGAAAAGAAGGAGGAGAAGAAGGAAGAAAGTGAGGAAGAATCAGATGATGACATGGGATTTGGACTCTTTGACTAAAAATGAAGTGAAAATCATCAATCATTTACATTCCCAAGAAATTTTGTCATTTCTTTGTGTTCACCTATGTTAAGAGTATTTTTCTTGCGATATGGAAGAACAGGATCTCCAATTTGCTTGGTTCAATTCTTAAAAATTTAAAAGACAGAGAGCTTTGGCTTCAACTCTAGTTTATGTTTGCAGTCACACAAAGAAATTTTGATAAAGAAATATTATGAGGCGTTACCATGACAAGGGTCACAATCACCCTGTTCTTCAATAGTTCTGGTGTCTTTGTCATGGACAGCTTCAAAATCGAATGTGGCCCTTTCAATACACAAAAGGGTTGGGTTTAGCAGAGAAACTAATGACATCAGGGCCTCCAACAGCTGGGGATGGAGTGGGTTCATGGTTCTCGCCTTCTTTGAAAACAACAGAGCTTTTTGCAAAATCTTTTGCCTTGAGTCTCTCTTTAAGTTTGCTCTTGGTCCTCCCTCTTTCTTTCAGGAGCCCCTGGACATACCCTTAACGCAGTAACAGTTATTGAATAAGTAATAAGATTAGTGTTGGATAGCTAACATTAGGCCAGATGGGGAGCACACCCCTCAGTTCTGAGCAGGACCAATTTTGTATTTCGTCCAAATTCGATGAGAAAATGTTGGGAGAGGTAATATTTTGACAACGTACTTTTTGTGACATATTCCTATGAATTTCAAACTTCATTTCAATCTGCTAAGATCTTGTTGACGGTAGCAGTGCAGTGGGTAGTGGAAGTGTAACGCGGCATAACGCCGTTACGCTTCCTAAAATGTTTGAGCTGCAGCGTTACACTACCTACCCCCAAGCAAACAATAACGTTATGCTTCTTAAATATCAGTATCATACTAGATATTTGTACAAATATTCAATTTTGTTTATTAGACAATAAGGCAAATAAATTGATTAGGCTTCCAGCACATGCTATCACTTGAAAACATAGACAGAAATTGTTACTTTGAAAATGTAACTTCCGAAGATGCAAGAGAGATAATTTACAACCTAGAGGAAGATAAATCAACAGGAGCCGATAACATCTCCCCAAAAGTTCTTAAAATGGCAATAGACGTTGTCCCTGGACCACTAGCTGAAATATTCAATCGGTCTCTTTCTGATAAAACATTTCCCTTTCTTATGATAATGGCTAATGTGTGCCCTATTTTCAAAAAAGGAGATTCAACTAGTAAAGAGAATTATTGACCAATAAGTGTGCTCCCCTCAGCTTCAAAAATATTTGAGAGAATATTGTTCAATAAAATCCACAATTACATCAGTGCTTAATTTTTCCCTTTGCTTTGTGGATCCAGCAATGGTTATAGCACACAAAACGCTTTATTACGACCAACTGAAGGCCTGAAAAAGTGCCTGGATAGAAATGTTGTGGCTGGTGCAGTGCTTATTGATTTATCAAAAGCATTTGATTGTTTGCCCCATATTCTTCTACTAGCCAAATTGAAATCTTATGGCTTCAGCGACAAGCCAATGAAGTTTGTGTTTAGTTATCTAGATAAAAGAGCACAACGAGTAAAAATAAACTCAGATTTTAGTGATTGGATGGAAACAAAGCAAGGAGTTTCTCAAGGATCAATCTTAGGCCCGTTGCTTTTCAATGTTTACATAAACGATATTTGTCTGCATTCGAACAAAAGCAAATTATGCAACTATGCAGATGACAATAGAATTTGGCTGTCAAGTACTGATATGAATGAACTAACCGAGGACTTAAAATAATAAATAGTTTTATGGAAATTTTTTGGAGCTCAATGGCGATAAAAGCAAGTCAACCGATCCAATTTAGAGGAATCTAAAATTCAAATAAATGGTTCTACTATAATAGAAAGTAAGAATGTTAAACTTTTGGGAGTAACACTAAACTTTCAACTTAAATTAGAGGAACAAATTAAAGTTTTTTGTAAATAGGCTGGGAAAAAGGTAAACACTCTAGCCAGGATTGCTTCGTATATGGACGAATCTAAGCGAATTCTTTTAATGAAAACGTTCATTTTATCATATTTTAATTATTGTCCTCTTTTTTCGATGTTTTACAGTAGGAAAAGTAATAGCCGGATAAACCGGATTCATGAAAGAGCAACGAGAATAGCTCATGATGATTATGAATCAACTTTTGAACAACTTTTAATAAAGAATAAAACAATAACTTCTCATAAGAAAAATTTACAATATCTTGCGATCGAAATTTGTAAAACATTTAACGGTTTACATACATCTTTTATGGATGAATTATTCTACAAATGAATGCCCATATTCCTTAAGAAAATCCCAATTCAAAACAGCGGAGCCACATTACAAAAATTATGGATTTAATACCGTATTATACAGATGTAGCCAAATACGGAACTCAGTTCCAAATGAAATATAGTACTCCCCTACTTTAAAAACATTCAGGAAAAAAATCTCAGAATTTACATCTCTCAATTGTACTTGTAATCTTTGCAAGAAATAAATTTGCAATATCGGTTATATTTGATTTGCATTATATTTAGCGTTGGTAGTTTGAATTAGTTGGTTTTAATTAGCTTGAGTATAAATAGCTAGAAATTGTACCAACTTTAAAAAAAGAACAAATGGCAGTGGCACAGAGAAGCAGGGCCGATGAGAGGCGGCCTGGGCCCTGGGGCAAAGTCCCGGTTGGGGCCCTAGAGTCGGATACAAAAATTTTTTCGAGACCACGCCCTTTATAAAATGGGAAACGCCCATTATTTCCAAACGTTTGCGCACGTTTGCTTTTTAAGTTGCAAATTGATCAATGATATTGTCTTAATCAATTTGTTTTGCTAGTTCGTGCTCGATCGAAAGAGTCACGAGGCTTGATAGTCTCTCTTGAGTCATTGTTGAACGTTAGCGGTTCTTTATTAATGCTAGTTTGCTGAAAGGGGCCCCAAAAATATAATATAGCTTTTTGCAACGAGTCTAAATGCAAACATAACTCACTTGAACGGGCCATAAATTAAAACAAGGTTTAATGGGTTACCTAATTTTTTATCAGGGCTCCCTTCCCCCAATAAGTACGATTTTGTGAAACTCAGGGAAACTCAGCTTAAAAGATGAAGCCGTAAAATATGTGATCTAAAATATGTGATCTATATGCTTGCACCAGACTACTTGAGAAAATTATTCGAAAAATGTTCGGATGATAGAGAACGGTTTCTGCGTTCATCAGAAACTGATCTTAAGATACCGCTGCTAAAAGCGATAAATGGCCAAAAGGCTTTTTCTTATCGCGGTCCAAAACTGTGGAATAATCTAGAAAGGGCTACCAAATTGGCCCCCTCCCTGAAAACCTTCAAAGAACAACTATAGTCGGGGACAACTTTTATTTCATCTTTACGTTCACTTTTTTATAGCTTTAGTATTATTAAATATTGTAAATTAGGCATATGCATTTTCAGTTTTTCAAAAGACATTTAAAAAAAAATTTCAGAATAAATTTTGGGCCCCTTTCAGGCCGAGGCCCTAGGGCAAATTGCCCTCCCCCTGCCCCCTCTCTGCGACACTGCAGAGAAGCACAGAAAGAGCAATGTTCAACATCACATGCCTTAACAAGTTGACAAATAAAAGCTTTAGATCACAAACCAAATGGTTTGACGTTTAAGAGGACTCAGAAAATATGAGTGGCGAATGGGCAAGCCGTGGACACAGAAAGTGGACAGAGAAGATACCAATTTTAATAAAGAGGATGCGAAAGAATTAAAAAGGGACGAAAAGATGACCTGTAGAACATCGCATATACATATTACTAGAGTGAGATGCATGAAGTATAGCGCAAACAGTTAGATGTTCAATGCAGAGATGTCATAAAAGCACAAAATATGATATTTTTCTGAAAAGCGCCAATGAAACGCTGTTTTTGCTTTTTGACTTTTGCATTATACTAATTTACTTCCTAAGATCTTACAACTACACCACTGTAGCAGTGAAATGTCATTCCAGCCTTTCTGGCATCGATCCCTTCTGAGCCTGTAGCAGGGCTGATCGAAGGTGTACCTAAGCTCTCAGATCGTCATCATTTACTGTGCGCTTCTACACTTTGTAAACCGCGACAGATGTTGGTGATTGAAACTCATGCACCAATAAAAAGGCGATATCTTAGAGTTTTGCAAAAATCGTGGTCATCAAATTTTGATAACAGTTCTGTAATTACTTTGTCATCAAAATTTGGATTTTTCAGGCTTAATATTTTGACACGTGTGAAATATTTTGGCTCGATAAGGTGCTTTTCAAAATGAAAAGTTGACAATCAGAGACGTAGAAAGCATTTGGAAAGAGAGAGGGCACAAGAGTTGAAGGCCACTTTAATCATCCTCTTTACTTTAAGAGCCACATCAAAAATGCAAAAATTTTCAGATTTAGGAAAATAAAATATAAAATGGAATAGCAGTATAACATCAAGTTATTTTCTAAAATTTATCAAAATGCTTGTTTCTTCTTTGGTTGCGTGAGGCAAAATCTTTTGCTAGCTCAGCTATGCTTATGCATTTCAAGAATAAGTAAATTGTTATACCTTTTCTCAATTATCGTCTTCCCGATATATAATTTCAATCTTCCTTGGAAAGAATGATCTTTCTGCTGAAGCTTTGCTCATAGGGGCTGATAGATAAATAATGGCGAGCTTTAAAACGTCTGGGAGTAGCATCTGCGTCAGGGGCGGATCTAAGCAACAATGGTTGGGGGGTGTTAGACACTTATTTTGGTGCCACACCCTTCAGGTCACTGGTAAATTATGGAAACGCCCATTTTTAAAATTCCGTTTTTGACTTTAAGGTACAACTGCCTTTTCCTTGACAATTCATCTAACGCTTACATTCTGAATTGTGTAAGGCGAGGAAGAACTACGTGATTCTCCACAATTTTGATCAAATATCTAAAAATAACAAACAGGATTCAAATGTTTTAAACTAATTTCGTTCTCTTTGGAGCACAATCCCCGACAAGCATTTCAGAATCCAATTTTTTTAAGGATTGAATCGCTTTAGCATTTTAGTTTCAATTTTATCGGGATTGTCTAAAGAACGTGAAAGACTTTTCTATTTAAATCCTATAACGTGGAATAAATTTTTGAACATTCTGTAGGGTTATTTAGGAGGGTCCCTGTGCGAGCGAAGCGAGCAGAAAATTTTTGCTACGACGCCCTTCAGATTAGCTTGAAATACATTTCAGAATATTTCTTACAGTGGATTGCAGTCTTTAAAAACGTTTTAATTTTGTCTGAAATATAAAGTCCACCTTTAACCCTATCCAGACTAGGCTTTTTGAAACTTTCGGGAGACTAGGGGGGGCACAAAGTGTCCCCCCCTCCGTAATTTCTTTGTTCCTCTAGCTAGGACAATGAACTTTGTTTGGATGGTACTCTTATCTTTTCTCCACATTTTAGTATTATTGTTCAATTTTTAAGTCACGTGGTTTCACGATGACGTCATCATAATGGTGGCCGGGTGAAGCAAAAATTTAGAAAATTTTTGAAAATCTTAAAATATTCATTAATTCCAAAGCATCGGGCTAAGATATTAAAATAAGCAAATTTGATGCATTTTCTAATAGAAACAAGAAGATTGACACAATTTTAATGTTACTTCTCAAAATTATTAACGTTCCTAACAAAAGAACTCAACATATTTTGTATTTGGCTATAGTTTTTTCTATATAACTAAATGATCGATACAACCAAATGTCATGTTTGAGTTCATTTTTAATGCCTTAGCAGACAAATTATTCTAAACTTGCAGTTTTATTAATGTAATACCTATAAATCTGTCAACAGATGTGTGCGCATGCGCAGCAGAAAAATCATAGAAAAGGATGTTGAATTTGAATTTTCTGGTCAGAATCATGAAAAGAGCACAAATTAATGCCTAGATACTAATTTTCATCAATATATCTACTTTTGTTGCGAATCCGTGGCAGATTGAACTATTTTTTACTTGACTAGTTTTGAAAACGCCCCTACACAACCCCCTGATTAATAATAAAAAAATTATCTTTTTATATGAACATGTGTCAGATAGGTTAAAACTAAAAGTCAGGAGGTCTGAGGGGTATTGCTTTCAAACTCCTGAAGTTATGAAAGAAAAACCAACTAGGGTTTAACCCTATCCAGACTAGGGGGGGGCACTTTGTGCCCCCCCCTAGTCTGGATAGGGTTAAGGTACTTATTCTATTGCAGATTTGTACTTTTCTCAGACACCGACTTCCTGATTTGCCGCTCCCCTTGCCTCCCCCCGCTACGCTACTGATAAGAAGATAAATACTGGTGTTAAGGAGATAAATAAAGTAAAATCCTGGCGTTAATTTGTTACTGTTGACTACCAAAAAATGGTTTTTAACCGAAAGGAACCAAATTTACCGAAGGAGACAGAAATTTTGGGAGGGGGGTGTTGCACCCCTACACCCCCGCTAAGTCCGTCCCTGATCTGCGTACCCCGTGCTGAATTTAAATGCACAGTAAAATTCATTCTTGTTGAATTTGTCAACTTTCGGCTAGTTCATCCGTGGTTCCTTCGTCCTGCCTTGCTAAATTTATGAGGATCCTATAAGATAAATCTTTAGAAACACTTTTTTAAAGAACAATTTTATACTTACACGAGCCTCATAATTGTTCAAAAGTTGCAAAAAATTTAGCAACAATTTGAGGTTGAGCTATTCTTGAAGTAATTTTTCACAAACCCCCTCAAAAAAATTCATCCCAAAAACGAGAAATTTTTTGCCATAATCTAGGGGTGCTTTTCGGCAAGGAAAGAATGACTCATTGACCTTGTCGACGATATAGTGAATATTCCTTTAATGCAATTCCTGCAACATTTTTTTCGATCATTTTATTATCTTATTATTTTATTTAGCATGTGCAATAGCTCTAACCTGACATAATGATAAAATGTATAAGACTTTTAGGAAATAAGAACATTGAATAATTTTAATGCTTTGATATTTGGATTAAAATGAAGGTGACCTTTCAGGACGAATATCTCTTTCTGTGTTTTCTGTGAAGGACGAATATTTCTTTCTGTTAAACATGATTTATCATTGCTGATTTGTTATTGTCTCATTTGTCAACTATCCATTGTCTACCTGTCTATGGCCGTCTGTCATTTGTCAACTATCCATTGTCTACCTGTCCCTGCCCATCTGTCATTCGCTTATTGTCTACCTGTCATTAACCAACTGGTTTCCGCTTGCTGCTGATTTCGTGAAGTGTAGGACTTGGCGGTTTCTTTGTTATGGTCAGTGATGATGCACTTCACTTTTGTGTTTCACAACAGGCAGTTGTGTGACAAGATGCGTTCAACTTCCACTTTGAAATGACTTGGTTTAGGGATTTAATTCGAAGGAAATACCGGAATTAAACTGTGTGAAACTGCTGCTAGCGCTCTGCTGGCTACAACAACTAACATAAAACCACCTCATTATGTTGGCCTGGCTTGGATCGAGTAACTGCATGAGTTTTCACGTAGGTAAGTGACCATTCCAAGTTTCTTTTAACCTTCATAATAACTTTATCCATAAGAATTTGAACTTTTGGGAGAGAACAAAGTATGGAACAGATACGGGAGATTTGTTTGCTATGATACTTGAAGGATTACCTATGTTGATTTTTCCACGAACTTATCTCCTCGCTCTGACACGGTTTCTTAAAGTTATCTCTCAATTCATTAGTTGTTTTTCTTCAACGTTTGAATGAACACGGACACATATCAATGGTGAAAGAAGTATAAAATGGCAGTGACGCATCTAACTTTTTATCTTCGTAACTTGTCTTGTTCGTCATTTAATAGATTTCAGACCAAAATTCATAAGGCAGGAAGGCAGAGGAATCGCCCCACAAACGCAAATCTATCCTTAAATATGTGACTTTCAACCGAAATTAGATAGATGCAAATCACTGCCGAGCCTTGTTCGTGCTCAATGCTTTTTATTTCAACAGGAAATGAAGCAAATAATCCCCGTGCATTCTTTGCGTGGGCAATAATTTTTGCTTTGTTTATTATTGTTTATTATTTCCTGGCTGTCAAAAGCGAATTGACTGAGGTCCACAGATGAAGACAATTCCGATACCTTAGGACACTTTTCGAAAATGTAATGTTTATACTATACACCTTATGTGGTATAGGGCAGGTAGCAGGTGTACCCTACCCACTGGAGATAAAAGCAGGTCTTTGAAAGCCCTATTAACAGGCTGATTAAATTACAATGCCCTATTATGAGTTTTTGATATGGCATAATAAGGTTAAAACGAATATAACAATGAAGTGATGATCTTTACTAAATATACACAGTATGAATGGTGATTGTACCAAAAAATGACTTTTGTGCTGCATAAAATATAGCTAAAATATAACTCACCCACTGTCATGGATTTGGGAAACAAATACTCAATTTTAAGGTTTATAAAATCAACTGTCAGTAGCAGGGAAGAGACTGATAAAATGACAAATTACAACTTACAGATTACATTATGTAGCAAACATAGCTATGGAGAGGAAGGAATTTGTGTGTCAATGAAATTACAGGCATAAAATTAAGATTTCTTGACAGTGAGCTAACCCATATCTTTGGGAATCAATGCATTTTGGAGATTCATATTTGGGGATTTTGAAGTCTTCAACCCACCCAGATGGATGGCACAACCCAATTCAGCTACACATAAGCATTAACCCCCCCTCCTCCAGGGAAAACATTGATAAAAAGTTTGAATAACCCATATCTTGGGGATAGGGGAAGCCCCTCAAAACCTGCTTTTTGTGCTGATGTGGAAGCATGATAAGATACATAGTTGATCTTTTTTGCCCCTTGCCACATTTACCCTTCCATGTGGTGTTCTTAAAAATTACCCTCAGTTTTTCATCAATTTGTAATGTTTGTTCAATTTTTATTTCATTCACTACAATACTTTTTAGAGAAAATCAACTTCTAATATAGGAAAGTATTGAATTAAATCAATATTGTTGCCAATCCAGAGCCTCGGGTACAACCTGAAGGGTTAAGTAGTAAGTTACAAAAAGTTATTATAGGTTTAATACAAAGGTTTCTTGTTCTGCAAGTAAATTGGAGGAGCTGTATCCCACCGCATCATCAAGCCCTATAGATCTTCTTTATAAAGGTTGTTTCCTAATGAAAGTCAAATTGCTCATTACCAAATACAGACCAAGGAATTACTTGGAGCAGTTAGCAAGCTCCTTCTGATCAGTTTTATGAATTGATTGTAGTTTAATTCTTTGATTTCTTGCTGGAAAAAATATCTCTATGTACCTTAAAAAACCCCAATGTAATTTCATCACCTATGACAATCTTCAAAGATACTTTTTTAAAGAGCACATGCAATCCATTCCATTTTATTTTCCATGGAATTTTTTCTCATATATTTACTAGAAAAAATGCATTTTATGTAACAAAATTTCTACAGAATTTACACAGTTGACTCCACCAAATAAATTCTTTCAATGCATTCTTATGTATTAAATGTTTTATTTTCTAAAGTGTAGCATTTCAGTTGAAATGCTGGCTGAAAATTTGTTAATTGAACTCTAATGCTACTTTATCAATGTTGGTAGGAAATATTACCAAAATTGAAATGATTGCTAATGCAGCAATGAAGGACACCTACCATAAAAGGTCTTTTAAGCCCCCCTCTGTTAAGCCCCCTCTCTATTAAGCTCCCCCTCTTAAGCCTTTGATGACAAACACATCCTGGTGATCTATCATATCATTTTATCCTGGTGATTTTGATGAAGATGAGGACCTTATAATTGATTGATTAAACTTTCGAAGCTGCTAGCAAAGTTTTTTGCAATTATTTGTATGACATTTTCATAACAAAAATGGCCAAGGGCATTTTTAAAACATTTTTGCTTCAAATTTTTAATAAGCCCCCTTTCTCTAATAAGCCCCCTCTTTTTGAAGCATCCCCCTTTTCAAGCCCCCCTCTAGGAATGGAAAAATAAATAAGCCCCTCGGGAGCATATAGACCTTTTACAGTGTTTACAAAACGAGGAATCAATTTTGTAATTTGTCTACTCTGAAATTGGAAATACCCCCCCCCCCCTTGAGATTTTTAAAGACCCCAAAGATCCTTATTGCAATCCCCTTGTTCCAAAGTAGAGAATGGTCAACTTATATCTTCAAAATCTGAAACTGCCTTGCAATTACTTTCAACAATATTTTCACTTCAGCAAGTTTATTAACCCCACCCCCTTTTGATCACAGTTTGAGCTTGACCACGAATCCTTTGTTCATTTCGATCCTTCATTTATTATTTAATCAAGTGAAAGTGCAATTTCTGTCAAAGAAATAAAACTTTGAAGTTGTCACTGGGTTTGCTAAAGATCCAGATTTGGTCCATAAGTTCTTCTAATTTTGCAAAGAACTTTCAAAATTTTCATTAAAAAATGATATCTCCTTGACACAAGACACATGAAACTTGACAATAATCTCACAATAATCAGACACTTCAAGGAAAAACTCTCTAGATTTTGGTTTTGTCCTGCCTTAAAGACGGAGTCTCAATGATCTGTGAAAATGTTACAAAGTTTGTCATTGTGATAACATCTTTGATGATCAAATATTAAATAGAAATCAGATAAATAATTTCCGAAGCCACAGTCCTCTGTTACCATCAATTGTTGTTTATAAGAAGGGCTCCGATTGACACAAATGACGCTGGACTAGCCACACCAGACAGATCGAGCATTTAAAATTCTATAGATCGATCAAGTAAGTCGTCTAGATATCAAGACATTTGCATTGGAAATATAACGATACGCTTTTTGATTGGCAATAGATACCTAGAATGCGGAATGTAAGGGTTCAGCGACCTTCACTTCATCGCCGACACAAATATTCGGCTTTGATCTTGCGATGTTTTTATCAACCATAATATTTCTAATTTCTCCTTTGAACATATCTTCATTAGATCTCCAATTTTTTTGTGCCTAGCAACCGTTTCACAGCTTAAAAATCATGTTTATAGATTTTTTCTGGACTACATTAGTTAACTATGATGCCTTTTCTCTAGATTTCTTCTTCTTTTTGTTAAAAAATCAGGTCTTTAAAGAAAGGAAAACAATATGTTTCTGGAATCATTCTGCAAAACCACAATAGATATTTTGTTTTATAGATTATGTTGATAGGAAACTTTTGTGACATGATGTAAACAGATGGCTACCTGCGCTATTTAGATGGTAAGAAGCTTTATTAGGTCCAGTGTCTGGGATGGAAAATACCAATCAATTTTGCTTAAACTTTGCGGAAAGGAGGTTGGTTCTCGAAAGAGAGCGATGATTTATTGGTCACTTCATGTCTGTATGGTGCCTATGCCAGTAGCAAAGCGAAGGGTGCAAGAGGGGGCATATGCCCACCCCCTATGGCAATCTTTTGGAAAAATAGCGTTTTCTGGCATTTTAAAGAGTGTGGACTCCCATTTTCCCTTGCCCGACTCGCCTTCGTCCCCCAATCTTACCACCCTGGCTATACTACTGGCCTACACATGTCCAAAAAGTGAGTTGAATGCAACAGATTTCGGGCAATAACAGTGTAACGGTCGATTGCAGTTGCAACTTAGGATTTAGGTACCAACCCTAAGGACAGTTTGGGGGTGATGCAAAGCCAGAAAATCACTGTTGTTGAAGTCACTGCATGTGACTCAACTTGTGAACTAGAGTCATTTCGCAAAGGCAACACCTCTTTTGGCGAAAAACCTTCACGGCCCTAAAACTAGTTCGAATATTTGTTGTTCTTGAAATAAGCTAAATATGTAATTTTTAGATATTTTTAAATTCGATATTGTAATTTGATATTGTAATTTGTAACTTTAATTTTACAGGCAACAGGATTTTTAAAGATAATTAGTAGAGAGTGCGGGAAAATAACCGACCCGAGCGAGGCTCGAACTCACGACCCTTGACTTTGTACGTCAAGTGCTCTACCGCTGAGCTATCGGTTGAGAATTTTAATTTTCTTCTTAACTTTAATTTTAACAGGACCTTGATTGATTGATTGTAGCTTTTGAGCAAGCTGACCAATTATATTATCCTGTATAAATCTAATTATTATTATTATTATTATTATTATTATTAATATTATTATTAAGCGGACAAAATCTGCAGATTTTTTTATATAGCAAGATCCACTGTTTAGAAGTGATTTTTGTTCACTTTGATTGCTGTAGTCCTAACGGGTAATCTTTTAAGACTGTTGGCTTGCCTTGTTTCTGGGTTACATCGCTGGAAAAATCATATGGAAAGATAACATAGATAATCAGCAGCCGCGTGCTGTTCAACATCTGCTCCGTTTCACCACTGGCGTTTGCAAAATTCTAAAGGAATCTAATTTTATCAGCTTATTTGTTTGAGAAGAAGACAGATTTTTGCGTGTTTATACGCAAGTTGGTTTCTTCAGATTTTCGTGGGTTGGTTATTGCTCCTTCTTGTTAGCAAGGCTTAGCAGGCTATTGTGCTATCCAGAAATGATAACAATAGACAAAGAAAATTTGCAATATTTACAGTACAATATTTTGTCTTTTCAACATCTTGGTAACTAAACCGGTTTTCCATACTGCGGCTGATTTGAAAATACAATGGCTGGATGTTTGATTAGACGAAAAAATTGGAATTTGGGCAGTTGTTAAGTATTCACAGCACAGGAATGAAACCCCATGTTCGGTTGCTGGTACATCGAAGAGACTGGGTAAGGAGGCTTATCGATAAATGAGTGTGTTTTAAGGAATTCAAAGGCTAGATTACGTTACACGAACGTGTCTTTCGCACCAGAAGTTCTACTTGTGTTTTTTATTAGGCGTCATAATAATATTTTCTTGCGCCCATTCATGATTCCATAATGCAATGACAAGCAGAACCTAGGTCAGAAGTGAGCACTTTGAACGAGAAAGTCTCTTGCCCTTCAAGTTTAAGATGAGATTAATTTCCTCTCGGTTGATTAAAACGAATCACGAAGATTCTTAAGATAATGAAGTTGATTGGATCAACAGATAGATGCTGGGATTTATTTTGTCCTGTTTACTTTTTAATTTTGAAAGAAATTTGATTAAAGCAAAGGAAGATGGAGAAGAGCTCCGTGAAAGTATTGCTTTACTAGTCCCGGAATGCCAAACTCTGGTAGTAACTAGATAGTCTGGGACAAACCGTTAGGTACAGAAACCGCTGGGGCGGAGAGAAATGAAGGAGATAAAAGAAAACATAGATGTGAGAGGGTTTGGACCTATATTACTCATATTTTGTAAAATGGTTAGGACAAGTTTACGCTTTAAAGTGTTGGTCCAAAAGTGAATACCTGATTGTCATTTTATCAAAGTAATTCAATTTTTTGTGCTTTTCGTAAAGAACAACCATCATCTGTTTTCAAAGAAAGGTCTTGAACTTTTTCCGATTTAAGTAAATTCTTCATGTAGTTTTGTGTAATTCCCCCATCAGACCAATGAAGTAAGCAACTCAGAAACAGTGCAATTGCAAGCGACTTTAACGTGTTTCCTTTACAGACTGGCTCAAGTACGTAACAGAATTACTGCATCGACATCTTCCTAAAAATTCTAATGGCCTATCCAATTTAAGTGGACTCAGTTAAGTCCGCATTGTCTCTGATTTATGTCTACCCTTGGCAAGCTCTAAAGAGTAAGAGATACCGCTAACATTCTTGGACTGACAAAAATCCAAAAGGATATACCTCTAGCCACTCTTGCACCGACTAATGGAATTTCATATAACCTTCTATCCTCACAAATGCATACAAGCGTATACATAATATTAGGCTTAAATTTGCGGTGTTGTGAGCTTTAAGATAGGCAATTCGATTTCACAAATGTCTTTATCCTGGGCGGACCGTTTCCTGAATTTAATCTAGACCAGAGAAATGTGGCTACCTTGCCTAAGTCAAAGCAGATGAACGCCTCAATCGCTTTCAATCTAAAGTGGTTTTTCAATCTTTTGGAGGCCTGTCCATATTTTGCGCTTATCACAATTTTAACCAAGTTATTGTAGTCTCGACTTCATTCCAGCCCCATGTAAGCTAATTCATTTCTTCAGAAAGTTGGCAACATAAGAAAGGGAAATTTTTCGAGTTAAATATGTTTAATGTTTTTAAATGCTTTGTCAAATGTCTGATATAACTGCTTGACGTAACACTATTCTGGACAAAAATGACTGTTTTTCAAGTCTCACCAAACCCTCAGTACTGGCTTGCATTAATCGGTTGATGATGTAATTACACAGTCATGGGGTGTTACTTCTTGTTAAGCGTAAATGTGAGTGCAGAATTACTGTAAGTTTCATTTTGTTTCAACAATTTTGTCGAGGTTTAAAATAAAAGAGGCAGGCCTCGTTTAGAATAATAGCATATGTTCCCTTTGGGATTAAGCTTTCCTAATAAAAAGATACTACTACTCAGGAGGTGCTAATCTTAGAAACAATTCTGTGTCTGGTCGACTTATAGGTTATAGACCGACGGAAAATACGATCAATTAACGAACAATACTTCCTATGAAATTTTAACGCCACTTCCCGTGATTCGTTCTTTTTTTAGCGAGTGCTCAACGAAGGCAATGTTTGTCTAGTTCTACACTATACCGCGCGCTATAGTGAATATTTTACCTGCAAAGTTTGTTTTTGCCTCTTGTGAGTCAGTGGCGGTTATATCAATTTGATCTAAACTCGCGGCTGTATAAACCAATCGGATACCTGTTGAAGACTTGTCATACGAACAAGATAAGATTTTGTTGTTGCATGTTACGCTGTGTTTGTCGCCTCTTGATTCATAATGGATGCCTCCGTGACTACTACTATCATTGTAAGTACTTGTATCGTAACGCGGAGAAGGCCTCAGCAATGATGCCTCTGCTTGACTTGATATGATAGTTAGAATCACTATGTCATACCAGTCCTCGTCTTCGTATTATATTATCTTGGTAAATTCAATTCTATTCTGCTATGGTCCTAAGTAAGGTTATTTTTATTTATGGATTTCATAGAACGCAGTTCATCTATTCCTCTTAGGAGTTTTACCGCGACAAATACGACTCACGCAACCGCATTGCAGCCTATTTCACTAAGTGTTTTAGTAATACTTACACATTTGTTGTAACTTCGTTGTTTGCGGAGATCAAATAATGTTGTCAATTATGATTCCATGTTTATTTCTTGGCCATATTTGTTGCTTCGCTTTGAGTAATTAGTTATCTTCTTTTATAAATGAAAAAGAAAATAGTCTGTCGAACCTATTCTTGAGCTGCAAAGATTTATTTTCATTTTTGAGATTTGCAGCATAACTCCATGCTTACACAGGAAAATTCATTTAGATTGTTCTCATCCTTGTTTAAGCTAGATTACCAAATTTAGCAAAAAGCTTACTTTTACTATAGATGTTTGATTGCAGCGAACCGAAAATTGTCTCATTTAGAGCTTTGCTTCAAATAGGAAAGTGGTTAAGGAAGTATTTTAACATTACCTCAAGGCCTTTTCACAAAATTGAAGGACTGTTAGTGTCAGTCATTCTAGTAAATACATACAGCAGGCGTTTGTTTTTTATTTGATGGTACATAGTGCCATTTCTAGATTGTATGCACTAGACGTTACACATCCTCACATTGAGACAGCGTTATGTTTAGGCCAGTTACAATTTTTTAGACTATTTGCATTTATTGATCTATTTTGATATTCATATAGAAAATATTCACCAAACCATTTTTATTTTAGGTCGATAGTTGCCCAGCAAAAATGTTGATACTCTTAAAAAATTGTCACTACTGAAAGAAACCATTTTTGTTTTAGGGCGATAGTTGCCAAGCAAAAATGTTGATACTCATAAAAAAATCGTCACCGCTGAAAGAAATCATTTTTGTTTTAGGTCGATAGTTGCCCAGCAAAAATGTCAAAAGGTGTCACAACAATATGGATTATCGTTTCGGTGCTGTTTACGTTGGCTGTTGTGTTCTCCTTCGTAACTCCTGTTTGGTTTGAAAACAAGATTGTACAGAGATCGGAGGCAAATGTTACCGAGTCTACGAACGTGTCATTTGGTCCTCTACGGTATTGCTCTAAAAGCCAACTAGACGATGTCGTTGTAAAATGCAAATTTTATTCCGGTCTAATGAACATTCCGTCAACCACGTGGATTCTCTGTAGCGTTGTGTACGCTCTTGGTTGTTCGCTGTTGTGTACTGCCCTTTGCTGTGCTTTTGTTGGCTGTTGTATCAGAGAAGAGACCTGGGAACGAGTCAGATTAAGTGCTGCATACTTACAGTTATTTGGAGGTAAATTTTTACTCTTTTTTCGAATTCGTTGACAATAAGTAATTCGACTTAGTTATTATATCAACCATGTATAAACATTAGGGACTACCTAGAGTATGATCTTCCATTTATGTACAAATTTTGGTCGTGTAAATGGCTCTCTTTGGCGTTTGTTTGAATAAAAACCGAGAGAAATGGGACAAAGCAATTTCTGATGGTCGGCGAACTTTCGATAATAATTACAAGAAACCATCTGGTTATATGATAAAGCAACATGTAAACAGCATTTTTTAATGTTCTTTTTTCATTTGAAATACTCTTGATACTTGGGAAAGATAATATACAAATTTCTAAACATTGAAAAAAGTTTGTGTTGATTGATTCTTCTCTGATTGATTCTTCGACATTTGATAACTGCTCAAAAACCTTGCTAACCAACAACAGAAATTGGAAGAAATTGGGTTACTTGCAAGTCTATTTCATTTGTTGTTGTTTTAGTATATAGTATCTCGGATCCACATCAGTTCTATAGAAATATGTATGTATGTATGTATGTATTATGTATGTATGCGACGTTCACCTGATATTTTCTTTCTGTAAACGAGATCTTCTGTTATCGTGGCCTTGGAAGGGATGCCATGTCTATCCCAACCAGGCTTTTTAATGTAATCAGTAGTTCTTAAAGGACCGAGTAAGATATAAAATTAGCTTTATACGTCTTAAAAGTGATTTCCTTGATAATATAACGAGAGGCAATTGCATTAAAGGAACCTTTTTACCAGGTTTTTAGCCACGACCGATGTTTAATCTTTACTTATCCAGAGGGAAATGCCAAAAGGAAGGAGAAAATCTATTTTTTTTTCTGGGTGGGTGTGGCAGCACACCTTTTCCTTCCCTAATCTGTTAAACTTGACACTAAGTCTGTCTTTCTCTTGTTGTTTCAAACCTTGGACCTCTACTCTTCTGGCTCAAACCAGCTATTTGGTGTTGTATACAGGTAAATGATTTGAATGATAGTATGCTAGAGTCTCACAGTGTTTGTTTCTCTTTTGCAGTGGTTTTCATTAGCTTGGCGTTGCTGTTCTTCCCACTTGGACTAAGCTCCTCTTTTGTCCATAAAATATGTGGACCAGGCGCAGACATGTACAAGTCAGGTAATTGTCAAATCTCATGGGGGTATGTCCTTGCAATTATGAGTGCAGCATTGCTGATATTTTCGCCAATATTGGCCAGATATTCAATCGACAGGGCTGAACCAGATGATGGACCATTCGCAACGAACTATCGCCCTGCGAAAGTATCTACAGCCGTATAACGTATCCGTTCTCAGTATTAGCGCTTTCTTTGTTTTGACATGCATTCACATCATCCAAACATACTCCACAAGCCGTTGCAACTTTCAAACTTAATTTACTTCAATTGACCATAAAACTAAAATAACATTGCTTAGTCCTATAATATCGTATTTTGGTTAGCAAATGCTCAAGGCATTTTTAATCAAGGAGGCAGATTTTAAAAAAAATTCTTTTTGTAGGTTTTATTGTAATGTTTTGTAGGTTTTTGATACGTTTGTTTAACAGACAGCTTAACACTTGTCCGGTATTCTAGCAACGTATTGCATACATCATTTTAATACTCTCCACTGTTGCTATAGGTGCATGTTTATCTAAGCATTCGCGTCATTCTTTATTAGCTTAGACAACAGCATGTGATTCGGAAGGTTACAATTTTTTTACTCTATTTCGGCACTGCATATCATATAACGCTCTTTTTTATAAGAACGCACTTCACAAGAATGCCGAGGTTTGATTTGCCAAAGATGAAAAATTGAAACAAAACACAATTTTTTTAAAAAAAATATTTCTTGTAAACATAACATGGCGTATGTTACAGCAGGGCTAATATTATTGGTCTTGGAAGCAATTTACATTATGTAGTTGTAGAAAAGCCGATTTGGAATAAGAACAACATTAAAGAGCACGCGAGCCGGAAATAAACTATAAAACAAAAACATCAAGCGATAGAAATTAGCTAGCTCTTTTAAGAAGGGTGTATCACATGGAGTTTTAAAACGCATTGCAGACTGCCTAGAAAATGTTTAACAGCATAGAGTATAAGTAATAACATAGAGTAGGCTCTTCACAATACCGTTTTATCTTATGTTTTCATAAAGTGTTGTACTTTAAGCATATATGTAACGTTAAAAAGTTTGGAACGTTAGAAAAAGAAAGAACCCCCATACAACCAGTTATACACACACATTTTTATAAGAGTAAGTTTAATTGGGATTCTTAAGCTCGGAATTGTTTGATTTGTTAAGAATAAAAGCAAGGTTTAAATTTTATGGCCAATTTGACTTTCTGACTCATAGTCCTCTGTATGTCTTGTTGTTCTGTTCTAGTTTTGTTTTGTTTTGTTGTCACGATAAAGAAAAAAAGTAGCACCGATCTGAACTTTCTTTCTCAGTCCCTGCCAAATTTACACGGATCTCTTAAGAAAGATCTAAGAATAGCTCTAGGCTCCAAAAAATGTTATTTAAGAATTTCGAGGCTCATGAAAGATTTAGATATTCTTATAAAAATGTGTGTAGAAATATTACGGGTATGTATGTAGAAACCACTTTTTTTGAAGTGATCTTTGAATTAAGATGTTGAAACTCGGAGTCCTTTCGAGAGATAAATTAGTGTTTATCATATTCAGGTGTCTTATATTATTCGCTTTTGCCAATTGTAGGCCAAATTATTGTATATAAGAGAGCTAAAATTAACTAAAGGGTCATAACTGCATCAAATGACGCTACATACTACTTCTTTATATTGCATTCTCTGTAAAACAATTTATACTTTGTTAAGTACTTTTTATTCTCGACATTGTACTTGTATTTGTCTTCGGTTTTGGTTAGAGTTTCTTCTCAATTTGTCTTACAGTGGAATCCCGCTATGATGAACCCCGTATGTTAAGAACTTTTCACTATTACGAACAAAAAATCTGGTCCCATGAAATGCATCCTGCATGACAAACTCTCGGTAAAACGAACACGTGCTATTACAAGATATTTATTGATTACTACGGAGTTTGTAATAGCCGCATCCCACTGTATAGATAATTTTAATTATAATAAAAGCCTCTTATTATATATATATATATATATATATATTTATACTGCTGACCTGATCTAATATCAGATATCCAATTGTAATCATTTCGTACTAGTTGCTATTTAGTTAGCTTATTAGCTCATAATATACCTACTTTAAGTAATTGGAACCATTTCTGTTATTTTCCATTGCCCTTTGTTTTCATATTGTTATTCAAATCCCCATTAACCAAGTTATTTCATTTTGTTTCCCTTCAGGATACTTTGGCTATTTTTATTTCTTTTTTAGCATTGTGCACACTTAATTCCCTCTGAAATTGCTCATAAAAAAAGTTTGTATTGCTTTAAAGACGTTTTTAGTCCCAAGTCCCAAGAAAGTTGCATGCCCCAGTTGCTTGTCCCAAGTCCCAAGAAAGTTGCATGCCCCAGTTTAGGGTAACCTAGTTCTTTAACTTCGGACCGTAATCTAATTTCTAAAAGACCTTGTTTTATAAAGAGCTCTTTCTAGTTCGTTACGTTTTCGATTTTTTTGGATTTGTAACCAAATTTCTTGAATAATTTTTTGAAGCAGAAATGCCATCTGTCAATAGGGGATCAGTTCCACTTTATTGCTTTATTTCTGCTGGCAGCATTCCTAGGAAGCAAAATATCTTCTGTAGGCTTACTTCTTACAGTATTTTTTCTGCTTTTCTTGAAATATCTAGCAATATGACAGACCAGAAAAAGAACATCCTTCAGAAAAATGGTTTATCATTTTATGAATAAAGCTATCTATGTATACAATGTTAAAGTTTTATTATTAGAAGTTAATCAAGACTATGTAAGAGAAACATTAGAGTAGAACTGTAAATATTATACGAACCTTTATTTATATATTGATTATAAGATTTTATAGTTTACATCATATTTTGTTGTATTTGAAATATCACTGTCGATGAAAGTTCGGATTATACGCGAGGCATGATGGGTAATATGAAAATCTAAATGAATAAACCTGAAAAGCTAAATTGCTTTTTGTTTTTTAGGATAAGATAAAAGACTTTACTCAATCCCGAAGGTGTCCCTCTTTTCTTGGGAAGGGGTGTTTCTCCTGAAAAGAGTGGCATGTCTTTACATTAGACCTATGTCCACTCGTCAGGCTTGCTGATGATTAGGTAAGCAATCCAAAAGCTTCTATAGATTCGTTGATAAGGTCAAGATACTATGATCAACATGTGAAATGAACAGTGGAAATGTAGATCAGCAGAAATTGCTTTAAACAGCAGAAGCACATCAGTATCATCAACACATAGAAATGAAGATTGGGATGAACAGTGGAAAATAGATCAATAGCAATTGACCAGAAGAAGGGGATTGCAAGGAGTGCAATGTCTTACAGTATGCAGAAGCAGTACATACCAGGGCATTTTTTAACATATAAAGTGGTGGGGAAATTCCCCACCAGCCCCTTTCATTGCCCCACCAGTGGAACATGTTTGCCCCACCACTTAAATGCCCTTATGATTCGGTGACTTTTTTAATTTTTACTTTATTTGAGAATTTGTGGATGAAATCTTCATTGAACAGGTTTCAAATCTCAATTCATTTTTCCCTGGAACTGCTGCTTCTATAGGCGATTCCCCTAGAATATTTTTGAAAGCCTGTTTATCTGTAAATTCTGCCTTTATTTATATGCCCTTTTCTCAAATGCCCCACCAGTGGAAAATTCTTAAAAAATGCCCTGGTACATACATCGTAGGTGTGAATGCGAGATGTCTTTAGATAGAAAAATTCTGTCGTTAAGATTTTAGGCAGAGTGGGCATTTAACAAAAGATTCCTACTAAGAACTGGGGGAAGGGAAATAACATCATTGGTACCATCAGAACAAAAAAGAAGCAATATGAACTCATTCGGAGACGGGCAGCGACTTCTGACAGTGATGAAATATGAAAACGAGGTTTTTCAAAATGGATTCCCTTCTGATAGGCAGTGCAGGGGTTGCTGCCTCATCCTTGGTTTTGTGGTGGTTTTACAGAAACAAACGTGACTACTGTGAAGTCTTAGAGGTTTATTGACATTTTGTATTATTCGGTCCAACTAGCTTATCGTATTATTTAGATTTCCTTGCACCTTCAACTGACTTAAGACCAAACAGCAATGATTACCTCATAGCAAGGATTAGAGTAAAAGTAATATCGAAATGTTGTAAAATCCTTTAAAATCTAAGAGACTGGAAGTCTTATGGCATTCCTAAATTTTTATCTTTATATGTATTAACTAAACGGAATGTAATTTGGGATTAACCTCGGCAAAATGGACAGATTCAAGGGCTTAACCTTTCAAGGGGTCGTCAACACAATTAGGAAAAAGGGTTATGCTGGAATCCCCCGTTAAATCTATCGATTAGGCACAAAAATTGACATTACTAATCTTCATATTTTATATTGCCAAATGGAAACTGTCAGTATTTTTAATATGTAGTCCTAAACATGCCCAAACATACCTTTCCAACAATAGCTTTATGTGGTCTAAGATCTATTAGATTTCAGGTGCCAAATCCTGGAATGAAATTCCATTTATAATCAAACAATCTCCCTCGATTATGATTTTTGACTTAGGTTCAAAGCACATCTGTTCACTTCAAAATACCAAGTTAATTGAAATATTTGTTTTGCACCATACAATCTCAATATTTATTTTTCAATGTAAGATAAGATGAAACTATAGGCTTTTAAGAATAGGGGGTGCTCTCTCCTTGATTAGTTTAGCTATTGAGAAATCTCCTCCTTTAAGAAATTCCTTTATATACAATGATTTTTCCCCCTGGTTTGCTGTTCTTTTTCTTCTCTATTTTTGTATTTTAGTTGTAGTTGTAATCAATCTTTGAATTTATTGTATGTAGTGGATTTTTAAAATGAAACCAACTGAACTGAGATTTTAGAAAGCAATAGAAAAGTGCAAGGAGTAATAGATATGACTGAAAATCAAAGAAAAACTTACATTAACAACTCTGGATGAGACATGGATGAGAAACCAATATGGTTGATCATCAAGCCTTTATCATATTCAGAACATAATTTATATTGTAAAAAGGAAAATGAGGAGAAGATTTTCTTTAAGTATGAGTCTTTCAAATGGCCAGAGAAAGATTCTTTTAAAAATTTGGGGCTTAACTGGTACCTTCCGCTTTTGTTAGAAGAGCTGCATTTAACTGATAATGAAGATTGTGTCTTATTTTAAAACTTTGTCATACATATTCTGATCTTGTTTGAATTTCATTAATTCTACCAAAAATTATTTCTAAAATTTATTCTGCCAAAAGTCATTCCACTTGCACTACTGGTTGCAATCAGATATGCAAAACTTTTTTTTTCACTCTGTTTACAGTCACACTCTGTTTACAGTCACACTTTGTTTACAGTCACACTTTGTTTACAGTCCCACTTCATTTACAAATCACATTTTGTTTACAGTCACAAATTTCAAGTGATATTTAGTGCTGACTATAACCAGATTCTACTGTAGATCATGGAGATTTTAGAGAAGAAATAGAGAGGATGCCTCCTTGATAGGTTTATTATCAAGTGTGACAACTCACAGAAATTATCTGTTTTTTTAGGATCTGAAGCAGTATCAAATTGGTGATGAGCTTACTAACAAATTGGGGACAACACCAAATAGCTCTATACCATACTGTTCAATTATTGGTTTGGTAAAAGGTGATGAGACACCTTTAACTAGTACTAATGCTAAAGAATTTAAAGGTGTTATCCTTGAGTCTATAATAGCAGAGCACAGGACTGAATGGAATAGTGACAGGAGAGAATGGTGAGATTGTATTTAGAGAGACAATGCTTAAACCTTTTTTGCTAGCAAGCTCTATTACAATATTTCATATATTGGGAAATTGTTTTTAAATTTGAAGGTTTTCCGTAGATTAACCAAAAATAATTTTGCTTGAATTATCTAATCATTTTTTGTCATTTTGCCTGAAGTGGGGCATATTGTTGACCAAGCTTATATTTTCCATATAGAATTAATATCTGCTTATAATAGAGAAGCACTCTTTGACCCTTATCGACGTAGTATTAAAGATTATTTAACAAAAGCTTGCTACATTACTTTTGAAATTGATTCATTTTATGTAATTCATGGAAGTACAGGTGTGAAGGCACATTAGAGACATCATTTTGGTATAAAAGGATACTCTTTCGAGGCATCATACCCATTACTAAAGAAAACAAGGACTTCTAGGTTATCATAAATTATGAAATATCTTAATCTTATATAGAGGTTTAACACTATTTTGCTATTGGTTTATTTAGCTTTTATTTGGTTGTCAATATTGGCGAGGACATATGGCTAGAGCATTCCCTGTTTACTCTTATTTAGTAGGTGGCCTTGCGAAACATAGAGGCATCCCTGCAAAAATTAGCAACATAAGGGTTTTATAAATTATACTTTATTAAATTAAAACTTCTAAAGTTGTGTGTCTTTTCTGTTTTTAAGGAATGATGTCCAACGCATTATCAGCAGTAACAAAAGCACAGTCGCATTTTCCCTTGAAGGTGAGGACGGAATAAATAAAGTTGGGGTAACAGAACCACTATGGGCAAATGGTCTTTCTTTTGTGACAGTTTATAATCATTTTGAGCCTGTGGTTTCATCTTTGACTGACAATCTCTTTGGTTTTGCATCGGGGGACAAGCTCAAGGGATATGAAAGGACTGAACGAATGTTACTAGAAGGAACAAAGTTGACAGCTCTTGGCAAAGTGCAGATTGTAAGGGGAAAGACAATTATTGGCCCTCCTGATGGATCTTTGAAATACATACTGTCCACCGACTCACTTGAAAACATTGTTCGTTCTGAGACAAATTTTGCCAAACATTTGAGAAGGTTCTCCATTGCCCTCGCTGTTTTAAGCAGCACCCTTTTCACTGTTTGGCTTTGTCGGCTATTAAGGAAATGGTATGTTGCAAGAAAACAAAGACTTGAATTCGAAAAGCTACGCAAAGAAACTGTTGATTCGGCAGAAAACGGCAATGAGTGTGTTATTTGCATGGAAAGACCTCGCAATATTGTTATCTTGAACTGTGGACATATCTGCGTTTGCAAGACGTGTGGCGATGTGCTAGTCACGTGCCCTATATGTAGAGCACAGGTTGTTAAAGTCGTACCTACTTACGTCGTGACATGAATATTGTGATCCCACTTTTTAGATAACTGTTTTTGTAGATTCATTTTCATTAAGAAGACCAGACCTTTTTATAGATTAATTTTCAAACGAGTTTTCTGAAATGCAAACTGAATCTTTAAATTTTTTTGCGATTCCTCTATTGCATATAACAAATGTATATAGTAACCGCGAGCTCAAGAGGAATTTGGCAACAATGAATGCATGTTCGCTCTAGGGTTTCACATGCGTCCTCTTCCTTGTCTTCTTATATACATCCTCGAGGAAATGTTTCGATATGACTTTTTGAGTTGGAAAAATAAGCTATGTCATTGGAACGTTATTTTATTCTTTTCACCTTCTCTTTATTCATTGTTACTAATCTAATCTGATACTAATCTAAATCTGGATATGAATGGCTCAACCGAAAGAAAAAATCAAATTTGAGCTAGAGCACCATTTTTTGACAATCGGAACCAACGCTCTTCTTCCGTGTTAATTATCGTTGAGCGAAATCTTCCTAATGTAAGTTATAATTTCACATTTTGCTAGAGAAACAATGTTTTTCATTACAGAGTTTTTTTCAATTTAAATTTCTTTATTTGGTGCAGGTTTCGTTTCCTTATTCTTATTCAGGTGGCTCATTTTTAACAGCCATTCATAATCTAGGGCGAAGTGCCAACACTGAAACAGCCTTGCTCAATCATTTCTAAGCTCTTAATAAACGGGCAGTATCAGGTAGCAAATTTACCAATGCTAAGATCAAGAAAGACAAGTAAAACTCCATTTCGAAAGCAAGGAAATATATTTGCCATCTAGAAGTTCTTAATCGGAAATTTCCAAACTTATCGGCAAATAAAGGATGGCTCACCTAATTGTCGGCAAATGGCCCTTGGAAACCCCCCCCCTTCAGGGGCGGATCCAGACAAAAATTTGACATTCTCAAAACCCATTATGACCGACCGACCACGCCCATTTCCCGGAAACGTCCAAGAAATTGTTTTCTGTCTTTTATGGATGCAATTATTAAAATTATTGAAATTTTAAGAGGAGAAATAGAAACAAACAATAAGAAGTGGCAGACACCCAGGGGAGATGAAGGGAGGTAGTTGTTCCCCAACATTTTGGGAAGACAGAGGTCTTTTATTCTAAAAAGAATGGACAAATGTGATGTCATCTTATCAAAAAAATAGGCTTGCCCCCTCATATTATTGCCCAAAAAACAACAATGATGCAACATTAAAGAATTACTTAATAAGCATAGCAACACTAGTAATTGAAAATTGGGTAATGCAGGGAAAAATAACACAAAGATCAAGACAAAATGTGTGTGGCAAATTGTGCTTGGTTTTCTAATGGTTTAACATGTGGAATTTTATAGAAAGAAGTGTAGTTTTGTGGACATCCAAATGATTGATAAAAATTTAAGGGCACAAGACTCATCATAGAAGAGAATTATTAATGAAAGTTGACCAATGAAATTACTAAAAATGCAGGCACTTTCAGAGTATACAAGCCATAGAAACTTGGACAAAGAAATGGGCAAAAACCTTTTCTAGCAACAAAAGTAGACTGCTAAGGCTAGTCAACTTCTTTCTGGATGCTAACTCTCTTAAATGCATCATATCTTTTGGCATATGATAATTGCACTGCTTTAGAGTAAAATATTTCTGCATCAAAGTCAAAGTCTGTATATCTGTTTCAGATTTGTTGTTCATCATTTGGAAATACATGGAAGAAAAATTACTTTGGGATGACTGTCTATTTAGAAGATCCATCAAATTTAAATTTGAATCTTCTGAGACCTGACACTTTATACTAAACTTCCCTTTGCTTAGCTTTCAGATGCACTTTCTTTTGTCAAAGAAAATGATAATTTTTTGCCTTCATAATATTTCCTTCCACAGGAATGTTAACCAAAATTAGCTTTTTATCCAAACCACAATTCCATCAAAACTTAGTCTGGTAATAGGCTTGCTAAAATAAGCAAACAAATGCATTTCTCATCATTTTTCTTGTTGAAAGACTACTCCATTACTCCAACTCCTGCCATACTAGATTACATCATACCAAATACTGCATTTTAACATGCATTAAAAACAGATTCTATCTGCCTTTACTGTGTGTACTAACTTAATGTAAAACATACTTTATTGGACAGCATTTCCAGTTCCTAGTACCACCTTGCTCAAATAAATATATCTCAAGATTTTGACTTCTGTGTTGCATTCTCAATAAACCTTGTTCGTTATTGGCTTAGTATCAATAAAACAGAAAAGGAGATGCATCTCCAAAACAAGAGTGCAGTGTATGACAATAGGCCCGTGTAGCTCATATGATTAACCACATAAAATTTCCAAAGATGCAACATGTCAAATGGTTTCAAAATAGAACACAACAGCCCACCATAGCATAAAACTTTTCACCAAAGGCTGTGACAACAAATCCTATTCTGCTTGGTAACAATATCAGTAACAAGACTGTAAGAAAGTAATGACTTCTCTAACTGTTAAAATCTCTCTTAACTTTTTTACAGCTAGTTCTTTAAATTAAATTACAGCAAAAGTGAAAATCAACTTGCAAATAAATAACATGTTATTTTAAAACAAATTAAATAGCTATTCAAACAAACTAAAATGTATCCATAAACATTATATTACAAAGATAGGCAACCATTTAATCATTGAATGAATATTCTAGTTCTAGTTAAATTCAGAACAGTGTAATATTTGTGAATTCTACATTTAAATCACATTACACAAAAACAGAAAGACAATGGTAAGGTATCGGTGTTAAATTAAGTATTTTACCAGCATCCAGAGGGGCCAGTCTGCAAACAAAACAAACTTTTTGCAGAATTTACCACCTGAGCCTCTAGGCCCAGTAGCAGCAGCACAAAATGAACCCCTATATAAAATTTTTCAGCAGTACCTCAAAGTCTGACCCTTTCTCGTTCAACAAGGTTCAGCCATCAAAATGAAAGAATTCTTTTGCCACAATAAATGTCGAAGGTTGTGTGTTACGATCTGGTTCTGGCGCCTAGGCCCTCCCGGCAGACTTGTAAGTAACCATTCCCTAGTCAGCGAAAAAAAATACTCCTCGATGGTATCCAAAGCACAATCGGTCAATAACTGTTTCAATTCTTCCAATACATCCATACTTGCAATGGGTTCTTGTGAAATTATTCTCTAATCAAGCACAAACACAAATCATTACCAGGCACTGCCACTGCCACTGTAGTCTGGAGTCGAGTGTGGATTCTTGATCACGTGAAGTTGGTGTTCCCTGTCAAATTTAGCTACTTTGTGGACCAGCCCACTAACTCCAGGGTGCATTCTATGTTGATCCTACGCCGGACACTTTTTTTTGGCACTCATAAATTACGCCAAGTCTTGTGGACTTAAAAAAGGGTGCTTCTAGCAGCACGCCAACAGCCAACGTTTCTGGTCGAATATTTTTGGTGACCCTCTTTTTGAGAATCGTATAATAAAGGTTTGAGAGGAATGACAAGAGAACTACAACAAGATTTTCACTTAAAATTTCATAAATTAACGAAAACGATTTAAAGAATAGTTAGCTATATAAAAAATTAAAAGAACAAAACCTGGATTTCAAACAATTAATTTCAAAGATTTGGCAATACATTCATGCACAAACATATCTCACAGAGAAACAAAACAGTTGAGTTAAGGAAATATAAGATATTAGTACGTAGCTTATTCATACCAGAGTACCTTTCAATTATCAGACAGGAAAGGACAACGGCCTTTATCACTGTCAATACGATCAATTACCTTTGATACAACATAATCCTTATTTCTACTGGAAAAAAACGTGTTCTGTCGGTGCGGCCGCAATTTATCATCTCCCTGAATGTAAGTTTTAATCCCATCCTTGATAATATTTTTGCAGTTTTGAAGTGACGGCAAGGCCCATTGCAGCTTCGTTCTTCAAGCCAGTGTTTCGTTCGATTGCCCTCCTGACTGTTGTTGCGATCTCATTGAGCTGTAAAAGCTTTCAGCTATTGCTTCAGGCCCTCCCTTAGCCAAAAGAATGTCAATTAGAGCGCAAGATGGCTTACTTGCAATGTGACAGATTTCTTCGTTGTTGTAAAATGATTGGTACATTCGCTGTTCATGTAAGCGCACTTTCATAACTTTTCCATTTGAAAATACCATTTTGAACTGACAATCTAATGTATTGCTTTCTTCTTCTTCAAACTCTTCAAGTGTTGCATTTTGAGTATGTAAATTAACATTATTTTGGCTTATAATAAACCATTCTGGGCACTTGTCATTCCAGATGCCTGCTTTAACAGCGTTTTTTATTCTGGACATGTAAAGATACGCCATTCTTGAATCGAAATTCATCCCTGATTCCTTCACATGTTTTAGCTCGCTAATCGTTGTTAATATGCGCTTACATTCTTCCACTCCATATACTTCATACTCACCTTCATCTACAAAATATTTTATTTCTTTATTAACTCTTTTTCCACAGTGAAGCTTAACAAGATTCGCCGCATCAAATACTTCAAATGTTGATGGTGATTTTTCAGCAAGCGATTCAATTCTAATATTCAAAGCTTCACATAGCTCTTTGGCCAAATTCTTGCGATCTTCTTCGATATCTTTACTGTCACGCAAATGCCACGTAAAGCGAGAATTTCCATCTGCATTTTTTCCATTATCTTTCGTTATGAGCCAACCTTGAAGTAATTCAACTCCTTTGAATTTTAAGCCAGGTATCAAAGAGTGTTCGACTTTTGACAGTCTAGGAAAGACCAGAGGGTTCCCTTTTACAGCTTTTAGCAGAATTTCTCTGACTTTAGGCCACCACATTTGTAGCTTCCAGATTGGAGTGTCAAGTGATTGGGCTCTCAGCATCAGATCAATAATAGGATCCATGATATCCAAAAAGGATAAAAGATCTGCCACAAAATCACTTCCAGCAATCATGTATTGCCACTCTTCGTCTTCATCCCTCCGTGGATGTAACAATTCAAATGCCTGCCAGTACGATTGGTAGCTCTGTTCAATTTTGAGCCACTGCTCATACGATGAACTCATGAAACGCTGAGTAGCATATGACACAGGTTGTCTCGCAGTACTGTCCACCATCTGCAAAAAGGCAAACCCCTTTCCATTTGCCAAAACATGATTGAACACATTACATCTCTTGATAAATCTACGGAAATGTTCTCCACCAGGTGAGTTAGCATCTCTTACTTCGGTAACAGCAAGGTTTAAAACATGGGCTGTATCCCACGTTATGGGGAGAGCGATCACTTTGTCTACATGCTCTGGGATCTCCAGTTGCCGAAAAAGTGAACTTCTGAATCCAGAAGCCTGATAAGGGCCATCAGCTGCCACACCACAAAGCCTTTCCAGAATTTGGGGGGAGAAATTATCAGAAATTGCTTCCAGAAGTTTTAATGCCAATATATCATATGAGGCTTATCGGTAAATTCTGTATAAATGGCAGGAGCTGCAACAGGTATTGGGGAGGGTATCCCATTCTTATCTCTGGCGACAACCAATACTGCTTGGTTTGTTGTTCTGGCTGGTGTAGCTTTATCAATGGTAACCCAAAAGTGTGGAGGAAGGAATGTTGATGGGAGTGGCTGATTAAGGAATTCTGCCGTCTTCTTGTTCATCGACTTTTCCAGGCAGTACAGTATGTCATTAAACAGATTCCTGCCATGCCCAATGTTTCCAACATTTACAGAGCAATTTGCGAGTAAAGACACTAACACTTCAAAGTTTCTTGCTGCTGCACCAAGTTTCAAATCCACTATAGCCGCTTTAAATAAATGTGTTGCAGTTGTTGCATTTTCATTATTGGATTTCAAAGCCTGCTTGTATGCTTCCATGGCAATTTTATGTGTCTCTGAGCCGTTTCCTATGATACACATGTGGTCAATTAGCATATTTTTTTCCCGGTACCAAGTCCTATTATGACCTTTGATTAACAGACTCGCGATTTCCTTTTTCAAGAAAATTCCAGTTGCAAATGTTCCACTGCTTCTTGGATTAAGGATTTGCTGTGCTTGTAATGGAGTTAAATCGGCTAATGTTGGCTTAGCTTTCAGATGAAGCTCATAACATGGCAAACATCTCAGAACTGCACAACCACTTTTCTCATCATAGAACCACTGAATTGGCTTTGATGCCTCAACTAATTCATTGATATTGTTGGCTTTCTTCATTGCAGCAACTTGCCTTCCAGTCTCTGGGTCTTCAAAAACAAGCTGCTGTAAGCTTCTGTGCTTTGCTCCAATATCATCCACCTTTAAACTTAATTTATTTATCTCAGTCATAATGGCATCCATGTCTACGGTGCTGTTCTTCTTTGTTGCATCTAATTTTTCAGTTCTAAAAGATAAAAGTGTACTTTGAGTGTCCATTCCAGATATTTCTATCCCATCCAATGTTTCTTTGTCACTTGATTCTGTCATCAACTGAGGCTCGTTGCTGCATGCTTCCAGGGGTTCCAGGGGCTCTATGGGTGATAGGGCCTCCATGAATTTATTTTCCTCACTTTCAGTATTTGATTCAAGTTCATCAAGGTATTCTTCGTAGCTTGGCGTAGCTAATTCTAGATTGTTTTTGCCTTGAGCTGCTGCAGTGCTATGTACCGGGTCTATTGAAATAATCTGTGATGAAGTTGTACTGGTGTTTCTTTCTTCAGGTGTAGTGACTTCTGATACGTTCTGTTTTGCATATTTTAACTTCAATGAACTCACTTCTTTTGCAGCTGTTGGAACAATTGTGCATAACTTCGATCCGGGAATGCTGTGCCATCTATTTTTATGACGTTGAACAGTTGAATGATCTGTTCTGCATACAGATGTATATCTTTCATCCCTTTTTCCTTTCAAGTGTAATTCAAAGCATTGCAAGCAAGTAAAGCTGCCCTTTTCTGACGAGATTTTTTGTCTCTTTTCAGGGATAACTTCTTTGCTACTACTTGCACATCCTTTCGCCCAGGACAAAATCACTTGTTTCTTTCCTATACTTTGCTGTCGACTTTGTTTCTGTTGATTATCTGAAAAACGTTAATTGTTATATTTTATTCATTTTATTCCCGCTATTAATTAAAAGCGATCCCTCTTTTTCTTGGGCAATTCAAAAATAATATGAGCTAATTAGATTAAACCAAAATTAGTCTTTGCTTAGCCAGCATTTCATTCCTTACAAAAATGTGCGTGATTAAGAAGCCATAGAAGCATAGAAGTGGAGGTGTAAGAAACCAAATTAACCGAAACGTTTATTATGATTGCAAAATAGAGAAAAATCTAAAGCCCCCCTCCACATTAATTGGCCTTAGGGGCCATTCAAACAGTACTTGTGCTCAATATCCATCGATTTTGGATCTCCCTCCCTACTGTTTGCTTTTGTACGGTTTGGAGGTTGCCCCTCCCTCGAGCGTAAGTACGTACTTTTAAGTCATCAACTTCTCCCCTCTTGATTGTTTGAATCTATCACTTACTGCACTTGTTTAAAGTTTGCAAAATCAAGTACATACACAGGAAAATTAAAAACCTACCGTTTTCATCAATATCCATTTCAATCCATGTAATATTCTAACGGAACGCAAGTTCTTGGCTTTGCCTCTTCATTTAATATTGAGACCACATGACAAACGTTCGAAAATGTGACAGTACTTCCTTTTTGTGACAGTACTTCCGTTTTAAAGTGTCATCCCAACTTCTGTCGGGAAACGCCCTATCTATATGGACTCACCAGGGTGCATATAATACTCAGCATGCTCCTTGACATGATTTTTCCTTCTTTGTGTCGAAATACGGACCACAGAACCATGGACCACGGAATAACGAAACTAATATAGAAATCAAAGAAAACACCTCGCAGAGGAGATTAGTTAAGCATATCAAATCATATCTCGGCGATGCGCCACGCCGTCACGCCGTTTTCTGTCAACGATACGCCAATAATTTCAAACAAGTCATTGATATTCGGGGTTTTCTGTCGCTGACACGCTAAAAAACAGAATTTTTTTTTTCTACGCCAAGGCATTTTTCTTAGCCCACGCCGGACATATTCGGGCCTACCTACATGAAATGCACCCTGGCACTAACTTCTCAAGATTCTCAAACTGCGACGTAGGCAAGACCTCATAAAATATATGTTAAACATATGCCAGATATACCCTATTAAAAGTGAATGGGTTTAATACGTCATTCTGGCGAATTTTCCTCTCGTTAAAATCTTTCAGGTCGACCTCTTCTAAGTGACAAAAATGAATTGAAATTCTCTGCGTGCGCATACAGAAACTGCGTGCAACTTTCTAAAAATGCGAAGGAACTTCTCAAAATGCATGGCAACAGTCGATAAACTTTCTAAAAATCATGCCTAGATACAGGACGCGGCGCAGCCTCTTACTACTCTCCTGGGTACTAGGTTCAATGAAGGAGAATTTGGTTTTTCATCGGAGAAGATATAAAAATGTTTCGCAAAGGCAAAACGGAGTAAAATATAGCAAATACGACGATTATGTAGAAATAAATACCTAAAATACATAATAAAAAGATGTATGCTTATCTTGAATCTTAAATCTGAGCTCATTCATTACTTTTAGCATTTTATTTAGAATAATCAAACTGGGAAAATCTGACATTCTAAATTGAGAATGTTGAGAATGTCTCGATCCGCCCCTGCCCCCCTTGACCAAGGCATCAAGTAGCAGGACCGTAGCACTGCTAAAATTATTTGGGGGCCAATTATCAAAAGGTTGCGTTAAACTCACTCACTCATCAGGTTGCTTTTAACTTTCCTTTGGAAGCATTAGGGGGCCATTGCCCCACCTGACCCCACCTGGCCCCACAGGAGCTGTGGCCTTGAGTGATGAAAGCATTCTTTGCCAGATATCTGCACTTGTCGCCAACTCTTTGTGTAACCAAGTCAAGCGCTAATTCCAATCAATCTGATAAACTTTAAAAAGTCAGCTATTCTAGAGAAGCTACTTTTTATGGTACAAAGGTTGAACATGTAATGCACATTCGAAGTTTAGTATCCCACAAAGGAAATGGAACTGAATAGAGTAACTATAAATGTTCTTATAGTACATTTTGGCATATCTTGTCTCAGTCTATCGAGAACTCAAATACCTTGTGAAATTTTAAGACTTTCTTGCTTTACATGCTGCTATCTGGTTAGAGTTTTTATCTTTTCTAAAACCAAGCTTTTTTTTCATAGTTCTTTTGTTTGAGACTTTTATCATGTATCATTAGGTTGACAGGTTGTTCTATCTTTGCGAGAGCTTGTTATAAGAAAGTTAGATTTGCATACATTTAGGTAAAGTTTGTTTGCTAACATCAACACAGATACCATTTTTAATCAGGAGTTGAAAGTTCGTTCAGTTGTCCCAAGATTTTTGTTTAGAAATTTTAAACTCTGCCAAATGGCAGAATCTCAGCCTCTTAAAAGAGGTATGATTGCGATTCTCTTTGGAACACCAAGGTCTTTATCAATATTATTTTTATCTATTTAAACAAGTGGGGCATTGTGCCTGTGCCTAAATGTCTCCTGAAAGAGCTATTCCAGGAATTGCCTTCCCAAAGATTTTTTAAAGAAAAGAGCATTTTGCGAAAAACTTGTGTTGGTTATTTCTAATTTTCCTTTAAGAAAGATTTCTTAAGGCCTCCTTACTTTCAAATTTGCATTTTAAAGGAACGAGAACTGATAAGAGCAAACTTTCTGAAATTATGTAAATAGCAGGCCGTTATGATCTTGGTAGATTACACTTTTTTATAAGAAAGTAGTTTATTAAAAAGTTACGTTAAGAGCTGGATCTTTGAAACCTGAGGGAGTTGAAAAAAGTTTAGATATTCAAAATTTCAGAGGAAATTCCCTTGCAAGAGTGAAAAATTTCGTTTAGGGGCAATAATGTACTGAACAGGAATTTCCCAAGGTCCGAAAAAGTATATGTATAGAAATAGGTTCTCTTCGATAGTTGATGCTATGACGTTGAGGGTTTTGGAGGAAAAGCATACTTATAGCAGTTCATCTTATTCATCCCTGCGCATACACAGTACCGTAAAACTTTCCTGTTACACGCTAAGAAAGCGTTAAGAAATTTTTAGTACTAAAATATGACAAGTCTTAAACTGGGCTGAAAAAACTTTCTAATAAAAAACGTATAAAGTTCATATATGTCTTCGCTTGTGCTGTAGATTTTACTTTTGCGCAAACATCAGTTGGTTTCAAGTTAATGTAGAAAGAGAGAATCGTCAAAGTATCTCAATTTCATTTACTCTCCTTGAACAATGCTCAAATTTATGGAGTATCATGTTAGTCATTGGCGTCATTAGCCTGAACATGCAGTGGTCGATGAGAAATGACTCATTCTTTTGCATGAACACGATTCTGCGGAGGAGAAAACTCCAAAGGAACCAAAAGTGGCCTTGATAAGACGCCCAAATTGTGAATAATGGCGGATGTAGTTTTATTACACAAATAATATATCGGGTGTCAAGAGCTTGTTATCTTAGCGTGAACATTATTTAGAACAGCACAAGGTTAAAGAGAATCCTTTTTGGCAGGAAGAGTGGTATTATTGGCATGATTCGTTAATAAGGGGACAATCTTGTTATTGAAGATGAAGGACCGTCTTGCTGAGCTGCGGGGTGTAAGTATCACGATCTTATTTATTTATCGTTTACATTTTCACGTGTAAACTTTTAACCATATTGTATAATGAAAAGCAGTATCAGATTTAATTTTGCACATGTTTGTACTGTTTTGGCTCTAAGGGAGGTAGCCTTGAAGCAAGTTTGAACCCAGCACTACACACTGTACTGTGTCTAGACTTGCTTTCTTTCTAAAATCGAAAGTGTACCGAACGGAAGGTCTGTGTTTTCCTTAGAAAATCCAAGTTTCTCTCAAGAACTACACGGAGCTCAAAAGAAAGTAATTGCAATATTCAATTTTCTTTGACACAAAATAAGGCAGAAATTCCTTCACAATGTGTTAGTCTATTTGTATCCGGTTTCTGTTGATACCGGAACGAAATGGATGGTTTTTGGACTTGATTGCCTTAGATGCAACGGAGAAACAAAAGGAATCTAGGTGTAGCCTAATACTGCCATTTTTCTTAAAATTTTCTAGCAGGGCCATTTCTTATTTAGGAATCAGGGGGTGGCAATTGCACCATCACCAGCAATTCCACTCCTCAGATTTATTGTATCCAATATGCAGAAATATGTCTATTGTTCCTTTTGCTAGAGAAATAATAGAATCCCCTCAGTCAATGTCTATTTGAAGAGTCCCTATGGAGCGAAAACTGAACATGTGATTAGCACAAGTGCTTTTGAGAGACGAGTTATGGTAGGTGTAGCACCCAATACAGGACACACAACTTGGATACTAAGACCCTAAAATTATTTTACATTTGTATAATGAAATTTAGTTGGGAAATAACACTTTATCAAATATAGTGCCTAGAAAAGGTGGTGTCTATTATGAAATGGACTATAAATCCGGCACAATCAATAAACAAAATCCCTGAACTACTTTTAAGACTTTAAAATGGTAAGAAGATGACATCACAAACTGCATTATTGTGATGTTAAGATCTTGATCATAAATTCTGAAAGTGGACTGGAAAATAACACGCAATTTTCAAATCAGTTAAATGTATTAAATTTGGCTGAGACATGGTCATTAAAAAATTTGACAGTTTATTTACGGATTATTTTCATTTTGGCTTTGTTCATGAAATTGAGAACCCATTGAATAATTTAGAACATCACAAATCTACAGTTCAATGAGCCTCTTAAATTATTTGCTGTTTCATTTTTTACTTCTATATATTGACTCATTATTGCTGTTGGTCAATTTCTATACCTTTTGTTTATCTATTTGTTGGATAAAAGTGATAGGTCTAGTGTTTTGTATTCTTTACAAATGTTGAGCACATGCATTTGAGCCTGTAACTCCAAACAAACCATTTGTTTAAGTGAATTTTAAAAGGTATTTACTCTATAAGCAGGTATTCCCTATTCTGAGCAAATAAAAACTTGAATAAACTGCAGGCCAACTGCCAATCACCAACTGCCAACTTCCAACAGATAATTTTCTCTTTAATGCTGATCAGCTAAAAAAATTATAAACCTCTCTGCAGAAAAATTGCAACTGGGATCCTTTTTTCATAAACCTTTTTCATAAACAGATGCCTTCCCCTTTTTATGCAATTTTATTTTATGCAATATAGCTGTCTCATTTTTTTCAAACAACTCTTTGAAAGATTCCCAGTAACTTATGAATGTTAAGAAACTCAACTTCAGGGAAATTATTTATTTTGGCATTTATTTTCTTAGAGGCCTAGTTCTGTGTTGACAATTCTTTTTATATGGATACCCATCAATACTGTGTTGAATTACCTAATTAGGGGTCAAATAGAACTCTTTTAAACAACCAATTTTTTTAAAGAAACATTGTCTTGCCTAATGATTGGAAACAATGAAAACAGAAATGAACATGAAGACCAAATGGACTTAAAAATGTCTTGCTGTTATTAAATAAATGGTCCTGCAGACAATACTTGTCAAAAAGAGTTTATTGGTTGTGACAAAACTGTCGAAAAATTATCCCAGGCAGCTGGGAGTAGAAAAACATTGGTATTTGTTTGCTGAAATTGAGAGAGAAGAACACCCTTAAATTACGTACATGTTTTCCATCAAGTAATTTTTACATATTACGTGTCCTACTGTATCAGTCATTTTTTGTATGAAAAATTATCTTTAACTATCACCTACTATTCACCATTTAAAATCTTGCAATTTCATCTATCAGGAGTTTTTATGCCATTATTTTTGTCTCAAAGTCTCAAAATACTTCTGATGATAGGTAAATGTTGAAATTTGAGAACAAATTTTTTAATCATAAATTTGCAGCTCAAACTTTAATATTTATAATTTTGCTGTGCACATTGGCTAGCTTCAATCAATAAAATAATATATTTTTAAAGTCACTTTATGACTTAATTTTTCATAAAATTTGTGTAGTTGTTTGGATACTTTTAGTTTTCTCTTTGCAAGACGATACTTAATAGAAATAGACAGATACATACAGAAGTGGCTTGTGCAATCTGCCAATTCAATGAGAAATTGGCCAATCAATAAGTGTGACACCCATTGAATCAGAAAAGTTTTTGCTTTTTAAAGCAATACATATCAATTTCAGATTGTTTTATGACAGCATTGTATTTATCTTGTTTTTGTTATCTAATTTTTAGCTGCAGACAGACGTCCCACCTGATTATGATGAAACAGTTTTTGATTCAAATGCTTCTGCAAACAGGAATCCATTTCTTGATGATTTTTTCACCCAGGTCTGAAAATTTTTAATATTTTTTGTGGATCTTTTCTTTGTTATTTTGTAATTAATTATTTTTTTCCTTAAAAAAATTGGGATGATGACATTACAGGAATATAGACAGATATTTTTGATTTTATTGCATTGTATTGTTTGCTAGCTAGCTTCCGAAGGAAGTTTTAGGACACTGAAAGGCTTTTGCTTATCGAACAGTGTCATGATCCTTCCTCTTGATGTGACCACACTTTATGATTCCAATGCCTGAAACTACAGAGAACTGGAGACCCTCCTTACTCTGAGAGAAAGTTTAATCACGACAGGGACTTGAAACATAGACCCATAATGGTCTGTAGTCAGCAACCCTAACTACTGAGCCATCCCTGCACATTTGATGATTGCATTTCCTCATAAATTTCAGCAATATTTATTCATCATAGGATCTCAATCATATTAAAATAGAAAGATATTTTTGCATGTCATTTAGAAAACTGATGCTGTCTGCAATTTCAGTATTATAATTTAGTTTTGCCACTGTACTACACAAGTAGAGTTGAAATCAAATATAACTGAATAAGTAACAACATAGATGGAACTTGTAGTTAAATGTTTCTTGGTTCATCTATTTTCTTAGATTGAAGAGATTCAACAAAACATCAGTGAAATAAAAGAAAATGTCCTTGAAGTTAAAAAGAAGCACAGTGACATTCTTATTGCTCCACAGCCAAGTGACAGTAAGTAACAAATATGACATAGATGCACCTTATTTTTAAAGATATTGCCATTTAAGAACAGGTTGTTAAGCAAATTTTTTTCTGATGGCTAATTTTCGTATAACTTTTCCTTTCATATGTCTGTACCCATATCGCAAAATTTATCAATATGGTTCATTTTTTGTAACAAATCATACATGAATGAATCAAACAGTGTTTATTCTTTCTTTTTTTGTAAGCAACAATATTAAGGAATTTGCAGCAGATAGTTTTGGACTTAGTTCCCTCCAAGTTTTCCTGAAGAATACTTTTTGCCTTACACTTGCTTAAAAGCAAATGTTTGTGGAAGTGTGGGTTAATAGCAAAGTATCCCAGTTGCTAAATGTACTTATTATAATATTACTGTAAAAGAAGCAGAATTATATTTGTGAATGTTCTATGCAATCTAAAAAATTGCTAACACACTGATTATGGTCATCAAAGCCAAAAGAAATTTGCTGAGCTGCTGGCATGCACTATTTGTGAAGCAAAGTACGACAGATAGTAGCTAGATAGCAAAACAAAACTTAAAATGTTAGGGGCCATATTTAAATTACAAGCTTACTACAAAGTATTTTAAAATGTAAATTGGTTTTTGTTTTGCAAAACAAGAATGGAGTTCTTTTAAAGGGATCTTGATTAATCTTTAACAAGTATGAAGATAGTGAAGCAAAAACTGTTTTTGCTCAATGCTTGAGAGAAAAAGCCCACCCTGCCTTTCATTAATCAAAATTTTCTCTGGTTCCTTTTTCCTTAATAAACTACAATATGAAATAATCTTCAAAACGCCTGGTTATTTGACACAGGAAATTTGCTGAAAGTGTTTTGCTACTTTTTCATATTTTAGGGAAGCAAATGGAAATCATCTGTTTATTTTTTCACCATGTCATATCAATTTCAATTTAACTTTTGAAGATGTATCTGAAAATACTTTTACAAAAGCTCATGCTTTGTGAATGTAAAATTTTAATTTTGTAGAGAATAATTAGAATTAGTAGCTTAAAAGATTTTGATAGTCATAAAGTAAATATATGCATGGTTTTTGTACTTGTTACAGGACTAGAGCATTCACATTTATTTTTGCTGATTACATGATTTTTGTACAATCTATTTCTTGTAGTACAATAAATTGACATAGCTTAATAGTGCTGCATGCAGCATTTATTATTTTACTGTTGCTATGAAAATCTAAATTTGATTTCCATAGGGACAAAAGAGGAGCTGGAACAGTTAATGGCAAATATTAAAAGGAGCTCAAATAAAGTACAGAACAGCTTGAAAAGTATGACTCGTTTTTCTTTCTGGATAGCAAGTCTATTAATCAATGGTTTAGATTTCAAAAGCTTTATAGTGGACATCTGTCATTTATTTTGTTCAGTGTAGGGGGGGGGGGTAGCATTTGCCTGGATGGAGATGTAGTGTTTTTAAAGGAAGTATGTTGCGCCACTGATTGGTTTGTCGAAGCAAAGAACAACATTTCTATTTCATGGAGATCTTGTTCATATCAAAGGAAGTCTCTTACTTGCTATTTATCAGTTGTACTAATCTGTCACGCTTCTGTAATTTTGAGAACCCTCGAAATTCAACAAACAATAGCCAATAACCAGTGCAACACACTGCTTCTAAATGTATTTAAACTTATTCTAAAACTTATGTAAATTCGTACATAGATTTTCTGTAATAATGTTTGTTTTGAAACCTTTACTCTCTTGACTGTTTTCTGGTCTGGCATTAAGTGCTTGGTGCCGCAAATGCAGAGCTGTGCATGTTTATGTGGATAGAACAGGCTGGTTCTAAGTTGCTTATTCGTGTTTAACGCTTAATACGATCATTAGACAACTTTTCTGGATGATTCAATTATGTTGAAATTCAGAGAAGCAGCTTAGAACCGTCCTTTTCTATAAATAAAATGGGTACTCCCTTGATTGGAAGCCTTATAATTACTAGTCTATTGGTTTGTTAGGTATGCAAAGGCATATACAGGAACAGGAAGGCTCAAGTGGTGGTAATTATGCGGAAATCAGGATAAAGAAGAGTCAGGTAGAAAAATCTACTGTTTAATGAAATATTTTGCTTTTTGGCTGTAGCTTTTTCTCCTGAGGTCTTACATTTAAGGTCAACTCGATTTTTTCAGTGGAGATTTTGAAATTGATATATCTGAATTTTAAAAGTTTGTACAAGTTTGAGATAAATGATCTTTTTTTGCTTGGGGATGTTCTGTAGCTAATTAAGTTGCTTTAGAAATTGTTGGGATTCAAATTGTGAATTTGTTTATGGTAATAGTCTCAAGCTAAGATCATGCAAACTATATACTTTTATCACAAATTTAGTTTAGAGTCTTCCGTTGATACCTTCAATCTGTAAATGATATTTTTGGTGATCTGTTCTTGGTATTTGGTTTGCAGCATGCAGCGTTGCAGAGAGAGTTCGTCGAGGTAATGCATGATTACAATGCCATCCAAAATGACTACCGAGACAGATGCAAAAATCGCATCCAAAGACAATTGGAAATCAGTACGTACTATTAAGCGTTTTTTTAGTAACACTGTTTTTGACTGAATATTGACTAGGCTAAAATAAAATGGGTTTCGAATGAAATATGGCGGAAAACGAGGTCTATTTGTTTATGAGTCGATTTCATGTGATAGTTTTTCGCCCACCAGCGAGGAGGGGCTAATCGAATTGCTTTAGAGGATGCGCTTCTTTTTAGAGTGTCGTTTCCTCTAATTATTATGTTACTGGGTTGCATAGCATTTCCAATTTTTGGCAAACCTGTACTTAAGAATTAATGGAATGGAAGAATGTACTTAAGAAATAATTTCTTAATGATGAAATTCAAAATAGACCTCTACTTTTTAACATATCCGATTCAACATAAAGATCTAAACTTATTTTACTGATAAGAAAGTCTGTACAATTCCTTTGTTTTCCTTTTATTCCTGTATATGGTTTGCCAGGGTGTCTTTTTCCTTAATTTTTCCAGCAAAGGGCAGTATGATCTTTTGAGCACCGCACACCTCCCGTGCATTTTGATGTGCTTGCCATTTGTTGTGAGCGTATAATTTTCCTGAATGTAGACTACCAAAGTAGAGGACCGTTGTATTTTTTTCGATGTACGCAAAAAATTACCTGTTTGTTTCTGTCACATCCATTTACTCTTTCAATGAATCTTTTTGCAAGAAAGCTGAAGCAATTGCTAAAATTAAAATGTTTCATCTTTGATACCTATACCTTTGTTGCAATGAGAAAACACTATTTAACTAGCTGGCCTCTTGTCTACAATTACATAATGGATTTTAATTAGACTGATCATGAAACATACATACAATGTCTGTCAAATGTCTTGGTCAACTACAGCAAATTCTTGAATATTTTTTGTTGCGTCCCTGTCTTCCCCTCCGAACAATGCTTCATGCAGTGTTAAGAGGTTCTATATTACTCAGTAGGTTCCTTTCTAAAAACCGCATAGTTTTAACTCTACAACCAACACTGTTTTGGGAGAAAAGTGTGCGGTATCGGTCTTTTTTACCTGAAACGTTAATTTTTTCAAAAGAGCACTTAACTTGCAGGTCGTTCCATTGACTTTTAGCGAGGATTTTAGTTGACCCGTGAACTGCTTGATACGTTAATTCATTAAGGTGTTTAAGTTTTATGCCAGCTTTGGTCTTCATGTAGCATTTTCTGAATAGAACAATGCTGAAAAGTGGAATTTGATGTTACTACTTCATATATGATATTGTTTCTCTTCAACAGCTGGAAGGTCGACCACAAGTGAAGAACTTGAACAGATGCTTGAGTCTGGAAACCCTGCGATATTCACTCAGGGGGTCGGTTTCATCACCTCTTTTCCCTACATTTATTTCGTCATTTTGCTCTACTTTTCATCCTCAAAGAAAACTGCCTGCAGTTCAAAATTATCCTTTTCTCTGTATAGTCCATTTATTAATTTCTATAAAATCCGTTTCATGTCACCTTTGTGCTATTTACTGTTCAATTTGATTGGTTTTCTTACAGTTTCCAAACTACCTGTATAATAAAAATGTTTAAATTATGATATAATCAATGATATCTTACAGCTGCAAAGAACTTGATCATTTGCGATTCTGAGTATGTGTTTTTGTCAAAATGACAATCGAGTTATTTAATTCTCTATAGATAATTGTGGAAACTCAACAAGCAAAACAGTCTCTACGTGATATCGAGGCACGACACAATGACATCATGAAATTAGAAACCAGTATTAGGGTATGTCATGATTGTTATTATTTTCTGCTTTTAAAGGCGAATGCTATTTCCTTATGCCCATTTTTCTATTTGCTATCCACAATAGCGGTTTGTGCATGGCATGGACAGGAATGGAACTACCTAATATAATTATTGCTTGAGATATGTGTAGCATCGAATTTGCAAAGAGAATTGAATAATCAAAACACCTTAGAAATGTTAATTGATTAATTGATGTGTAGAGTAGATTTTGCGAAGAAAAATGATTAAAAACACCTTAGAAGAGTTAATTGCTGGTGCTAATAAATATATACACTAATCGTGTGGATATTTTTATCACCGCTGTAGATGTAAAATAATTCATTGATGATTTAGTTATAGCGTTCTTTAAATGTATTAAAAATTTTGACAGTCAGGAAAAACATTGTCTCCAATGTTTACTTAGAAAATTAACCAATGTTTACTTAGTCATAAAAATCTTGTTTTTTCAACTAGGAATTACATGAAATGTTTACAGATATGGCAATCCTTGTAGAGTCCCAGGTAAATATGAGAATTTTTTGTTTATTGGGTCATGTGAAAAACACAATATTGTTATTGATACTAGTACAGATGTTGACCCTCTGGAGTCTTCTTCACTTAGGTAAGGATATCTATTTGTCAAAAGAAAGAGTTTTTTGCAGAGATTGCGGTTAGAACCACGGACTGGCCAAAACGTGACAAGTTTTCTATAACAATGTTTATGCTATTGAAATATACCTGGGCTCATCTTGCGTAACTTAACCTAGATTGAAAATAAGGATTAACCAGTGCTAAAAAAATGTTGGTTAACCCGCGTTTTTTAAGATGCGTATGTGTCAGACTGTCAAAAAAATGATGAATTAAACATTTGTATCCATGCAGAATAGAAAAGCAGCCTTGGATAACCCTTTGTAACATTTATAAAACACCAAGAAAATCTTGTCTTGGCTCAATCCGCCTTTCGAGAAGGGTCATCTTTCCTTTGTAAAGAAGCTGCCTTTACACATCAAAAGTGCTCAAAGCTCATTTGACCTGGTTGAACATGGGTTAACAAGCAAAATATCAAAGGATAGATATACTAGATTGCGTGCTGTACAATATAATAGAAAATAACTATAAATTTATGTAAATTGTACTAGGAATAGATAAGAGATTATAAATTAACGACGCTAGCTATGCTCAAAACGTCGTTAGTATAGAATCTTTTATTTATTCCTAGTACAATTTACTTAAATTCATAGTATTTTTCAAAGTATTAAAGGGCTTTATAATGCTAGTTGTTGAAATCACGAGGCGTGGTTGAGAAGACCTTCCTAGGCTAGGGGAATCCTGTTAGCCAAATTTCTAGGAATAACAAATAAATATCATCTGTTTTGGTAAGGGTATCTTTTCATAATAGAAAGATAAATTCATCGTTTTGATTTTGATTAAAGTGATGAATTCACGGAGCCAGCACGTGACTGATTCTTTTCAATAACTTGTTTAGCTTTTGTTGGCTAACTGACCTACTAACATAGGAAAGAATGTATTGGTGTTTGGGGTGACATCGTAGTAGACTCTTTTTGAGTGATTTTTCGCTAAATGAGAGGCAATCCAAGACCTACATGATTCAGTGTCAGACGCTTGGCGTGAAACCTTGTGTTTCTGCAATTTGCCACCTCGATTTACGGATATTTTTTATTTGTGTTTTGTCAATGATTCTTCAAAAAAACATCCAATTTCAATAAGTGCCTTAAAGAAGACCTTGGGACTGGAGGACAGCTTTAGGGAAAAAGGAACATTTCTGTATCCATATAAAGCTATAAGTTATACTATTCTGTATCCATATTACCGTTACACTTTTTGATGCTGCTTCGCGGCGCGGGGTCTGCATTTCAAGAAGAGTTGATTAGCGAAAAATGGAAATAGCTTGATCTGCCTTGCTGCAGTTCCTCAGGGCACTTTTGTAGCAGATCAAAAAAGTGATCTGATTGAAGGGAACCGCATTGTCAAATCTCCCAACACTTTGAATATGCCTTCACTTCCAGCTACTTTTATAAGAATGATACATTGTTTGTTTGCACATTGATTTAACTCATAGAGCACAAGTTAGATGATTTTTTTATCATTACACAGGGTGAGATGATCAATCGTATAGAATATAATGTCGAGCAAGCAGCAGAATATGTGCAAGCAGCTGTGGTTGATACAAAGAAAGCTGTCAAGTACCAAAGCAAAGCCCGTAGGGTAAGCTGTACTCTTTTGGTTTTGAACTGTGGTTCTGACATTTACTTTGTGGTTCTGACATCTACAGTGAATTGGGCAAGCCAATTAAGATAACATAAGAATTTTTTATAGGATTCAAAACTAAACACAAAACCTTGTCAGTTGATGCCGAAAATCTAATAGAGTAAACTCTCTGCAATTCAATCTGAACATCATGTGACAAGCTTCTACAATTTTAAATCAGGTTGGCATGAAAACTCACGTGGGCATAAACACCTTATGTCGCTTTTTCATGCCAGCCTCAAAATGCCTTATAATTTGCATTTTTCCAATTCGAGGGGAATCTATTATCCTTCTCGCTCTTTTACGATGAACTTTTACAAAACAGAAGTCATGTGAACATCATGTGACCAGCCTCTAAATATTTATGTTGAGTATCATATAAGGGCGTTCAACTTTAATTAAATTTTCATGCCTGAATGAATTCATTCCGGGTCTCATATAAAGGGCCCTTTAGGATTTTTGAAGAAATCAAGTTAACATTTCTGATACATCTCTTATTTTTTTTATTTCTAGAAAAAAATAATAATCATTATTTGCTGTTTGATACTGCTCCTGATCATCGCCTTGGCAATATACTTTGCAGTGAAAGGTTGAGAACCTGTCGTTTTCCTGTTATGTATTGATGTACCATATAATTGTTCATGTAACATTTTTTATTGAAAACTTTACCTTCACTATAAATGCAAATTTGCAAAGATCTGCTTTTATATAAAAGCTGGCAAGACAGTTGCTGTGAACAAGGCAAATAATGTACCAAATTTTTGTTAAAAGAAATTGATTCACTAACAATCATTTTTAAATATTCATCAACAATGAAGGGGAATTTTTTTGAGACCTATGTGATGCAGAAATTGTCATGATTGATGAATCATTGCTCCATTGATTGATTTGTCATCTAATGTTTTGCTTGACACCAAGTTTATCTGTGAATCAACTCATACGTTTTTGCAGGGCAATTTTGAACATGCTAAGATGAAAATGTTATAGTCAGGCTTTATATTAATATGTTAATAGACTGCTAGTTCATCTTGAGTGTTAATTCTCTGTAGCTTATTATTTCCATAAATAATATTTTACATATGTAAATGTGACTGGCAGTTAACATAATTCCAGGCTTTTGTTCCAGCATTAAAATTCCTATTGTTCAGAGTCTTTTCAGTTTGCTTTAGATTTTCTTAAAACTGTTGCCTGATTCCTTTCCATATCATTTCCTCTTTGTTATTACTATAGTACAGTTGTTTTTGTTTGTTTTTGTATTGTATTTGTTGCTACGTAGCATCCGAGGGAGACTTTAGGACACTGAGAAGCTATGCTTATCGAGCAGTGTCCTGGTACTTCCTCTCGATGTGACCACACCTCGTGATTCCTACGCCTGGAATTACAGAGAGCTGGCGACTCTCCCCACTCTGGGTGAAAGTTTGGTCATGTCAGGGACTCGAACCACGGACCCTCAACTGAGCCATCCTCGTATTTACTATGTGTTCTCCACCCTGCAATACACTGTTGCGTCTTTTTCGTTGTTCTTAGGGGATCTAGCCTACCAGAAAAAGGCTAAGGTGTGAATAGAAATCAGGGAAAATCATTTTGAAATAAGGCGCTTTTCCTTGGCTAAAATTTCAAGCACACAATAAAATTTATTTTCAGATTTTTTGATTAACAACAGAATTTCTTTCAAATATAACCAACAACTATGAAAAATATGATACTTCAGTAATAATTCAGGAATAGACTAGTATGGGAAAGGAAAATCTGGGAAAGTTAAGACAGCAGAATATTTTTTCACTTGCAAAATATATCGTAACTTAGTGAGAATAAACACATTATGTTTTAATCATGTACCAGAAAGTATGTTTAACTGTATTTGCCAATTGAAAAACTTCGTATTCATTTGATATAATTATTTCCTCAGTAAGTATCAATTTAGTCAACCTCGTCAAAACTTTAGTGGATACTTTTGATCTGCTCTGAAACTAAACTCCACGCAGAGCTGAACAAACTTTAAACGACCTTTCTGGACAACGGCTATCTAGAAGATGTAATTTCTTCTTACACGGAAAAAGATCGCAAGTTTTTCGGCTGTCCAAAAGTTCGGTCCAAGAGCCCAGTTTATCTTAAACTACCTTGGATTGGTGACACTCCCTTGCGATTTGAAAGTCAGATTAAACAGGCCATCACAAAATGTTTCTTCGCTGTCAATCCTCGTTTTGTAAACAGTACTGGAGAGCCCTTCCATCCATTCAAAAGGATTGCGTTCCTACCAACCAAAAAAGTTCCGTTATTAATGAATTTACGTGCCAGTGTGATTCTGGCTACGTAGGACGCACAACTCAAATATTGAGGATAGGATCAAACAACACTTATTCCAACATAATAAGCAAAACTGCCCCCAAAGTGAACAGCCTCCTCGATCTTGTAGGTCTAGAAACACTGTTAAAACAAGTGATACTGCCATCGGTCAACATTTTTTAGATAACCCAGATAACCGTGCAACTTTTAATGTGGAAATGCCGGTCGTCTTTTCATCTAGCAGTTTTAGAACTGATCTACAAACAAACATAAAAGCCGCCATAAACGAAATAGACAGAAGGAGTTCATTTTCTCCTGATTGGCCTATTTCGATCGACAACTGGGTATATATTTTCCATCGTGTTCTTTCGGACCGTTATTCTGACGTTTTATACTCTGAGGAGTGTCAGACGAAAAAACTTTTAGTAGTATGTTGTGAAATGTTTGTTTTTTCAAAATTTATTATCGATTTATACTTGTCTACAGAATTAAAATCTGTTTGATGTATGCCTAATTGGCTGGATTGCAAAGCCAAAGCAATCTGTCGATTGTGTTTTTACCAGAAGGCAAATTCATATCACAAATATGTGTTGACATTACCTGCCTTTTCAAAGAAAAGGTAGTTTTAATTGTGATTACTAGTTACTAAATTACTTAAATTGATCATTTTAGAATTAAAAAAGTCAAGTTGAAGTTGCTGAGTAATACGATTCACCCTGCATATCAGAGATGAAACATGAATTTAAATGGGCTGGACATAATATTATAACATGTAGTTGACCATCCGAAAGTGGTTATATTTTGAATTTAAAATAAAATTGATACACAATTTATGCTATTTATTAACAAAGAATAAAATAATGACTAGAAATGTATGAAAATGTCCTTTATGTTTAAAGCTTTGTGATGAGGGGTCAAAGAAATTTTAACAATATTAAAATTAAAAGTTTTGTTAGAAATCTGATCATAAATTTGCTACATTGCTTTGAGGTCAAAGCTTTAAATTTCTAAATATATGAGTCGATATATATGATTTCTAAATAAATTTCTAAATGAATATATATGTCAATAGCTTTGAAAACAAGACATCACCAGATAACCCTAAACATTATTTTGTAATTAAGCAGGAGGTTCTTGCACTGCTTATACCTTTGAGTGCTGAGAGTAAAAATTTTTAAAGATCATTTGTAAATTTTAATTAATATTAGCTTTCAGAGCCATAAAAATCCTAAATTTGGTTTATTTTCCATTCAGTGATTACCTAAAATTATTAAGATTTTAAAGCTTTTACCCAACTTAACCTATTAGAAAAGTTTAAGATAAAAGTAAAAGGTTTAAATGAATTTTGTTTTATTATTGTTTTGCTCGGTTTTTCTAGATGTATACTCTTGTTTTCACATGAAGACTGTTTATAACAGTATTTCAAAGCTTTAAATACAAAAAAGTTAAGTAAAAAATAATAATTATGCTTACAGGTGCTTCTGAATTTTTACTAAAAACGTATTTTAAATGAAATGGTAAAAATAAATGTTAAAATAATTGGCAAAAGTGTAAAAAACGTGAACATGTATCTATTTCTTTACTTGCTACTCAGCTTATCAAAAAATGACAAAATGCCAAAATCTTGTTTTATATACCAACAGATAAAATACAATTTGTATTTCCAGATGCGTTTAAATTGATATCTACAAATAAATATACACTGCAATACATCTTACTGTTAGTTAGTCCATCCCTTTTTGAATGTATATTTGAAGTTAATGTTTTGATATACTCGAGAATAATGCAACTGAAAGTTAAGCAAAATCATGCTTTGGTTTATCCAAAGTGCTTCTGAATGAACAAACACCATCAACATGATTCTTTCCTGTATCAGGCATGCTGGAGCCGGGTGGCTAGAGGGGTGGTGCTGAAGTATGCTTTTTGAGGTTTTACAATTAAGGTAGATAGTTGCAATCTTCAATAAAAGTTTGCCAACTTGTCTAGAATCCCCCCCTCCCCCCTCAAATGTGCTCCAACATTCCTATTTCACCAATATAGTGTTGTTTTTGTAATATTTCTATTTTTGTCCCTTTTGTTTGCAATATCAGTAAAAGCTTTAGAAGCTTCCTTGGAAAGTGAGGGCCAAATTGCAATGTCTTCTTGAATACAAAGGTGTGACGGTCTCATTGCAACTATGCTACTAAGCTTTTTCAAATGAAACTATCTTGCAAAAATTAGGTTTTTGGAAGTTGTAGTAAGTTATCAGTTAAAGAAACGTCTGTCTTGTTAGCTGCTGAAAGTCTTGACCTAGAAGATCTAACATTTGGGGTAGTCTTCTGTATATTTGGTGTTGTGGGTGTTGTGGCACGTCTCCTTGGAGATGGAGAGTAACTGCTTCTCAAAGCTGAATCACCTGTCAATCTTGCATTGGCTTGAACTAGTCTTTGTGCTGCAGGAGATAGCTGAGTTATGCGGTCTGTAGATGATCTTCCAGGTGATTTCCTAAAGAAGAGATAACATACAAGGAAGTTAACAACAAGCAAAGTTTATTTTCCAACCTTGGACTGTTGCACCTTAAATGTCGGAAGGTGTAATGTTTGTTGTAGTCCAAATGCTAGCTTTCTACTTATTCAAGCAAGCAATTTCTTTGATTTCGCAATAAATGCTACAGTCTTATATATATATAAAAAGGGGTTTAATGACCAACTTGAGCAAGGTTATCTGAACAAGTCTCCATAACTTACCCTATTGAGGCAGCTGCTCTAGCAATAGCCTCTCTTCTTTTATTGCGGTGTTCTTTGCTCATCTTTTCAACCAACTGGTGCCCTAGCTGCTCTCTCCTAGGGGGCTCTGGTATCTTGAATGTTGGCCCAGATGTTGAACCAGGAGTTGCATCCAGGCGCATTGGTGTTCCCTCAATTTCTCCCCATGTCATAAAAGGGGAAGAATCTGCACCTGAATGAAAAAGGTAATTTTGATGGCAATTCAAAACAAAAACTTGCATTGATAATGGAAATTATAGATCTCTATGTTCCTTATGATCTTATCTAGAAAAAGGTTGGTACAGATTTTAAAAATTTTCCCAATATGGGAAAGCAAGTTAATCATAGTCAGTGGAAATCTTTGATAACATGACAACAAACAAATAGGAAACTCTGCTACAGAGGCAGATTGGAAACTCTGAAACCCTGCTAAGTGTTTTTGTTAAAAATAAAAACTGTAAAATAGACAAATTAATCCTATTTAAATTCATCATTAAACACTGATTATAATTTTTATATGAAATATTAAACAGAGTATCCAACCTGGTGCTGGTGACGGTGTAGCGACAAAACCATAACCTTTAACTGTTGGAGTTACTGAGGCAGCTTCTAAGGAACCATCTACTCCAACTTTCCCTACTTGTTTCTTGATGTTCGCATTGACACTTGCTGCTTCTGTAAGAGCTGCTTTGCAAGCCAAGGAGTGAAAAGGATCTGCATTGAATCTTGTATTTTCATGCTTTATCTCTCTTTCTTTCTTCCCCTTCTGCAAAATTTTTTCTGCAGAACTCAAATCAACACCTTTTGGTACATACATGAGGGCGTTTCTTGATTGATAAGTCCATGAATCAAGGTTATATGGCTTGTCATCAAGGTATTTCTGTGCTTGTTCCTCACAACTAGGAAGTGCTAGATTTGCATGCTGCTTATCGGCCTGACTTCCCTCAGCCTTGAATAACCAAGCAAATTTATCTCTTATCCTAAGTTTTGATTCTTCCATAATTCTTTCAAAGGAAGCATTGTCTTCACTTGTATGCTTGGCAAGAAATTTATCCAAGGAAACATTTGGTGTTTTATCTGTAACATTAACAATATTGCTTGGTTGGGTTTTTAGTGTTTCAGTATTTCCAGATGGTGTTTTAGCCTGGTCTATTGATGGAGTCTCAAATACGCTTGGTGTGTTGTCTGTAAAAGCAATTAGTTAATGATGACTTTGAAAAGTAGAAAAAAAATTAATTTTGATAAACTAAACTTTTTGCTAAAATTGTTTTTACTTTAGCAAAAAAGATGCATGAACAAAACATGCCTTGTATTTACTAAAGTCCATTATCCTATTAAATTTTGCTGGTAAAAAATGGATATCCAAGCTTAGCAGCTTTTAAAATCAGATGCTTGTTCTTATAAATGATCAAATATCAAATGCTAGATGGTAAAGAAAAGATTATCAGACATTAAAATTTCATACACTGAGGGCTAAGAGAATATAAGACTACCTGAGCATTTAGCAACATGAAAAAAATTGTTTTAAAAAATTCTATGTTGCAGTTTTATTCCTTCCTGATACTTTATTTAAGTAATACTTTTGAGCTTATGTGCCTTAAAACTTTGTACAAAAAGTTATCTTACCATTAAATCTTCTCACAGACAATCCTCTGTCAAGTTTCAATTCAATAGCTCTAAGTTTTTCTATGTCATTGGAATTCAATGCATCTACATACTCTGTCTGCAACTGCAATCTTGGAAGATCTGGAAAAAAATCCCTCTCTATGATTTTGTCCACAGCCTGAAATTTAATATGTTTATATATAAATGATAAGAAAGGAAATCCTCTCTGGTTATTCTGTTAATATCATTTAACTAATAATCTAAAATCTGACCATATAATTGATTGTTTGTTCACTTATTTACCAATTATTTTGTACTGAGCCACGGCTCCTGACATTTTGTGGTGAAAGGACAGTAGAAAAAAAATTAAAACCAAGGAACCAATAAGACCTGTCATTATCACGCAATATTTTTCTACCTTACAAGGAGTTCAGCATACATAGTCTTGACTAAAGTTGCGTGGACTAGAACTGTATGAAGATGAGACTTCCACAACCCTTGATCTTACACAATTTATGCAATTCAGACTTTGAGACAATTCAATTAAAGGTTCTATAGATTTATTAGATATAAATACCTCGATATATTCATCCTCTTCTAAGATATACTGCTTTTTAACTAGTCCTGTTTTTTTATCCTTAAACGTTGGTGTCAGTTGAACGAGACTTGTATCGCTTTTTGCTGTATTACTAATACTACCATCATCAGCATCACTTTCGACTTTTCTTTTACGAACGAGTGCTTTCTCCATTTCTCCAGCCAGCAAAGAGACTGGCGTGTGATTTTTAGCAGAAAACAAATTCAACCTGGCTTACTGACATTTTTGAATCATTTCCAATAAACTCGTTAGTTAACTAGGCAATATAACGCTCAATTTTCGTTGGTATCGTAGAACATCTTTTTTCAACCTCCAGTTTATTCCGAGGCTACTTGCCGCGCAACTTTCACAGGTATGGAACAGGTATCAAGCAGTGGTATCAAGTACACAAATATGGCGGCAGCTAGGCTCTTAACGAAAGAGTCTGCCGCAGACGTGAAAAGGAAGTCTAGGTCACAGCCTGACTTATTCAAAGTCACAGTTGAAGCAACAAAAACGTCAGGGTACTCGAGAAACAAATCTGTTGACGACGAGCTCTTCGAAATATGCCAGCTAAGTGGCGTTAAAATGAGTCAGGATGTTTTTAAGATCATTGTTGATCTTTTACGCTTGAATGTCAATCCAAACACAATATCTGATGTGGTAAAAAGAATGGCTTTACAAAAGAAGTCCGTATCAAGTAAAGAAACTGCAAAATCTTCTGAGAATCTTGCTGTCCCAAGACATGGTAGTGAAAATGTTAAGTCGAAGCCAACGAAGTCGAGTCTGACTGCCGTTATTGACCAAGCGAAAATTCCCAGAGCCCAGTCCTTGTACTGAACATGTTTGATTTATGATACGTGTCAACAGCAGTTTCGCAAGTTCAGTGGGGAATTTTTGTGTGCACTTCAGGTTGGAAAGTTCATTAACTGCGCACTAAATGTCAGGAGACAGATAAAATTTTGGCGCACTAAAATTGAAATTAATATGCGCCAAAATTACAATGGAAATAGTGAGGGGGGGGGGGTCCAATTACGATTTTTTTTGACAATGTCATATCATCTTATCATGTTCCGTGAGCTCTCATTTAGTTCAAAAATTGTGATTCAATCATTGTACGGGCTCAAATTCACAAAGATAGGATGAAGGGCGATGACCTTGAGATTGATACTGCGCAGACTCCAAATCGCTTGGACGGGCATTCAGCTCTTCTATGGTAACAATAGTACAAGCAGTGATAGAATTCTTTCCAATTTCTAAAAGCATTGACATCCAGAATAAGAAACATTTGTTCATTTTAAGAATGATAATGTGCACCTCTTGTTCTGACTCACTGTAGCAAGAATGTGCGCCATATGTCACTAAAATGCTGATATTTCATGTGCTCTGCGCACAAATCTTCTTACATTTGCACACCACAGTTTTGAAGTGCACCCCAAGGATCCAAACTTTCCAACCTGGTGTGCACTACCAATTGAGATAAATGAATTTGTTGTTGTGTTGTGTATAATTTTTATATCAAGGTACTTATTATGTATATTTAAATGACACAATAAGGTCATAAAAAAGTAGCAAAAGTATTTGTTTCTCAACACCAGTTGACATTTTATAATGTTAGGCATAAAATATTTGTATGGATAACACACACCTTTTAGGCTTATAACCATGGATGTTTGATTGTTCCATTCACTATTAATTGATAAAAGAACTTATTTAACAATATCCCCTTTGCCTTAGTAGAGGAACCTTAACACCCAATCAATAGCAGAGAAACCATTTGATGTAGAAGTCTGTTGGTAAAATGCTTTAGTCAGGGTAGCATTAGTGTTTTTCATGGTTTTTGTACTTAATAATATTGTAATATTATAATAGTGTAAAATATCCACTTTGTAAGTAATAATTTGTAAGCTGTTTGATTGTTTTCCATTCAATGTGTGGTTGCAAGCGGGCTATTGTCATTTCATTGTTTCACCAGATCTATCTGTAAAAGGCAGACAATCAAGCATCTTCTTCCCCGGGCCCATTCTTCTTCTCCATTTTTTGAAAATACTTAGTGTTATTGATATTTTATAGTTTTTCAAATTCCTTTTATTAAAGCACCTAGAAATAAAATCATCATAATAATCTTTTTATATAATCATTTTTAGTCTTCCATTTCTGAATTTTCATGTAAAATCTTTTTTGGCTGACATATTAGTTCAACATAACTATGATATGTATTTGGAATCAAAAGTTGACTGAAAATTAGAGAGCTAACTTTGGTTTGCTTTCATTTCACAATGTTGGCAGAGTTCACATAAGAAACAAGATTGTCTAACACCTCAGAACTGTTTAAATGTTCATGCAGATGTGGTAAAGCATACTTATATGCCAATAATTGCGTTTGAAAGAACAATTATTCTTCCAGGTCAATTCAAACTTGCAGAGTTCAAAAGAAAACAGAACAAACTTTATATGATATATGCGTAAACTAAATGATTTGAATTGCATGCAAAAAAAACCAGAAATTTTTACAGCCAAGACAATTGAAGCATTGATCATTCAATGGTCTCTTCACCCTCCTCAATATCTTTCAGGCTCAGCATCTCAAGTGTCCCTCTTCCTTTTGTTTCACTCTGTAGTACTTCATCTATGTTGCGATATGATCCAGGATCTATCAAACATACCTACAATTGAGGAAAATCACAATTACAAAGTACAGACCTATAACATGAGCAAATGTGATACCTTCTTAAATCTGTCAGGTGGGAATTTTTTAAGCCTTAGGTACTGATGATAAAGATTTTATTGTCTGGTCAATGAAGTTATTAAAAAATTAAAGTTCAATAAGAAAACTCCCTCATAACTATTTCTTGGGGAGAACTAATAGGAAACACAGTGTCATGATAAACAAGATGATCTTATTAAAATCTAGCAGTTTTGGAAACAGTCTACATACAGCCAAAATCTGCCATTGTGTAGACAGAAGGTGTTTGTTTTCTCTCTTGGACTTCAGCAGTAATTTTTCTATAGGAACTCAGCACTGATTGGGCAACTATGCCAATCATATGCTTGAGTTTTCTGAATGGCTTATTGCGATTCACAACCAAATATATGTTTTCCATCATGTTCTTTCGGACCTCTATTCTGATATTTTATACTCTGAGGAGCGTCAGACAAAAAAGTTTTCAGTATGTTGTGAAATATGTTAATTGCTTTTTCCAAAGCCATTTTCATGACAATTTAATTACTCACCATTTCTAAGGAACCGCTGTCCCATTCTTCATTTTCAATTTTATCAATATTCTGCACAAGTTTTTCTCTGACCTTTTTGCCAAACTCTTTTGGTAGAAACAATTTTACCCTCATCTGGGCCCTTGCAATTGGTATTGACTCCTTCAGCTGCTTTATAACTTCCAAAGCCTAAAAATGGAAAGAAAATACCATACAAATGTTGTGCACATTTCTTAACATTTATCATCTGACCAGTTCTCTAAAAACATTTCACAAATATACCCTTTTTGAACTATATTCTATGTTGTTTTTCTTGAAATATTCAGTTTCATGTAAAAAATTTAGGTATGAGGAAGGCTCACTGGTTAGAGTTTGGACTACAGAACCAAGGGTCTGGGGTTTGAGTCCCTGCCATGAACACAGATCCGTGGCGGACACTTGGGGGGGGGGGGCGACTGCCCCCCAATACTTTAGAGGACAATGGTCTTTTGTTCTTAAACAATGGGAAATGTCTTGTCATCTTATTAAAACAATAGGCTTGCCCCCCCAATATTTGACCAAGTGTCCGCCCCTGACACATATGTCACTTAGATCAAGGGGAATTACCAGCTCCTTGTAATTCCAGGCTAAGAAATCACAAGGTGTGGTATGTCAAGAGGATTTACCAGGATACAACATGATAAGCATATCTTTCAGGTATCCTTAAAATACCTTTCAAAGCTATGAAGCCGGAACCCCAGATAAGAACAAATTAGAAGGCTTTATATAATCAAAGGACAGCTGCAAAAGAAAGAGTCACTGAAAACTTTTTAGCAGATCCCTAAATTCCCCTTACCTGCTGTTTTGTACTTCTAGTTGGTTTGACAGAGTAATGTATCTCTTTCATGGCTCTTTCAATGACACCAACAGGATATGGTCTTTTTGTCTCTGGATTCACACATTTTTCTGAAACTACAGTTGCAATATCTCGAAACATTGCTTCCAGTTGTTGTCCTCTTTCCTTTTCAGAAACTTGAAGTTCTCCCTTTTTAAGTATCTGTTTGAAATATTGAAAGTTGGATTCAAGGTTCCTTGCTAGATTTCGAAACAGTTTGTCAAAATGTTCAAGAGTAGATCTACATAGTCTCTAATTTATACATATTGCAATAAAACTGTTTAGAGGGGCTAGGTTCCAATAGCCTCTTAACAATTTTGATTGTATTATGATGCTTGAATATTAATAAGGTTAAATTTGTACTGACAGCCTTTATTTATTCGCCTGCATTACTTACAGTGTGCTAGGCAAACTTTTTGGTCAGCATAAATCAAGAAATAAGCCTCCCTAAATTTCTTTTTAAGCACCACCCTCAGATCAAAGCAAATGCTAGATTGCAGGTAAAATATTCAAACGTGATGAAACCACCCTCAGATCAAAGCAAATGCTAGATTGCAGGTAAAATATTCAAATGTGAGACAAAAATACTGTTTACCTCTATACAAACTTTATCAATATCATCTGTTCCATAGGCTTTAACAAGGTCATCCTTCTTTGCAACCTGACCTTTGGAAACGTTTGCAAACACTTGATTCGTTTGCAGAACTTCATCAATATCTTTTTCTCTAAGAATGTAATGGAATAGCATTATTGAAAGGTAGGTATCCTGTCGCGGTGTACGAAGAATACTGGTACTGTTCTGATGCTGTTGTAGACAGTTAAGAATGCTGTGAAATTCTTCACTGACAAGTCCGTCTAGAGCAATGGTGTAGGGAGTATCAAAATAACAAGGGGAGCTCTTGCACATATTGTTGCTAATAACAGCAGGAAAAGTAGAAATGGGCTGATTTTCGGCATTAACAAGGGGGGCTCAGTCCCCAAGCCCCCTAGCTCTATACCCCTGGTCTAGATTCAAGAAAAAGAAGGCCTCACATCAAGCTAAACAGCTGTTGCCAGTTATAGATGATCCTTCTCTGCCTGCTTTGTATTTGTCTCAGGCATAGACTATGTCTCAGGGCACTTGGGCAAAACCCCCCAGCCAGGGAAGTTGAAGTCTTGCAAAGCGTACCTCCCTTGACTCAAGCATCGCTGACCAATATGTTTCATGTGCTATAGTCAGCATTCTTTTGATTAATCAATTTTTTGCTAGTTAATTGTCAGTTGGTTAAGCTATTAGCCTGAGTTTCAGATAAGATACATTGGCTGTGAATGTCTTTTGCCGGGCTTCTGCCTTTTGAAGTCAAAATCATAAAAGGTGGATAATGTGGCTTCATTGTAGTGCTATTTACACTTATACAGTATTTCCTGGATGCACTCAGGATTCTGCTTGGACGTTCGTTAAATAGTGTGCTTGTGAAGATAACTTCAAGGTAGGAGCACAGGGCCCTGATATGGGAAGAAAAATAATGGCATTATTTACAATAGCAATACATTTTTTCCAATCGAAATTTTTATTGCCGGTATATCCGTATAAAAAATTTATACGATGCAACAAAGGGTAGCTGTGCCAGCTTCCCTTTTGGCAATGAGACAATAGTTTTTTTGGATCGTTGTCTTGCGGATGACGTTGAGTCATCATCATTTTACGAGCATGCCTTGCATATCAAAAAAGTTACGGAAAAGCGTCAATATTTATATATATACATACATACATACATGCGTTCCCTTCGACCCACCACATAGTGTACTCATTCTTCGTACACAAAAAGAATAGTCCTACTTAGTACATTTACTAGGGAAAAAATAAAATATCTGTACGTAATACATAGTCTTGGTTGATTTTTTTATGAGAAGAAGTTTCAACATACGCTCCTTTTCTCCAAGACACAACTTTGTTTTTATAGCAGGCAATTTCAAACCGCTTTCCTGCCTTCTTGTGCCTTACTATGGCTACATTTGTCAGCCGTATTTGATTTGTTGGAGTAAAAATCGACATTTTCTCCAGCTGTGGTACTCTAACTGTCTGTGGCGCAATCCCAATTGTAGAAGATTTTTAACTCAAATCATTGAACAGCCTCCCTTTGAGAATACAATACATGCTCGAAGCGAGACTTCACTGTTATGGCGCGTCCTTCAAAGTCAAAGTTAATGTACACAGCCATATTAATGCAGTCAAATATAGACGAATGCTTACAATCTTCACAATGCTGTTACTATGTCTTGTATCTTAAGTGTTACTGGAATCAGGTTTCCAAGGGTACTTTACCAGAGACTTTCTTTTATTAGCCCAACTAGACCATGAATGAGGACCAAAAGAAAAGGAAAAAGATACGTAAGGAGAGAGAGCAACATCTGAAGAAGAAGAGAAGATTATCGAGCTCCAGTGACTCCTCCTTATCATCGGTATCTCAGCATTCATCAGTTGTCTGCAAGGATGAAGATAAAATAGACAGGAAGAACATCTCTTCATTTGCAACAAGCTCTGAAGAGAGTGAAGAAGAGCACAAAGTCAAGATAGCTAAAAAGAAGAAGAAGAAAAAAAAATTAAAAAGCACAAAAAGGATAAAAAGAGAAAGAAAGATGGGAAGAATAAGAAGAAAGAGCAGAAGAAGAAGAAGAAAGACAACAAGAGATCAGTAAAGGAGAAAAGCACAGCCAAAGATGCAGCAACCAGTAAGTCCAACCAGTGTGATCAAAGACTTAACCACCAGGGTGGAATCCATGTAAAACTCACGCCGGATATACGCCAATAAACAATAGAAAGACAATGGGAAATCGTTAGTCTATGCTGGATATCCCCGGCGTAAGCTACATGGATTCTACACTGGCTTGACCAGTATACAGGGCATGACGATTGCACATGCAAGATGCAGTCATGGCAGCACTGAGGGCACACCTAAGATCTAGATCTATTAAAATATATGCTGGAAAAGTTGATGGTGTTAGCACACCTGAGATTTTCTGATGATGTGAACCTGTCCTCAGCTGTTGACATAAAAGTTGCTGTTCAAGGTTTTGTTGTAATAAGTCATTCTTTGCAAACTGGAGCCTTAAATCAATATCTGTCTTCTCTTTTGCATAAGCAGTGTATTATTGCTACTTGTGTTATTTCATGAAATTGTGAAAAAACTTTCACATCTCTCTTATTGAGGTATCGAGGCCATAGTGAGTGAAACGCTACTGTATTTTATGGAAAAAGTAGGGCAAAATTGTGGATCCTGGGATAAATTGTCCAGAATTTATTTTTACAGACCTCTTCTTGTTGGAACCCTCTTAGAAAGTTCCATTTAATACCTGATTTCAAATTTTTTTCAATGTTATCCCACAAAATAGATCGATATTTTCAAAATATATACTACACCCAAGAGATTATTGATTGGGACATGCTTTTCCAATGGTGCTTTGCATGAGAGACTTATCAGAAAGGAGTCACTTTAAGGTAATTTTGAATTCACAATTGTAAGGTTATTTTTTGTAATTATAAGGTAACTTTAACAAGACTAGTGCCATTATCTGGAAAAAGGGACATAGTCATGTGAGATTTTCAGATATGTCGAACCTTCATTATAAACCTTGTTTTACTTTTAGTAAAAAATTTTCTATTCTGCATTCTTTAATCATTTCCTTCATCTGAAAACCTTTTTTATCTAGCCATTCTTGAATCGAACAACACTGAAGCACCATCAAAACCAGCACCAAAAAGGTTGTATTTATGTCACTTTGCGAAAAATTATTTTCACTACAATTGGCTTTCAGCATAGTATTTGTTATGATAAAGTGTGTCTTTTCTTAAAACTAATTATTATGTAAATTTGTATGTTTAAGTCTTGATGAAAAAGCTGAGCAATTAATATTTTGAAAAGATGAGTGATAAAGTTTTATCTCTCACCAGTTTTAATTAATTATGACAATTGTCTAAGTTGATGACATAAAATAAAAATTTTATACCTCTATCATGTTGTTTGCTCTTTTTCACATTTTGGTGGAATAATATAGAGCCAAAATTAATCAAAGTATCTATTAGATTCAAAATCAATTATATTTTTTCTTTAAACATCAATTATGAAAGAAAATTCCTCTCTTTTATCCCCTTTTTCAAGTAAACATCCCTTGCATGCATAAATGATTTAAAGGGCTTCCCCAAATGATTTGAAAACATCCTCTTCTTTTATATAGATCAGCTCTAAAATGCAAAAATGGAAATAAATTTTGCAATTTTCAGTGTCTTTTCTTTCTTACTTTCTTTCCTGCCCTGTATCTCTATGTGTTTTCCTTTGACCCTTCTGAAGTATTTGTTTATGTAGTTTAATATTAATTGACATTTGTATGACATAAATATTATCCCTTGGTTTCAGGTCAATGGTACCAATGACTAGAGAAGAGTATGAAAAGCAGCAATCTGTAATAAGGAGGGTCACAGATCCTGAGACTGGCAGACAGAGGTAAGCCATGGTTGCCTTAAGTAGTACCAATTTAATAATTGTTGTGTTTAAGTGGACTAAACAGGTGCCGGGTTCCTTCAGATGAGCAAAAATTCTGAATTAGGTATAATCAACTGGTAAACATCTCCTGAATCTATTGAGCACACTTTTTCTATCAAACAACTGATAAATCAGATATTTAAGGGAAGGAAAAATGTTCAAGGATAGAGCTGCAAAAATGTGAGATTCATGTTCCAGTTTTAAGGATCAGCAAAATATCTCAATAAAGTATATTTCAGATTTGTCCTTTCAAATGAAATAACTCAATAAAGCATATTTCAGATTTCTCATTCTTTTTGACATTAAACATGAAACTTGTAGTTGACATGCAAAGATAGTCATGTAAATATTTCTCTGTATTTCACTTGTTCTGTTAAGCTTTGTAAGATAAAGGTCTGCTTATAATAATGAGAAAGTATGCCCAATAATGAATGATAGGGATTTTAGCCGGCGGGTTTGGCAATCCATAGTTATTGCTCAAGAACCAAATTATTAAAAAACTCAGTACGGGCCACAGAATATACCAGTATTTAATTGTTCAATTTCCTTTTCATCTCTCATTCTTATACTTCGTTGTCATAAGTGTAGTTTTTCCCTTAAATTTTTTAAGAGAAATGAGTATTCATTTCTTTGTTTTGATGTTTTTTCATTTCTTTGTTTTTATCAATCTTTTATTAGTAGTTGAATTCTGTATTCGAAGACCTTTGATGTATCCATATAAGTCTGTCCATATATTGCTATGTTCTCCTTCTCTATATCTGCAATTATTTCGAAGACGTTTCAGCATACATGTTAATACTGTGAATACTGTGAAATAGTTCATTTTGAAACGATTTGGCCTTCCGCCTCGCAGCATAAATAATTTGACATGTTCTGGATCTTTCCTATTTACTGACGACTCCCAAGATTCAGCATTGACATGTCAGGTTGACGACTGGGTTTGAATCACGTGTTGAGTTCAGACCGGGTTAATCTCTTACCTTGTAAATACTTCATAGGCTTCTACCTTCAACCTAGTTGAAACTCAGTCCATGTTGAACTTTACACGGGCTGAACGTTTTCATGCGACCGGCCTTTAGTGACCCATCTTTGGTTCATTTGCTAAGCACTTAATTTTTTCCTTCAAGCTTAACAGTAAACATTTTAATGTCAAAACCATGAACATTATCTTTACAGATTGGTAAAAGGGGATGGAGAAATCTTGGAAGAATGTGTTTCATATTCACGCCACAAAGAAATTAATAAGGTCAGAATCATCATCCTTTTCTTTTCTTAGACCACGAAAGCCACCGGATCTTAGACTGAAAATCATTTTTTCCACTTCTTATCACATTTTGTAGTCGTTCCAGCAAAGGTCATGTCTGTCCGTTCTCCATTGTGCTAAATTCATTTTCACCGTAATAAAATGCAGGTTGGTTAACCTTAATGAACAATTAGCAGCTGTAGTTAATGAGAGACGACGATAGACGCCTCCTTGTTCAAATTAGGCAAACTCAGATACGACAAACTGCCTTCAATTAAATAGTGATTTTTTTTCGTTTGGAGTATTGCGCGAATTTGCATATTGTTTTGAATTTCAATTATTGTGCATTATAAGCACTATAATTTACAGTAATATAAAAACATTTTGGTATGTAAGTTTGCTTTTTACTTTAATTTATTTAACTTAGAGTTAAAATCAACGAAAATAAACTTGCTTCGTTGAACTTTTTTATTAAATATCCATACATGCAAGCAATTTAAACGGAAACATATAACTCATAAAAGATGGAAAGAGAGACCCTCGTTTATATATTTTTGTTTTGATACAGCAAGCAACACGAGGTGATGGTACAAGTTTCCAAAAATCATTAGGCCTGAACTAACGAATTGTCTTTGCATCTTATGAGCGTGCTGTAAACAATAACAAATTGAATCAAGTATGTATATTTTGTGGTTATTCTGCATCTTTTTTATCATAAGAAGCCTAAGACAGTAATTTTGTTCTAGGTGACATTTTTTCTTACGTAAATTATTATCTTGCTTTATGATTTGCGGTGCTACAATCGTGAATTATTTTTAACATCATTGGTCAAATATTTTTTAACTGGAGGGCTTTTTTAACTTGAAGAGTACTAAAAATACGTACTAAAAAACCATCTTTGAAGAAAGTGATTCGTTTCTTACTTTAACTCTAAAACAATATTGGAAATTTAAGGTCGGTGATGGGTCAATTTGAACACTCCTTCTTTCAGTCCTCATGGCTATTAAAGCTATTTTAATCCTCTCTCTGGAAATTTTCATTTTCTTTTCTTCATTCATCACACTGCAGAATATTTCTTGAATAAGACCAGCCACTTAATGGTGGTTTATTGTTGAGTTTGTAACACACAAGTAAAGTAGCACCGAGATGCTGTTTTCTATGTTTACTTTCGGCCAGTTAAGCAAATCTACCACTGTATAGTCTTGCCAAGTTGATCCTCTCTGCAGTACTGAATAATTTTCTTCCTTTGCTTTTTGAATTTGATTTTTTACCCAACGCTGCAGCAGTTTTATTGGTCCCTTCTAATCAGTTTTAGAAGGTACACTTTGTTCGAATGATAGTCCTCTCCATTAATTATCACAAAACGTTTTATGAAAAATTCAATGCTGTACAAACATTTTCAAATATGATCACTTGACAACGTGTCAAGCCTGAAGCGGTGGATAAAGTTCTTTGCAAAATGTGTACGAAGTTTTTCATAATAACGGAATGTCTGTGCAGTTCAGTTTATTCGGGCACCAGTTGAAAGCAAATAATTAAAATGCAAGTACTCACATTGGTTCTTGAAAACGAATGATTATTCGAAATGTTTACAGTTACACTACTACTGTACCACAAAAACAAATGTTTTCTATTTCCGAACCTTTCTTTTTATTCCCTTCCCCTCCCCGATTGCGCGTTTTAAACAGTATTTCGAAACCGTTGATTATTAAACACACCCTCCGTTTGTGAGAAAAAGAAAGATGGACTCTCCACAATCAGATTTCAATTTAATATTTATATTAATTCAAATTGACTAATTTTGTTAGATGTCAATAGCAAAAAATAAAGCAATGACGAATTTTAAAATTCTGATACATACTAATAGCTGGTAACAACTATAGGCTCATTTACTTTTACGTACAACCATGATATGATTTCTTTTAGTTACATTTATATTCATTATATTTTAGTTACATTACTACGTCGGATTTTCTAAGTTATCAGCCGCGTCGATTTGCTTCGAAGACATATTACTCGTATTTCATTATATACATTTTGCGATGTCTGCCACAAATTTTTTATCATCGTTGATGCTTCCATCAATTCCATTTGCTTCCGTATTTACTCACCATCCTTGGCTGCAAAGGAAATCAAGATTGATAAGGCACTGATCTTATCTCTGACTTGTTATCTCAAATTGCTGTAATGCTTTAGTACTTCATTCACAAATTTGCTGTAATGCTTTAGTACGGTCATCCTTTGTCCTCTTTCAACAACATATGCAACGCAACTTGTTAGTTTTTCAAGAATTTGCTTCTGTGTCAATGTGAAAGTCTATGAACATGCTCTCAACCATGTGAAAATTCAAAGAGCTACTCCTTACCGTATTCTGAGCTACTGAAGAAGTTTATTAACATACTCTAAACCATGGGAAAGTTAACAGAGCTACTCCTTACCTTATTCAGAGCTACTGAGGAAGTCTATTAACATACTCTAAACCATGGGAAAGTTCACAGAGCTACTCTTAACCTTCTGCAGAGATACCATCTTTAACTTCTTCAGACTAGCAAATTATTCGTTAGTTTTTCAAGAGTGAATTATGCGTTACTTAATTCCAAATGATTCTTAGTGATTTTAGGGCTGTCAATAATTCGAAGATTTGTTCTTTGTATACAAATTAGAGTTTGAATACGAATAAATAACAAATTAGAGTACTGCAGAGCACATCACTTTGTTAATTGATAGATAAAGGATGCCCCAATTTCAAGGAATCTTGCATGCAGAAATCCTAAAGTTTGTATTATGGTAAAGAAAGTTCATTTTTGTCAGCAAAATGAAAATAAGAAAAATTACTTGCTTGTGCAGTGTTTTGTAAAGTCCCAAGTCATGTATAGGATATCAGGAAAATGTGATTTCAATGAATATTGTAGTAAGGCAAGTGGGGATTGTATAATCTATAACCTTTATATTAACATGGTATTTCTATCGTACCGATGTCCAAATAGTATAGTCAAGCACAGCAAGCTTGGAAGGCTAGCGTTAGCGGCTGTAATCTAAGAGTTTTTGTTTTCGTTTTGTATTTCGTGTCGCTGGTTGCATTGCTCAAGACTTCTATGCCTTTGATTTTCACAAATGAATCCAATTAATTTGTGCCTTGAACATTTCAATGCAACACATTCTAGCTTTTCTCTACGCAAATTATAGATTTTTATGAATTGGAGCATACTTCTGCAAAGTTTCTGGTCAATTATCGACGACTTCAAGTGCTGTTTATCATTCATCGCAGATTTTCAATAATATTTTAATGAATTGCGAGAATTCTCTTTATTGTATTAGATAATCTTTTGCTTTTTTAAACATCTTTAGTTAAATTTTTTTTTCTAAGCCATTAATAATTACAAAAAATCAATTTCACGCGACTGCAGCTACTGCTTTAAGTTCACTTACCCCTTCACAATGTGGCATCGCCATCGAATCCCTAGGATACCTCGTGCAGTTGCCTAACCATCTGATGCCTTTTTTAACGATCGGGTACTTGTGGGTGCAGCAGCATACTCTTAATTTACCGGCAATGCTGTAACACAGTGGGTTTTTTACGCTATCATCTTCCTCACACTGCGGTGCGTACCAAAGATGCTTGTAAACATGCCTCAAAAATCTGCACGATGTTTGTGGGCGACGAAAATCTGTAAGCATGCGATAAATTTAGTTAAGCATTTATTTGAAGTTAAAGTGCTCCTATCGAGACATTATTCTGCCATTTTTATGAAAAGGATGGGGCTATATCTTGGCATTAGGTGCTCTAAATTATATATCACAGTATCAATTAATCAACGATTGGTGCAACAAAGACGGTGAATTGACAAAGGACAGCGTAGTATTGTTCATTGTGCAGTTACATATCAATATAAAAGGGGGAGGGGTGCTTTTTAGTTATCTAAAATAAATCTATCATCGCAAGGTTTTTTGGAAAATCATTGCATTTATCTACCAGAGTTCTAGCCTAGAGCTCAGACATCAAAGACCAATGTTAAAAACAGACAGGGACCCGCAGAAAAGTGTGCCTATATTGTACCTTTACAAACATTTCTTCCGTAAAACTTGACATTTAAATCAATTAAAAGCATACTGTATAAGCGCTCCTTCCTCCAATACCATGAGGCTTCTTCAAAACCTTGCTCGTCAAAGTAAATGACACAGGGCGGCTGCTTTTATGGGGTTTATTGGCGCTATTTCTCGGTAATAAAATACTGGAACAAGTTTATCAAATTACATGTAATTTTGGCAAGTGAAGAATAATACTAGATGACTATCCTCCACAAAAATATTTTTTGTCATTTTCCTGGTTTTGTGCGTAAATCCATGTCACAAGATTGCAGCTACATCTTTAAGAATCTACTTGTTTCTGCATACCATATATTATTCAGAATCAGAGATCCTTGTTAAAATTCGCTCGTCATGGTACCAATCTACACAATTTGATAAATTTTCATACTTCTAACAAATTTTTAAAGTTTTGATTATAAATCCTCTGGTTTAGCTGTCTAGTCTTAGCTATTTAAGAAATCTTCCTTTGATACTGTGTAGAAAGCAAGATAAATCATATTCTGTTTAGCCAGGTTTATGACACTTACTGCTTCGTCTCCTTGCTCCAAATGATGTATTGAACAGGAAAAGCAAAGCGCAAGACATCAAAATAACAAGCGATTTTTGCAGAACGAGCGTCATCTTCAACTGACCGTCGTTCCGGCTTGGACAAACCGATCCTCTAGTGAAATGATTGCGAGCTGATCAAGTGGCGTCTTTTATGGACTAGCTTAAAGCTGAAATGAGCAACTGCTGACTTGCTTTTATAATTGCCCTCTGGCACAGTTACCTAGCAACTGCGTGGTCACATTAAAGTAAAGCCACGTAAATTTCTAAGAGTATTTCTTGCCGGGGAAGATTAGCAAGGAAATAATTGCTAAGACATAAACAGACAGACAAATACTGCAAATATTTGTCATGACTGGATATATCTGCACGTCTAGGAATTCTGGAAATGTGAATCTTACTTTACCATTCACTGTCAACGAACATCAAGTGATACGTTTGTAGCTTGTTTCTTAATTACCAGAAATTTCATAGAAATTTTTTGTTGTGGTTATTTAAATAAGCATTTTTCAAACTTCCCAGGACTCGTCAGCTGAATTTCTGTAAGAGTGGCCATGCAAATTAACCTACAGAGATATTCTCCCAGACCAAAGTATGCCTTCGGTGATGATTTTAGACATCAATAACTTCCTTTGTTCAGATTCGAGTTTTTTTGTTACTTTTAATACAACCCTACTGGCTGCAGTAAACCTCTGCGTGTCATGTATTCATTCCATAACAATTTTTATCCCATTTTGCTTTGTGATTTCGCCACTTCCTTTAGGTAATATATAATGAGATTAACAAGATTATGATAAATTCTATATCCTTCTTGCAAAAATCTAATTCTGGGTGTGACTCCAGAAAATCAATCTAGAATCAGGTTTGTACAATGTTTTTTGACGGTCATGTTTTTTCAGGACAATCGCCGCTTGCCAAATTTTCTGTTTAGAAGAGAGAAAAATTGAAATTTATTTATAAAGACTTCGGTACCGCCAATTTCTCGATTTGAATCAAAATCTTGGCTGAAAACGTGATAATAAAGAATTTGAGAGGACTTCCAATAAGAGGCCATCAACTAGAGTGCTTGTCGTTAAAAACAAGGGAATTTCATGTTTACATTTCCAGGCTCCTGTTGGCATTATTCTTAATCTCCTCAAATCTCAGAGGGACGGTCCATTTTGCCTGTAAATCATATTTTGGCCTATTGAATTGAAAACATGTATGCAATGTGTAAAAGTTTTCCGATACTCTAACCGTATGTTTGCATACATGATTCGATATCTGGTTACATCAAAGGGGGTGGATAAGACATAATCCAAACTATTTCGTTGCAAAAGCTATAGTTTAGTTGCGTGAGGATGATGCAACGAGAAAATTACGAGTTAGTTTAAAAGTATGATTTGTTTGTTAAAAATAAATATAATATTTTTAAAATTGGCCAGACAACCATTTTGAATCCTTTCTGGTTTATGTCTTAAACGTGAGTACTCTCTGACATATGCCAATTCCTTCGAATATAAAAGCACCTTCATTTGTAAGTTTTGTTTCAAAAATCCAAATTTCACAGATAAGATTTAGTTAATTGATTCAGGTAGATTTGAAAAATGTTTCGTTTAGGAAGGCCATGGAAAACAAAAGAATTTCGGTTAACAAACCCTTTCAGTCCTTGATTCTATTGATTCTTTGTAGGTTATTAAAATCTTAGCTAATTTGACCGGCTGACAGATTCTTTTCGTTGTCTCTGATTTTATTATAGGTTTTTCTGGATTTATGCACAATTCTAAGTCAAATGATTAATTTTGCAATCTGTTGAACGAACCTAGAAAAATGTGAAAATTACACAAAATCTAAAATGCTAATTAAATGATCGTGCTTCAGAGTGAATGGTATAGTGTGGCAGAGTGCGACGTCATCAAAAATATATTTTTAGAATTGTCGAATTATGACTCCATAACCCGAAAGAGTACAACGAAATATCTCTAAATTTGTAAAAGCAGTTGAATCTGTTCAAAATTGACTGACATATGGTCAGTGCTAATTATATTGGTTTTATATAGAAAGAGCCCGTGCTTTTCCGCGTTTCAAGACGACCCAACTCCACTAGTACCCAGGCCCCCGGGTTGTCTCGGGTCTCATTGGTTCTTTCAGGAAATTGGGTCAGAATTCTAAAATTCTTTAAAATATAAATTTTCGTGATTTCATCACTCTGCAACTCTTATGTAACACAGAAATAATACTAGGGATCCCTTTAGATTAAAAAAAGTTTGGTATCATTGAATGTAAATGTATCTCATTCTACAATTTCGCACTTGAATAGAGAAAACTATTTCTTGAAAGTTGCAGTTTTTCTAAGGGTATCAGTATCATGTCTGGACGTAGTTGTAACATGTTTTGCTTTATCTTATAAGTCATTGAGGTTAGCGAGAGAGAGCCAATAGCACACCTAACCGTCCTTCGACCTGGAGCTTTCAACCAGTGCGCGAGCCCTGTCCTGAAGAAACTGTGGAAGGTGTATTTCTATCTAGACAGGCAGGTCCATGACATGCAGGTCCATGATTCATTATCGTAGATGGCTTTGTACAAGTGTTCTATAGACTTGGACTAAGGTGTTTTCGTGGTAAAATGTTTAAAGTCTACGAATATCAGACATTTCACGCTCTATCTTGCGTTTATGATTTTTATGCTATTCGTTCTAGCATAAACTATCCGTCGACCCCTAGATACTTCCCATGTCAATTGGTTCCTCTCTCTGAACCCGTAACTGCTTTCCGAGCTGTTCAATCAATTAGTACATGAATAGTCCGGATAAATCGGTGGAATGAAGTGGAGTGGAGTATGGTCGAGGAGTTTTCAAACAAAGAGCCATTTGAATGACCAAAGAACGATCTACTTCGTGTCCGACATCTTGTTGTATAGTTCAGCTATTCTTGTCTTGTAGTTCGGATATGTTGTCTGTTATTTCAGTTTTAATCTGAGGCAGGCACTGCGCAGCCATTGGTCTTCCCCCCTCCCCCCTCCACTTTTGTGCACAAATAGGCTAGAAAATGTTTGTAAAGGTTACTCTCACGCAACTTTGGAAAGTTTACTCTTACGGATCCAACGTAGTACCAAGTCTTCTTGACCGTGAACCCTTTTTTTATTTTCCTTGTGTTTTATCTTGTTTAATGAAATGTTATCTTTTCCAACTTGGTTAGCCTTGTGTTTAATGGCCCTTAAGCTAATTGTATTCATCATTATAGTAATTTACAGTTTATAAATAACATCTTATCTGAATCGGACAGTTTATAAATAACAAAATCAAGTATTGTTCAAAAGGGTTTGTCTTTCGACGTTCTCAAGGGCTTCGGAAATTTTTGGGCAAGCCCTTTTCAGCCCCCCCCCCACTTTTGAGGTCCATTTGCAACATCATTATTCAATATTTTATGTTTTTCTTTATTGTTTATTATTTTTTATGTTTTTTCTTTTTTTATATTAAGTCACATAATATTGTAATTGCAAGTAAAATCTCGTGGAAAGAATAATTTTATTCCAAATTCTTATTCAGAAAACAATTAATGTATAAGACAATATTCAGCTGATGTTATCAGCAATGTTGTGGGAGAAATGTTGAGACCACTTTTCTCGTAATTATTAATCCACGAAAATTTACTTTGCAAATTTCTGAGAAATTTCTTCCCACCGAATTTTCAGAGTGTAATGCTTACCTGACGAAAACGATCAGTTGTGTGTCAAATCTTGCTTTAGAGTCTCAAAAGAGCATACATTTTGCTCTAAAAAAATCAACGAAATATGAGATCATGAATAGACCATTCTTTTTTCGCCAGATTGCTTACTTATCTTATTCATATAGAAATTATCTCACGTGCTTACTTGTTTCCGTATACTCTGTTACTGTATTCTCTCTAATTAACGCCCCCTCTCCTATGATCACCCCCCCCCAAATATTATAAAAGATAAATGGAGACAAGCATATCCTCACAACAGTCTTCAGCTAAAACAAATTTAATAAAACCTAGCTTGTTTCAGTTGGCAGTCCAGTATATATGCAAATCGATGAGGGTAAGGACTTTGAAAGAATTGACATCGTATAAATATTACGCCTATATCCAGTGATATTCGTATGGAATATTAATTTTTGTAAATAAGAACTTTTTATGTGTATTTAAAAAGGTTCCTGGCGCTCGTTAGAGAGAATACGGTATTAACATTTCAAATGTGTGGTAATAACAACTATGATCGTGACGTAATTACACACGATGCTTAATAACACAAAACACTGCATCTAAGAAATTTTTATTACAATATCTTACTAGAGAAAGAATCTTATTAGCAACAATTTATGAATCCTAATATCTGTACTATTTAGAACATAAATGTTGCTCGTTCGCATTTTCTAGTACTAGCGTATGTACAGGGACAATTTTATAATATAACAAATTTGCAAAAGAAAGTCAAATTACCAAACGCCTATTTTGATAACTTCCATACGAGGACAAATATAGAAAAAGACTACATACGCAAAAGGGCACCAGACGTTTCAATCTTACAACAAGGATCATACAATGCGCTATAAATTGCAATATTTCAATCCTCGTGACATGATAGCTTAAAAAAGCTGGGCTGAGACTAGCGAAATAAGGGCTTGATCTATAGAAGGATTCCATGAACGCTACTTTGCTTAATGTCAATGGTATGAATAAATATTATTCTTATTACTTTGTTGGTTGTATTACTGCAGCAGCTTCTGGTTATATTTCGGATGATCTATCTCGTCTATTTGTTGGTTATCATGCAATCTAGATTGAATCCTCCGTAAGCCAAAATATAAAAATCTGGTTGCTCTCCTTTATATAGACAATTTGCAAGGTAAAAATTAGCCTGTGGTTTATGTGGCGATGATAATTTACTGAATGAAAAAATGTCAATATCTAATATAAGGATGATGGAAAGAAACTGGGTTTAAGTCATTCCATATAGTTTAGCACCATTTATCGACTGTGTTGTCACCATAGCAATCATTCCCATTCTTATCTTTTACAAATGAAACACAAAATTTCAAAACAACGGCATTGAAAGGGAAGTACTGCCATCTTTCCATGTTGGATCTTCAGCGACATTGGCCCTACACATTGGGCATGTTCTTTCCCTGTCGAACCATACAGCAATGCAGTCTTCGCAGAAAATGTGCTTCAATGAACAAAAACCGTGTCAAAATTTTGACACACATGGAACCACGAATTCAATAAAAAAATCTAAAATCAAGTTTTATGATTACTGCTATGTCCATACATAAAGAAAACGACCTTAGATAAATTATCTATAAACAACGTTATAATATAGGTGAGCTAACACTTTAAATAGTAATTTGTTTCCCAGTGATTTTTTTTATGCTGTAAAGTATTTTGATATTTTGCTTAAAGACCCACTGTCAACCAACAAAGAAGCCTCTTTATTTTACAGGGTCTTCATCTGTTTATCAGCACTGCACCTGCACAATTTCACGAATTTCTGTGTCAAAATAAAATAATGCGCAGTTGTGTTATTCTTGAAGTGCTGGCATTCTCAAATTAATTTCAAATCCCATACAATTTGCATAGGCATTAAGCTGTATCCAAGAACATGGTTGTATGGAAGTTCCGATAACAAGAAGCAGTTTCATATATCCCCACAGCTTTCATCATGTAAATTGTTTTCAAACTTTGCAAATGGAGGCTTCTTTGTTGGTTGACAGTGGGTCTTTAAGGCTTAAACCTTATGGATCCATATCTTATTAGATTAAAATAAATTATTTAACAGTTGCTTCCAGTTGACTGTCATTAGGAAGGGTCAGTTGACTGTAGTGCAATATATTATAACAACTGCTAGATCAAGCCTGCAAAACACGACTATCTTACCTTGCAAATTCGAAGAGCAACTGGGTTGGCAAGCTCTTCTTGGCAAATTGGGCAAGAATTCCCAGCTTCCAAAATTTGTGATTGAGATGGCATCTGTCCATACCTCTGTTTGGTAGAGAATATATATTTGTTGATATTTCAGAAAATAAAAATATCTGCTACACTTGTAAAAGGTAACTGTAACATTTAAGTAATAAAGTAGTAAACATCAACCGTCTTCCCATATCATTCAACTACTGAAGAATTAATTTTTAACTTCTCACTCAAGGGTTCTTTTGATTTCCAAACACTTTGAATAAGGCTTAATATTCATATTGTTTATTTATATTCTTAACTAATTTCCCTTACTATCAAGAGTAAGGGTTAAGGGGAAACAACATGTGATTTCAGCCAAGAAATATTGCAGCACATTCAGTTTAAAGCTCTTCCCATAACTTACTGCTTCTTTTCTGCATGTTCTTATTGCAGCTACCACTTCTTTAACTTTTTTCAGCCCCATCTGACCCTGTGGAGGAGAAAATAAGAAAGAAACTAGTATTGGATCTTAACTGGTAAAATTCGCCTACCAAAGTTTACCTTAAGTAATAAAAAGTATCGAAAAAATCAAATTTGTTTCTTTCCCCAGTTATTCTGGCTCCCTATTCCTCCCAGACCTATGTTGACAATTTGAAATAAAAATTAACCTGAAAAATAGAATAAAAAATTGCAAAATAGAATAACACAATTTTAAAAAAGGTTATTTCACAATGATTTCATGGGGTGGTTTCATTCAAACTTTAAATTTAATTCTTTGGTCTCAGGGAGTTTGGGAAAAGACTTTTTACAATGGCTTAAATAAGAGTTAGCTTGGAAGAATTTACAAGAGATGAAATGTTTAGAAAAAAGGGGTAAACAATTATCAGGTTACAATTGTTGACATAGATAAAATGTTATCTACATGCTACAAAACAGACCATGAAGATAACACAAGACATACCGAATTAAAGCCCTGAAATGTCCCTTGTGGGTTTCCGGGTGATGAGTTGTTTTTTTATCATTTTCTGCCCACTTTCAAGCCTATTGCTCAAAAAATACAAGGGGCACACACAACCCCCCCCCCCCAATCTGAGTTTGAGGCTGTAACCAGGTGGTAGTGAATACTCTTTATCTTCTTTTTTCTTAGTTTGTCCGTTTTGGATTTTACACTTTTATTCACACATTGGTTTTTTAGTTTTTACCTTCTATGCCTATAAAAACAACAATCCCACAAAAATTTGCCTTTTCTCCTAATGAAAATGTGTCAAACATTTTGTGTCAAATAGAAACAATGCATTTTCAAATATCATTGCATTGTTAAATTATTCAACTCTCGAAATTTTTTTATATGTTTGTATTTTCTTTGAATAGAGAATAACATTTTCATTCAAAAATGTATTCTTGTAGACATGGCCTTAAAAGGAACCGGATGCGAAATCTAGTAATCTAAAGATTAGTGGTATAAACTCTTGTATAAATCTTAGAAAACCAAAATATTTCAGTCAATTGAGAAGATTGTGTAAGTTTTATCAACATTAAATTCAAACAATATTTCGCTGCACAGCAATATCATTTTACATTTCAGGTGCTCGTTAAATCACTCTCCAAAGGCAAACAAATATTCCTACCTTTAATAAAAGATATAATATTGATGAAACAGTAGCAAAATATTCTCCTCCAAGATTGTAATCAGTAAAGAAAAACAGCCACTGTGGAAAGGGTGTTAGTGTGCGATACAGCTGTGATAATTGTTCCACGACCAGAAATATTTTACCCTATAGGGAAAACAAAATTCAGTGGTCAGTTAAAACGGTATAATATGGCTCCACTTAAAAATCTGGGATATAAGTTCAAAAGTGCACTTTGTGTAAGTATGAAGGTAAAAATGAAAAGTTATCAATTTGTAAAAACTTTTGTTCTACTTTGGATTCTTAATCAAGAATTGTGTCCTTAATTTAGATACATCTTGAAAAATTCCAACACAAACTGAAGATGCAAATTAACAGAAAACTCATAACCAGCGAAAAAATTACCATTCAGGATAAACTTAACACAGCATTATGACAGCCTATGACTATGACAGTATTAAGAGCTGAAGACAACAATACTTACCCTTTTTCTAAAAGGAACAATACTTCGTGGCAGAAGTATAAGAATGGACTTTAAGGCCATTGTAGCAAACATAATGACAAAATCTAAAAGAGCAATGCATATTGTGAGGAATGGTCTTAGATGCTCAAAAACTTAAGCATTGTAAAAAACCACCATAACATAATCATCCCCTTTTTACTAAATTTCTTTATCTGTTTAATTCTCACTTGTGTAAAGTAAGCCTGGAGTCTCCAGAAGCACAACATGATAATACCCCTTTGCAATGACTGTTTACTAACCAAACTACTTTTGAAACAATTCTATGTCTCCTGATTTCTTCAAAAATGTATGTACTTAGCAAAAGGCACGAGGATGGCTCAGTTGTTTGGGTCATGGACAATATACCCAAGAGGCTGTGGTTCGGTTCACTGAGGTGGGAAAACTTTCACTTAGAGTGATGTGAGTGGCCAGCTAATTGCTTTTGTAGCTGTAGGACTTGCAAGTTGTGGTCATATCAAGAGGCTGGACGGATTGCTTGATAATCACAGCTTCTCAGTGGTTTGAAAGCTACTTTTGGAAGTTATGCAATAAGTACAAATACAGAAACAAGATTTGGCAGTTTTATGAGGATAATGAGAGTGGTATCAAAAGCAACCTATTAGCAAATTTGCATTTCAATCCCATGTTTAACAAGTATGCAGCTTGGCAATACACACCTGGCAACACTCCCCAAAAAAATATATCCCTGCTCCACAACTGATACATAGATATGCAAAGAGTTATTCCAACTTAACAATGGGCAAAAGCAAATACCAAAAAAATTGTTGGTTCTCTCACTTCAATCAATGAAGGATCAGTTTGCCTTAAATCGAAGTCTAGATAGAAATTTTTTAACATATCAATAGTAGTCATTTAATGTTTTCAATGTACAAAATAGACATTTTTCAATAGAGTATGACCACCCTACAAAAAGATAGTTAAAACATGTATAAAACCTTACCAATTTCTAATTTGATATGGGGTATTATGCTTTTTGGAAATGTGTGAACAATGCCTCACCTGTGATTCCAACACACCAAAACACTGTCCATACATCCATTCTAAGAAAATTTGGCTTTTGAAAAAGTAAACTGAAATGAAAAGAAAATATTAACATGCTTGCTTGCAATTGCAATTATTTCACAATTAATTTTGCTCGTTATGTTGGTATTTGTACTACTTGCTTCTTGTTCATAAAAAATGTGTTAACAATGTTGAGAAACTTTAAGCAATACTACAACTAAACAAATGATTACGAAAATATGTTGTCTGACTTTATATTCATTTAGTAAGTACTAACCACATCTCCAGTCTTTGCCGATGGAAAACATAATAAACAAATATAATGTTTCCAGTCAAAAATGTGAATGTCCATAATGATATTCTGTGCATTCGCCTTTCCTTGAAGACAAAGCAGTTGCATAAATAATCATCAACTTATTCCAATAAAATGAAACTTGATGGATCTTCTAATAGCCAGCTTGTAGGCCTTATGCAACAATTTTGTTATATTTTAGCTAGCTTTACAATTAATACTGTTTATCCTGAAGTAAATTCCCCAACCATTTATTTCATAGTTCTAATTTTTTTACCAGCATTTATGCAAGGTCAGGATTTCTGGCCTGACACTTATAAATTTTCTGCACAAAATCAAATTTTATGTAATTTTCATTTTGTTTAATTTTTTGTTTAATATATCCAACATGAATTGTTATTGGCTTATATTTTTCTCAATTTGAAATCATCTTTTGTTTTAAGCAACATCACCGGAATGTTTTTCAATTAAGCGGACAATATTGGTTTTCGACAATATCATGATATGACTATGCCAAAAAAAGTCTTAAAAAAATTGAACTAATTGCAGACCTCAAAAAAGTTGCTTGGGTCTATTTCAAAACTAAGAAAATTTTCCCATCAAGAATTCAATTCTAGAATATACTCTGGCATTAATTCGAGATAAAAATACTGTACTTAATTGTGTTGAATAATAACTTCAAACATGTGTGCTTGCAACTCCTTTTAATCCTTAAAACAACTTGAATTTGAAAGCCAAGTTTATCAAAAATTTGGAATAATAAATGCATACCTTCAGCGCTACCTGTCTCCTAATTGTATTATTTGCATGAAAAAATGCACCAAACATCCCTATAAAAACCAAGATACCTAGAAGGTAAGAAAGAAAATCTGTCATTAAACCTTCACCCATATTGCATATTTTGGGATATACAAGATATGCATCTGAGCTGCTTTGTTACTTTGATTAATTTTTTTTCTTTGGTGCAATTCAAGAAGAAATAAAAAATAAACCAGCCACGAGACACCTAAAAAAAATTTTTCTTTAAGGCTGCCCCTGGACCAGGGTAGGATCTATGTAAATCTTATGCCAGATATATCCGACTTATATTTCATTATATTATTCATTATATTTCATTATATTTTATATTCAGTGGCCAAAGGGGCAATCTGCATTAATTTGTTTTTACTTAATTGATTAAAAAGATTTCATACAAACCTAATCTATGGTCCCACATAATCCGACTACATAAAAGTAGAATGAAGGGTAGGATGTTTTCTGCCCAGGTTATAGCACCATAAAATTCAACTCTGTCCCCGGTTGCGCGGTTCCCATTTCCAGAGGACCTCCCTTGAGGATTTGGCTGACTTTCTCCTGCTTCTATGTCAATTGCAGATGCTTGCCGGGATAACTGCCCAGTGTTTTCAGATCTATATCTTGGACCATTTCGAGATGTTAAACCACTTTCGATTTCATTCTGCCTGCCGCTATTTGTAAAACTTGGCACAAGTTCCTGAATAACTCTTATTGGTGAAAGAAGAGGTATGGAAGTTGTTGCTCCACTTGTATGAGACCACGATGCAGATCGCGAGTGTGTTCTTGGGTGATAAGAGCTTGGCTGCGAGAAAGGTAATGTAGGCCCGGTTCCAATGCTATCCATGTTGGCAAATATTGTGCTTTACAAAGGTATTTCGAATTTCATGCTTTGTAGATAGCTATGTTGTACCCTATACATATCGGTGTACTTTGAATTTGCTTGCTTTAATATCCTTTAGATCACATCCTTGCTAAAAGCTACTAGGCAGGTTTTTTGCTGCTTGATTTCATCCCGGCGATGGACAAATTTTCTTTCTGTCAGTTCCCATGTTCTAATAGCCTCACTTTCATATTGGTGGAACGATTGCCCGATTACAAGTTTCACCCAGTGATGACGTCATGTCCAGTTAACGTCACATTAAAATTGTTTGATTTCGACCTAATAGGTTAAGAGGGCGCCTTAACTTACCCTGATTATTAGAATTTTAGATTGGAAAAATCAAATTTGAACCCGTCGCAAATTTACTGGGATGGAAAAATGAAAGACCTGAGTTTGCTAATACTGTAGATTAGGCTTACTGGCCTGGTTCACCAATTCAGACCTACCAAGTCACACAAATTTTGCGTGAGACACACGCATTTCGGTCCCTTCTCATGCTCGCACGCATCAAAGCAGAAATCTCACGCATTTTGCACCAACCTTTTTGCTTTATTTAAATTTTTCAATGTTATTCCAAATCCTAACAAGGCATGTCAGGCCCGTAGCCAAGAGGTGGCAATGGAGCAAAGGAGCACTATCTGTTGCCACCCCGAGAGAAGTATTTCTTGAGTTAGCCAACGGAATAATAGAATATTGCAGAGCAGGCACTAGAAAGTACCTCAAAATCAAGACCATCAAAGAAGTTGAAGAAGCGAAGACCGAGGATTGGCTGAAGGATTGCTGCATCATTTTTGTAGATTGCATGCTGTTGGACATTCTAGAATCAATAAACATAGTCATGAAGCAGCTTCAAATCTCTAGTATGAATTTTTAACAGCGCTGTCTGTAGCGAAAGAAGCGAGAGAGAACCTTAAGGAGCAATGTGCAAATTTAACTGAGGCTCCATGCGCGAAAATGGTTGCTGATTTCCAAACAAAGCAAAACTGAATGCACTGAGGTCAGCAACATTCAGGGAAGAAGGGCCTTCATTTGGAAGCACTTTGATAATTCTGTCAGTACCAATCTCTCTCTCAGTGAATCATTGACGGTCAAAGTTTCAAGTATTCAAGAATCGTTGCAGCTGATGGAGGTGGATGTTCAGGAAAAGGTCTTGATCAGTCAACTCCGCTTTATGGAAGACCATGGAAGCACTTTCGCCTCGTTTATCAATTTTTCTAAGTTAAGAGTTCCTCATATCTCTATACAAATATGCAGCGAAAAGTTTCCTGTTCTGCAGAAAATGTTTAAGGAGCTTATTATTATATTTTCAAGCAGTGTGCAAAATCTTCTCTCGAGTGCTTAAAGATGTTAAGTGGGCAGAAAGCGACTGCATAGAGAAAGTGAGCCGATACTAGGAAATTTTTATTAATGTTTATACGTTGCAGTTACTGCTGGATTCACATCAACACATAACGATTTCAAAGCGTGCTTGTTTTCTGCATTAACTAGTAGATTCCCCCTTGCATGTCTGGCGTTTAGAGATCTTGATGGAGAAAATTAGAAATTAAGTAGGAGAAAATCGTTTGATTGCTGAAGACCACTTTTTGCTTCTTTGTTTTCACTAACTCTACCCCCCTCCCTACAAAAACATTACTTTAAACTTCACCTGCATTGGACACTGGGAGTTTGCCACCCCTACTCCACAGGCCCGGCTACAGGCTTGAGGCATGATAACAGCGACTAGATGATTAGATGACTAAATAATTAGATAACAGAACAGTGAATCCGACCGGTTAAGTGAGGTTACACTTATTGGCAAGCCTACACAAGTAGCAGGTTAGCTTCTCTGCGATTCTGACACATTGTGAATTTAAGAACCACAGAGAGGAGCACATATACTGTTTCTTATAATAACTAAATAGATTGGCAAAAAGCAAAGCCCCCTCAATCACCCATCCGTTTCTGCGGTCCCTGCTCAAAAAGGCAGTTCCGAAGAACCAGACAGCATGGAAAAGAAAAGTTTCTACTTTTGGTGTGTGGCAGTCAGGATTCGTTCTGGATCGGTTAAGATACGCTAATGACGACCAAACATTTTCCCTTCCTTCTAAAAAAACTGACAGATCTGAAATAATAGTTATTTGGTCTGTCAAAAGACTGCTCTTATTTGACATCATTTCAATCAATTTGTAATACATTAAACTTGTTTAGCATATTTGGACGTATTTTTTACTGATTTTTCAAACTAATTGTTAAAATTCATTCCTAAATTATATTCTCACGAAGTCTTTACAAAAGGACTTTTTTCGGTGGTTCTATGCAGGGGCGAAAATACCGGGGGGGTGTGGGGGGTGTGACACCCCCCCCCAATCCAAAAAATAGTCGATTTCGCAGGGCAATCGAAGATTTCGCAGGGTGCCAAGAAGAGCTTTATTGCCACGCAGAAATGCCACCTCTGAAGTTCGTAAAGGGCCGTTTAGGAATTTTTGAATGGAAATATCGTATTTTTTATGAACCTCCCTTCCTGACATTGTATTTTAGAGAACGGAACAGGTATGTAAATAAAAGCTCCGTTATTTGCAAGGCGAAAGCATTTCTTACCGAAAGTCATAGCCAATGGATGCAATGATGGATGCATATGTTTATGAGGGCAAAATTGAGTCCATGCAAATTAATTTAAGTTGTAAATTATTTTCATGACAGGCACGGCGTCACTGGGGGGAATAGGGGGCTGAAGGCCCTCACTTTGATCAAGATAAGAATTTTTTATCATTTTTTCTAACTTTTATCATTTAATACTTTTTAACAGTGCATGAACTAAAAAACATAATAAATTGTTAAGATACCGAATTTGTTTCATCTAATTGCTAACTTTTTCACGTATATTTTTATCATTTTTCTTTCATTTGCATTAATTCAGTAAATCATTTCTGTATCATTGCAATGTTTTAATTTTTTATGTGTAAACATGTCCTTCTCGATACAAGAAACTGCACATTTCTGTTCAGGAAAAAAAATTCCTCAAATCAAAACAACATCTTCCTCTGTCATTCACAACTACGTGCAATCTGAAACGAAAGGTTGCCGTTTCTTTCCTTCCCCAACGTTTAACACTATTTTAGCATGATATTCCCCCTCCCTATTTTTTCCAATAAACAATAATATTTTCAATAAACAATCAGTTCTTTTAGCACAATAGTATTTTGTTAAATTTTTGTCTGAAAGATGCTTTTTAGCCCTTTTAGAAGGTATAATTTCAAAAATTTTCTTCACGTCGGACCCAACCATGGTGGGTCCTCCTACCTCACTAAACTTGATTATTAGTCCCCCTGAGCTAAATTTCGTTGCGCTGTCTGCATCAAGTATCCCCCCCATTAGCTGTTTATTAGCTAGTATTTTGCAAACCAACATTAAATGAAGTGAATATAAAAAAAATTACGCTCACGTAGAGAAATAGATATTTCATAGGCAATGAAGTTTCAAGTTTGTTTTTATTGCTTAGAAGTTTGTCCTTGGTAATGACCAGTGTACACTGGTAAAGCTTTCACTAGTAACCTATAGACAAACCGTTGCTACGAGGTCTGCAGGGACAAACCGTTGCTACGAGGTCTGCAGGGCACCACTCAGTTTTGCAGGGCAGAAACCCTTTTCACCCCCCCAAACCTATTGGCCAAGTTACGCCCCTGGTTCTATGTGCATTTAATTATAAGAAAAGAAAGAGAAAGAAAGAAAGTAATCTGTCTGAAGCTTTATTCAAAACTACGATGGTTTTACAAAATCATTTCGAATGATTTCCTTGTGGTAAAAGAACGCTAAACGAACGTGGTATTAGTGTGAATATGGTTTACAGACGGCATCACTATAATGGCTGATATAAAATTGTGCAAAACGCAAAATGCAGACAATAAAGGGGTCTCGTATAGGTTTTGCTCACAGTTCGTAACTTTTGCTAATTCGCATGAAAATGATAGTGATTGACTGGTCTAAACTGTATTCAGGGCCGTCGCGAGGAAAGCCTTGTTAGGGGGGAGGGGAGTGTGGAATATAAATTTACCTGATTAGAAAATAATTACCTGAAATTCTTATAATACTAATGTTAATAACGGACTTTCCTAATAGTTTTGCCAAATCTGTATACCGGGACGGGCAACTACCCGAGGCGGCACCATGGTTGCCGCGGAAGGAGCAGAAAATTTTCGAAATTATTATCGAAAATTCTTTTATTTTTGCAAACAAATTGAACAGCAGATAAAAACAACTGGTACAATTTCGTCATGGTCTTGAAAAATTCTATGTTGTCAGTTACTTCTAAAGCTAGGTAACAAGCAGCACTGGTTTTCAATTTAGACCTCTCCATCCATCTTAGCATGCCTTTTTTGGGGAATTGGACACAAGGCACAATTTTACCTAAAGAGGGCCTGCATTTTTAGATTTTGTGCCAACGAGGAATTTTCAATTATTCAATTCATCAGTTTGTTTATCTTCCTTCATTTCAAGAAATATCATATTTAGCCAACGGAGCAACTACCTTTGCTTTATCCTTTATTGATTTTATGACAGGAAGGTTTCACTGAGCGGATTTTACCTGAAATTTCCTATCGAGATACTATTGGGGGGGGGGGGGGTGCACACCCCCAAAGCCTACCGGTAACGACGCCCCTGACTGTATTGCGTAAAAAATGAGGAGGGAATCCAGATTTGGCTCCCTTTTAAAGATTAGCTTCTTATCTTTGCTACACAGGATACCTTTAATTCGCAATTGACTTCACTTTTATTTTGAGGGTAACTTGGGTTATAATGCGTCTATGACGATGCTCGTTTTTTACAACGTCAGAATACCGTGAAAACTAAAATACAGAAATATTTTAAACACAGACAAATTCATCCAACTGTTCTTTATTATCAAAAACTGTAGCATCTAAAAACAACTCTATATGCTGCTGCTACTTGCATTGTCAACCAATTGTGATGAAGCAAAATTGCTTGATTGTGTTGAACGGCTTTTTTATCATTCTTCATTTCTAGAGTAACAAAACAAGAAATTTTCAGCATCCAGCAGCAACAACAACAACGTATCTAGACGATTGCATTAGGTCAGATTACACATTTTGCCAATGGTCAATGAATACAATAGAAAATAAGGTTGTTTTGGGCTGTCTGTTTGGCAAGGGTTTTAACACAAAATTTTAAATATCGGTCAAATTTTTTATAGATTTTTAATCTCTTTGTTATCTTAAAATCACTACCATCATTGCATCATGGAAACTTGCATTTTGAATAAATTTCTGGTCTCAAATCCAAATTCGAAGTCACATAATCAATAGAAAGAAATCCAGCGCACTTTTCAAAACCAGATTACACCTGCTAATGTTTATAGATTTTTAAGTAATATTTGTCTTCTTTTACCTTTTTGAACATAAAAAGCATGTCACAGGGCAAAATTTGGACATGAATATTTTGTTAGCCCTTTCACCACATGCTGCAACGAAGCGTCTGCATAGTAAAGGGTGCTTATCTTTGCATTCTGCAAAAGAAGAAAATCACCTCAAAAATTTTACCTCTTTAAAATCTCTTCACTCCACATTCTTTCAATGCTGACCAACAAGCATTGAATAAGCAATCGTTATTGAAAATAAAGTTAGAAGTTCATATAATGTTCAAAAGCTGACATTGTATAAAATTGGATGAGCAAAAACTAACTTACTTTCTTTATCAAGACAACCTTCATAATTTGGCCCTTGGCATGGTGTTGTGGAGTCAACGCAGCAGCCGTACTTGGAATAATGACAAGGAGGTAGACTTGCTTTTGCACCTTAGAAAACCAAGAGAAAAATATTTATTGTTTCTTATGGTAAAGGGACGAAATGAATTATCCAGTATTTTGAGGTAGGGCGTTTTAAATTAGGCACGTGAATTATGCTAAGGCTAGATGGAAGACTAACCCTACCTGGATGCAAATGCCTAGTATTTAATGGAATGATAATCAGTCAAGGCAGTGTTAACGATAAACGAAGCAGTTTTCCTGGGAAAAGAAACTCCTCCGGAAAATCCTTACTAATGACCTGTAAATGTGCACCAGTACGCAGTGCTGAGGAGAGGGTGGTTCAGGGAGTCACTGAACCAGGGGCACTTGGAAGGAGGGGCCCATAAATAACAACTCGTCAAAAAATGCTCTAGGTAATAATCCAGCCTCTTCATTGCCACTGTCATTAATAGAGAGAAAAGTCTATGAATGAAGTGAGGTAGAACATAGAAGCTTGAGTCTTTGACTTTCTCATCTTTGTGGGCTTGGACTAAAGAAGTTGAAAAGCTTCTGATTGTTACTAAAAAATGTGATTCCAACACGGCAACATACAACAATGTGTTTGTCATACAGAATTACACTATGGCATGCGCATCTATTTGCAACAGTGTGTCGGTTGTGATCGAATTTAGTTCACGAATTAAACGTTTTTCATCTTCTAAGACTTTTAAAATTTATAAGAAATTTTCATTTTTATGCATTGTTGTGTTAAGATATCAGTTATGCTCAAATTATATCAAATAGCAAACAGAAGTAAAAGCCACCAGACAATGGCCTAGATAGGAAAATTCATAGGAGGGGTAAGAAATTTTTTCAACAAAATTCTAACAAGCATGTGTACCAGTACCCTGGGTACCAGACTCACTATATATGAAATAAAATAGAGAGTCTGGTCTAGTGCGCCCCATTCTCGTTCTGGTGTGCTTATATTAACCAATCAGGAGCGAGTGTACAGATTTCTGTACGTTCAAAGGTCACAGCGAAACAATAAACTTAGCTCTGGTGTAAAACATTGAACAGAACACAACATAAATAAATGCTAGCGACTGTAACGATTTAGTTTGAAGATGCTGTTAAAACTGTACTCAAAGAATATTTTCCGCATGTTGTGGAACTTAACACAGAACAACATTGAAAGCCTTGTTTGTAGAGAGAAGAGACACCTTCGCCATATTGCCAACTGACTTTGGAAAGTCTCTGATATTTCAGGCAGTGCCTCTCATTGCAAAGAAATTAGGCCTTGTAGTGAAATGCAGTAAATAAGAAACACCGCAAGGCGCCGAGAACAAACAACAACAAACACAAGTAAATCAGTTATGGCTAATATTTTCCCCGGCATACGGGGCTTCGCTTGTCATATTGGCCATATTTGCTGTGGCGAACTTCCAACGTGATGATTCTAACCGCCGCGGTGTCCAAGCGCGCTGCCTTCACAGTGAGGAAGTAGACTGAAAGTACACTTAATTTATGTGGAAAATTACAAAAGCCTTATTTTAAGTTGTATGCTAAATTTAACAATGATTAACATTTAGTAACTGCATTGTGCTAACTTTAATTTCATGCTTCGCATATGCTTTTTGCTGCCAAGGCGTTTTACACCTGATTTGATTGGAATCTTGAGGCAGAAAAGTCTGTTATCACTGTATTAATAATGTCAACTTTACAGAACTTTATAAAATACATTGGCTTTAAGATTTCCCAAAACTCCTCCGACTACTGAGTATCTTTGTTATTTATCCGACAGTCTTGTTTCACAGGCCTAGTCTGTTAAATAGACTTCAGTTCTTTCAAGTAAGTTCACCCGAACGAGAATGGGGCGCACTAGACCAGACTCTCTATTATTTTATATAGTGAGTCTGGTACCCAGGGTAGTGTACCAGCAGTGTAGAGCCAACAAATTTAGAGGGGGCAAATAGCTTTCTCTTTATTGTATACAAAATAAACGTTTTGGTTGTTTTCTCTCGGATGGCTCCCCAATATCAATTTCTCTACCTTTCCATATTTTCTAGGGTTGAATTATCTTTCAATGTTTTGCGGTTACTTGAGCAGAAAAATAATTAAAATATAGAATTTTAAGTAGCAAAATTTTGCCAGAATTTCCTGAGTTTTCAGCTATCAAGAAAGCTTTTTAGGTCACACATGAACGAAATGTCAAGTAGTAATATCGGTTTAATGAAAGATTTGATCCTGGCAGAAATTAGCTATATTCTATATGATGTAATAGAATTACCCAGAAAATTGAGGAGAAGACGCAGCCCCCCTTCGAAAAGTTCTTCTACAGCCCTCATTTATACTTCTTTCAAAAATTTTAACATAACATAACGACATGGGAAATGCAATAAATGAATCCTTTGATATATTCAGGTATTCTTATGTTTATTTAACTTATGTTAGACAACCGTATTAAAGTTCCGACAAGACCAGAAGTATTCCGACGAAATAGCAGTTCAGCTCTACAGAGGGGTTGCCCCTCTATCTATTTTTTTTTGTAGAGGGGTCAGAGGAGTTGCCCCTCTGTAGAGCTAAACTGCCATCAGAGCAGTTTAGCCACTAAAAAAGCCACCAGCTGACCCGGGGCCCATAAACCCTCTCCGCAGCCCTGCCAGTACGTACCAACACCTGTAAAGATTCTTAATTTTGTCTTTGTCATAAAAACTGTAAACCCGTGCATTATTTTTCGCAAAACCGCATAACCGCGTGAAAAAGTAGCTAAAACTGAAAACAATGAGATTTTCAATAAGGTTTTAATACTATAGCACCTTGAACATCATCGTAGATCTTTTTTCATGCATGCAAGTTGTAGAATTCAGCATGTCAAACCCAAAAAATATAACTGAAAATGAAAACAAACCGAAAGCAATGGGCAGCAGTGGTTTTAGGGACTACAGGGCCCTGGGCCAAAACATCTGTGGGGCCCTTGTTCTTTACAATTTCTATCTTTTTCTTAGGTATGGAGCCCCTTTCGGCTTCCACAAGCGCGGGGCCTGGGGCCATGGTCCCCCTGGACGCCCCTTAAAACTGCCACTGGCAATGGGGCTAGCCTTTTCGCAAATTCATTTATTGAATTCAATTTTTGTTAAATGCAACCAAAATAGAGTTACGGTTGTCGAAAAACCAACTGTTATTCCATATCCATCCTGGATACCAGTCAATAGAATACAATAGAGCGTTGAGATAAACTCCACTCCTACCTTTCATTTCCGCGCTCGAATTTATGTGGCTCTGTTACCCATACAGGGGCGTCGTGGCGAATGAATTCTTAATGGGGCAAGAAACAAAAATTTTCTGACAAAACTTCTTGTATTTATTTTAATCAAATAGAACCATTAGGAGGGGGAGCAGAAAAGCTCATAACTTTTGTTTTAACTGGAAAGATATTTGATATACACTTAATCTTGTCTCTGTTTCTTTATACTTCCTGTGAACGTCCCTGACACCTCGCAACCCTTTAGGTCGATTAGGGCAAGCGAGAATAAAGTTATGAAAGGGATAATCTTTTATAATCTTAATGCTTCAAATTCGCGCCTGAAGTTTCATTCTTTTGAGCGAATAATATTAAAATCTTATTCTTATAATGAACATCCACGGGTTTAACTGGCATTGAAGATTCGGATTATAGCTGACAAAATTCGAGCAGCAAATCACCCTATACTTTTGTTTTTGTGGAAATCTAGAAATGTCGAGAATTGCCCCTTGACAATACGGAAAGTTCTCTAGTCCAAGAAATTTATGTCACTAAAAAGTTCATTTCACTTCTCCACTTTAGCCACGGCTTAAGTTTAAGAATTTTCCCACTTTATAAAGATTTTTCCGAAAATCCGTCAAATTTTGTTAATATAGAGGGCCCGCGCTCGCTCCCTCCCTGGCCACGACGCCCCTGTACCCAGGGTATTCCATACTGTCCGGGATTTGCAGTCCAATAAATTTCAAACTCCTAAAAATGGCTAATTGAATGTGTTGGGGCGGATGAAATTGCAGCTGAAAGCTTTCTGTCACCAAATTAACACCCTTGGAGACAAAGAGTATCTATATCAAACTCAACGAAACTGCCTTAGTTCAATGAATATAAAAAGTGAGGGTAGTAGCGTAAGATACGAAGGCTTAGTCCCCCTCACTTTTCCCTGCAATGAATTTTAAGTCACCTTTAGGGAAAATTTCCTCGTTTAAATGTCTTTATAACTTCAAATGATGCCCCTTTACTCTTCATGCCCCGAATTTTTAACACCCACCTATGCAGTGGTATAGTACTATCAAAATAACAAGGGGGGCTTTTGCACAAATTGTTGCAAAAAACAATAGCAAAAGAAGAAATTTCCAATTTTCGGCATTAACAAGGGGGGCCCACCCCCCTGACCCTTCCTAGCTCACTAGAGGAAGATCTTCGATTGGTCGATCTCCGCAACAATGGATTTAGTAACAATTTTGTGATATAATTGTAACAGATCTAAATGGAAACTCACTACAAAAGCCGCACTCGTGTGGACAGTATTTTGCAATTCTATCCTTCATTGCTATGCAGTATCCTAATCGTTTCCAAATCCTGCATAGGCCAAGGTCTCTGGTTTTACGGCACGATAATCCTCTCATGAAGTCAACTACAAAAGGATTAAAAAACAAAATTCGTTAAAAATTACATAATAAAACGAAATTATTTTTTCGTTCGATCAAAAACATACAGAGCATGTACATTGATGATTGTAAACATTAGAGTTAACATGTAAAAAGTTGTTGCCATTTTTTCAACTGAATTTCTACAATTGGTTGCTAGGATTTGGCCTGGATTTTGTAAGCAAGTGATGAGGTTTTGAATGAGGAATGATGGACACACCAATTTTTTTGTATAAAAAAGGATTGACATAGAAAAATGCAGTTTGTGATGCTTTGTAATATTTAAGTTTTTTATTGTTTCATAATTTCAATGACAATATATCAAGTTCGGGGTCCTATATGTATTTTTTGTACCCTGCGAAAAGTTTTTTTCATATTTAAGGATTTCACTTATTTAGGGAAGATTAGAGGCTTTTAATGCTTGTTGAGAAGTAATTTTGGGGTTCTCGGATGATTCAGACTCAGAGTTGAAATAACAAGTTGGAGAATATACACCCAGTTGATGGGTCGAAATTGGCCAATAAGAATAACACGAGCACATGGCCGACTTGCGTCTAGAATTTGTTATCAGTAAAATCGACTAAGATCATAGATATTTGGTATCATGTACGGTGGCCCATAACTGCCACGCAGTAAAATTTAACTGATTCGCATACAGACGAAGCTGATTCACATTGAAACAAGACGATTCGTACGGGAACAAAAATGACTAGCACAAAAGTCAAGCGACTCACACAGAAAGAAAGCAAGTTGCACAAACAAAACGACTCACACAAAAAGAATACTGGCTAGCACAAAAATGAAACTTGTCACACATTTTCAATTTCAGGAGCACAAAATAAAACATATTGGACAAATACAGCGAAATGAGTCGCACAATTAGAAAAGCGGACGCACTTAAATAAAACGAAATATTAATAAAACCTGTGTCACACAATTCATTTCATTTCAAATGTTTAAGGAGAGTTGCCCTTCAGCAAGCTGATTTTAAAATCTATGTGGATTGATCAAATAGATTTCGATTTTCATTCTTGCAAAAAAGCACCCGTTACGAAAAATGCTGCTTGAGAAAGTTTAGCACAAAATATTTGCTTCTATAGTGTTGTTTGCGACAAAAAAATGTTTCCGCAGTTTTGGCAAAACATTGTGGCCGAGGCTAAGCACCAATTTATTCAGTTCAATAAGAAACCAATTATTTTCCAATGTGATTTTTTCTATTTCGTGTTTTTGGAACTAAAAATGTCTCTCGAGTTTCAATTTTGTGCGAGTCTGTTTTGTTTTTGCTCAATTCGCTTGAATATTGTGCGAATCAGTTTTCTTTTCTGCGACTTGCTTTAAGGTTGCGCAATTTGATTGAAGGGATGTGTGACAACCTACTTGGCAGAGAACCCAATGTTTCCGACATAGGCGTAGACTTGCATTTTTTCAGGGGGGGGGGGGGGGGGGCTCAAAAAATTAATGACAATTCCTAATGGCAGCTGCTGATGTCACATGATAGAAAGTGGATTAGCTAAGGGCTTAAAGGTGATTTTTCCGTGCATTTTTCATTATTGAGGAAGAAGAAACACACAAATGAAATAATCGAAAGTTTATTTTTAAATCATAATCAGTTTCTTTAGGTTGAGATCATCAGTTCTATTTAGGCACCCAAAATGTACTCTTTCTCACGGAATTTCTTGATATGAAAGTGTCAACAAGTTCATCAATTGACAAATCTCATCACAAGTTTGTCCATAGCTAGTATCACGTCAGCAAAGATCGCACGTTGCTTACCTCTGATGCTTCCAGCCTCTCTAAAGGATTGGCCTCGAGTTGCATCTGACCTTATGTTCGCAATAATTTCATACTTTTGTTTGCTGTAAACGCAATTATCTAATGTAACAAATCTTATGCGTGACACCAATAATTTAACAAACTAATCTAAAAATTGGTACAGCACTTACTTATTTTCCAGTGGGGGCTCAGCCCCCCTCGGTTTTCGTCAGGAGGGGCTGAAGCACCAAAGCCCCCCTAAGTTTACGCCTATGTACCCTGGGTACCAGACTCACTATGTATAAAATAAAATAGACGCCTATGGTTTCCGATATCACAAGACCACCAGATGCCCAATTTTGCACAAGTGACACTTACACATTTTGCATTGACCGAAACTTTTTGCTTTCACCTTGACTCCATTGCAGTTTCGCTGTTTTAATGCGCACAAGTCTTCGTACTCTTTTCCATCTCTACCGCAAACCCTTCCTGTAAGTGTGTCACCCTCGTGGCAAAGAAACTTGCAGATGCATTGTGGGAATCCATGCGAACTTATTTCGCATTTCATATCTTTGGGACACGTGTGTGAGGAGCAAGGATCCTTGTCGTCTAAAAAAGAACATGCTGCCTTTTAAATTTATCTGAATTTAGAATTATTTAGCCCCCAAATAGCCTACTTTTCGGGTTGTCCCCAGATGAAGCCAATAAGCCTTGGAAAAGCGAGTCTTGATTTGACCTCGGTCTCGTGATAGAAGCAAATGCCTTCTCGTCTTTATTTAAAAGCGCTTTATCAGGGCCTCCAACGAAGAAGGGGCCGGGGGGGCCTGGGCCCCCCACTTTTTTGCAAAACAATAGAGTTTTTTCAAAATCTGTTGTTATGGGTGTTAAATTTTCCCTTGGCCCCCCTAATTTTCAACCTTTGTCGGAGCCCTTGTTTATGCGATAGGGTGGATGTGAATTAGAAATTCGTTTTGGTAACAGAAAGTTCACTTATCTACTTTTGACTTTTTCGTATTTGGTTTATAAGAACTGTCGCTTAGAATTCAATTTGAAGAATAAAAAGAGAATGATATTTCACTCACCACATAGATCACATGTTTTACGACATTTGTTCAAAACGATGAACTTTAGTTTCTTGCACAATCCATGAAACTTTATAGCTTTGCATTGCCAGGATATATCATCGATACACGGGCCTTTTGAAGTAAGATACAAAAAGGTTATACAACTTTTGTGGGGACAATCAGCGCGGAGGTGGTATATTTTGCTAGTAAAGAAATAGAACTGGAGAATATGCTCAAACCATCCCCTTTACCACTTTTTGCCTCGATCAATATAATAGTGTTTTGAATATGGAGAAAGATCTAAGAACTGACAAAACGTATTCAATTATTTAGGTTCAATTATTTAGGAGTCTAGCTGGGTCTCTTCGCAAACACCGTTTGAGCCAAATTCTGTGCAGCGAATTGAGAGAGCTCGCTTAAAACCTAAATAAATTACAGGACGTATTGAAGACTTTGAAAAGAATCAGCAGATATAAAAGTAGTGAATCAACCATAATGAAATTAATTACATTGTGTTTCTAGACATCTCATATAGTTCTGTCTTCGGATTGAGCTTAATTCCTGAGCAAGTTGAATAGAGTCTAAACTTCTGGAGATTTTTTCAAATGACCAAATTTTCTGCTCATTTTCCTTAAGATGTCTAAATCTCTAAAATATTTGTTAATGACAAAAAATGCTGTACTTCAACCAAAGGCTGAATTTCTTCCCTCTTTCCCCTTACTCCTGAATTTTTTGGTTCCCTTGCTTGCTTCTAATTCATTTGAAATATGAATAAAGTTAAGATTTTTCTGGAATGATTCAGTTTCTCCGGGCCCATGTCACCAACCTAAACCAGAATGGCCAGCGATATACAGACAGCGTCCTTTACCCTCCCCCTTCAGCCACTGTGGTGTCAAAAAAATTGTTGATTTGCTTGTATATTTTGTTTCAATATAGTTTCTATAATCAACAACTTTATCCATTTAAAAACCTGACCTAATTTTAAAATTTGCAAAATTTTGAGTGGCTATGGCTGCCCGATGCCCTCCATTGGCATGGACCCTGTTTTTATTATATTTGGCATTCTAGGATCAGAACTGCAACTAGCTTACGACACAGCATACTCAGGGGTGTACATATCCGTCTCCCTCGCACCCTGGATATTCGGTTTTTATCTGCGGGAGACCACTTATCGTTACACAGGGTAATAGCGACGAAATTTTTGCTAGAACTGTCCACCTCTGTCATCAGAGTTCCCAGGGTGACTACACGTCGTATTTTGGCGACCAAAGAAAGAACTGCTGGTCTTCCACTTGGAGTCCACCTATTATCAGGAATTGTCCAACCCTGCGATGCATTTGTAAACTTCGATATTTTTCCTAAGACTTTAAATTTGTGTGTTACTGCGACTTCCATATGTCTTTAAAAGTCAATTGTACAAATGTAGAATTAAAACATTCTATTACATTGTCTTACAGCTAGAATAACATAATTTCTTACGACAAAATGAGCAGGTCTTTTTACAGCTCCTCTTGCCTATTTCTGGTCTCTTCTCGCAAAAACCCATTCTTTGGAAGTCTTTGCAGAAGACGGCGCCATTTATATCAAGACATGATTCTGAAAAATAAGTATACAGGCTTTTATCAAAGACCCAATGTAGCATATCCGGGAATTTGGCACAAAATAACCCCTTTTGGGCGATGCCATTGTGGCAGATATGATGACCCCTATCCACTTAAGGAGATTCAAATTTCTGCAGGCCTATCTACATATCTGCCACATACTATATATCAAGAAGAGCATCGACTTATTGTGCCGATTATGCAAAGGAGCCTCTTGCCTCTCTCCAAAAGCTGTACTTTCAGCTGAGAATACTTCTTTTGATTTTCTCCAAAAAGCTGAACTTTTAATTTCCCTCTTGAAAAGTAGAACATGTTACAAGGTTTACCTTGACAATCAAAATGCATTGCTTCTATTTATACCGTAAATCCTCGAATTGGCCCCTCCCCTCAAAAAATCCCCCCCTTCGAACAAGCCCCCAACCTAGAACTACATATTGTCAAAAAGGCCCCCCCTCGAATAAGCCTCCACTGCTGCCGTAAATTTTCAAATTGGACCCCTCAATTTGACGATTTTTGTCATCTGAGGTTGCCAATGGCGTTTTATTGAATTACCACAACAAATTCATACTTTTGGTAGTAATTAATTGAATGCTCATAAAGAAATTTCTACTAAAATAAACAAGGTATTTTAATAATGTCTTCTTAATGTCTACAATAATTTTATTAGCCCCCTCTCTCGAATAAACCCCCATCCAAAAATATCAAAAATAAAAAGGCCCCACGGGGATAATTCGAGGATTTACGGTATATAGCTAAAACGAATAATCGGTGCTGCATGTGATTGTTCGTGACCTCCAATCTGGTTCAGTCCAACAAAATCTTACATCCAGATAATTTGCACAAGGTAGCTAACATGCAAAAGTGTTAAGAAAAGGCTTTGAAATAGCAAAGGTCTTAAAACATACTTAAAACAAGCTTTTTCGTCTGATAAAAAAACTTACAATGGTTATTTGCAATTTATATTTGTTAACAAAACATAAAAATTGAAACTACTGTCCATGTTACCCTCTGTTAAACTCTCACTACGATGGGCCTTCTACAGCACAAAATAAAATTTTTCAAATGGACAAGAAGTTTGTATCGATAAGATTTCTCGAATATTTCGCTTTTTGTCAAAAATTTTTCAAACGGTTTGTTAAGTCACGCTAAGTAATTTATATGTGTTGCACGTAAAATTGTTCAGCCAGATATATTATCGTCATTGCTATTAGTATTATTAACGAATCTTTACACAGGATTTTTCTACGTAAATGTTATATTGACATATACATAAATTTATGTAGGGAAATATAAATTTATAATAAGTATATTTATAGATATATATTTATATATATATACATATCTAAAAATACTGTTTTCAGAGAAGTCCTTTTTAGATATTATAGAAGAAGAAATATTGCCTCATAAGAATGCTACCTTCGCATCCTTTGAAGTCTTTTCCTTTTGCAGGAGTTTGTTCATCGTGGCAGCAGCCATACTCTGAAAATTTGCATTCTGGTGGCGGCGGCTCTTGAATAAAAGATAAAAGACTCCTTTTTTTCCAGGTGCGCAATTTGCATTATATTATCTTTAGAAATAGAAAGTAACTTTTAGAGTTTTAAATTTCTCTACAGAAATACTTTTACTGTTGCTTTCTCGAGAATTTAGATCTTCGTCTGTAAACAAATGAATATGATTAGCCGAGAGTACATCTGTTGGTTGAAAAATGCTTGCTTCAGATGACCAAAAACAAAATGAGTTTTGTTCATAGTGAGAAATAACAATCACATTCCACTTGTTTCACGAATCTGATTGCAATCAATTCAACGTGTCAAAGGCAAAGCTAAAGAAAATTGTCGAGGAGGCGGTGGCCAAACTGCTTCCAATGAAGTCTTGAGCCATTTGAGAACACACAACAACTTATAACGCAGGAATGGAGTACATAATACAGGGCCAACGCCAAGAATTTGAAAATGGGGGGGGGGGGCAAGACTTGCAAAAGTAGTCGGCCAAGACTAGCAAAAGTAGTCGGCCAAGGCTTCTTTCCCCTTTTGCCTCAGGTTTAAAACTAGTTGCTTCGCAAAAAATGGGGAAGGGGGGGCATGCCCACCTTCTCAGCGTAGGCCCTGTGATACGGATGTTTTTCTTTATCGTTATCCATCTATTTATAAATCTTCTTCGAAGTTTCGTACTATAGTACATTGGAATTTTCGTACGTACGATAGATCCCGCTCCCGTTTGACTATTCCCCAGAACGTGTGTTCAGTGCAATGTGAATAATTTCTTTGAATTAAATTATTACGTCTCAAAAGTTCCTGTAACTGAACGAGACTATTCAAGGCCTTGTGGCTATGTGCTTCCGCGGATACTTACTGCAATACCCACATGTCCTGTTGCAAAGAAACGCCATTCTCTCCTTGCGAATGATACACGTACGATGTTTCTTGAGGTACTGGCAATAATCAGCACCGATATGGTCTTCGCAGAGATGAGGATCATCTAAGGTAGGGTAAGATATTCATTCTTTGCAAATAGGCATTAGATATTCCAATGATTCTATTTGATAGGGAATGTAACTATAATATCGCGGCCAGTTACTGGTGAATTTGAATTACCTAGTTGTGACCCATGGCTGTGAAAAATACAAAATATCTTGCTAAAAACTATAGCACTCCTCTTATAACTTCAAAACGATAAGCATCCTATAGCAATAGCCGGGCAAATGGACTGGCTAATTTGGTTGAACAGCTGGGCTAATGGACTGGGCCCTGAAGAGAGCACAAAGAAAATAAAACGGCACCAAATTAATCGTTAGGGAACGTAAGTTCGCCTTGAAGTAAAAGTAAATTATTGGTATGAGAGTGACGAAATGCTGATCAAATGTATAGAAAATGAGAACTACTGAATCGGCTTTGATATAATTTCACTTGTAAAGTAAATTTTCGTACTTTGATTGATCTATTCAAAGAGACAGAGATTGTAATAACTTTGTTCGCAAGTCTTTTTTCGCTCATTTTGGACTGAAGATAAATATTCTGTAATTCACAGCATTCGCAATTCAAAGCTGTTTCAAAAGAATGAAATTTTTTCCGAAGGAAAATATAATTCAAATTTGTAAAGATTTGTGTATAAGAAGGAAGAGCCGCAGGATAGGCTGTCCGTCTGATTCTGTGAATCTTACCGGATTGGTTGATGTTGAATGGTGTGAATGCAGCGCAGCGGAAAAAAAATGAGATGATGATTGTGGGAGAATGTGGGTGATGCTATAGAAATTGGTGTAATGGGATGATAATGATGACTATTCTAAAAATTTACCTCTTATCAATGGTCCTCGTTTGAGCCTCTTTGGGAGAAATTCAAGAATTTCAGCATCTAAAGGAAGTAATGCATTATGCTGTATAAGGAATTATTTTGGCTTATTTATTTACTTATAATATGATACGAAAAAGCAGAAAGATTAGTATAGCATGGGTTATGTTTCAGTTTTTATTTTCAAAGACCGATCTTGGTTTATATTCCAAACAAACACTTTCGATAAAGCTTTTTTAAAAATGTGAACAATTTTTTGGCGGTACAGAACTTGAAAATGGCTTTGAAAAAAGCAAACATTTTACAACAAATTGGCTTAAAGCTTTTTCGTCTGACAATCTTCAGAGCATAAAACGTCAGAATAAGGGTCCGAAAGAACACAAAAAAATATATACCCAGTCAGTGCCGCGTGACTAAAGAAAACTTACCACTGGAGTCCAAGAGAGAAAACGAACTCATTCTGTCTACACAATGGCGGCTGTTTTGTCTGTTTGTAAATCTATTCCAAAACTGTTAGATGGAAAAATGACTGTGCTCTGCCAATTATCCGAAATATGTCGTCATTATAGAGTTGACCGATGGCAGAATCACTTGTTTTAACATACTACAGAAAAACACAATAGAAATATTGGCATGCTGGTAAGGAAACGTTTTCAATTTATCGGATTATTTTCTCTTTGATACTGCAACACTTATCTTAGGTAATAGACTTGAATTTTGTATCCCACCCATACCATAAACAGAGAGGAATTCTTTGCTGAATTCAAAATGTTACACGCTAAACTTGACAAACACGCTCAACTTGCCAAACCCTTTGGAATTTCACAAATTACGAGCAAGACTAAGCAATTTGGCATATGCGTAAAGCGGCTCCCCCATTGACCAATCTAATTTTCTTTTTAGACAGGGCATATGGTATAACAATCTAACAACCTTGCTAATCTTTGTTTTCTCGACGTAATCTCATAAATTGAGCTATGGACTTTCAAAATCCGTGGAAAGGGAGAGTTCTTCGATTTTTGGACTAATATTCACTGTTACGTTCTCCTGGATAAGATGTTCAAGAAAACCGATTTTCACTTGTCAAAAATGCCTTAGTGATTAAAACTAAAGCAAAAACTATCGTTAAGGCAAATAGTCAGTATCTGACGAGTCAGTTCTCTGTTCAACTGACGTTGTAAAGTCACTCTTCCAATCAGAACTTCTTTCACTAACTTCTGATTGTGTCTCCTATTTACTTTCTCTTGCTTCACATCATCAGACTACGACATCATCTTCTGTCTCGATCGGCCTTACTGAGCGACGTGTGTTCCTTTTCCTTTTCTTACGCAAAAGTGGCACTGCATACGGTTCTGACTCCATGTTTGCCTCGCAGCCATCCACATCATTTTCTTTCCCTGTCCTAGACTTACTTCTAATCAACGATCTGGGAAGTTGGCTCCCAGTGAACCATACTGGAGAAACAACGGAAGAGTGGGTATTTGTTTTCCACCCAAAGTCATAAATATATAGTTCAGTCACCCGATATTTTCGGCAATTCAGCCAAATTTAACATTGGAAATGGACGCGTTTTTTCTCATGTCATATTGAATCTGGATCTGGCGAAAATGGTGCAGATGATTTCACCTTCATTTTCAAGTCTTGCTGGACTCGTGTTTCAATATCAGTTTCTGTTTCATTTCCGTTATAGAGAATAGTCTGGATGAACTTCTTTGCACTTTCAATTGTATCGTCTTGGATATTTTTCCCTTTCCCCAATTCTTCGCTAAGTGCCAAGCTGCTGGCGTTCTTTACTACCTTTTTATATGCCTTTACTTTTCCGACATTGAATTTGTAGGCAGTAGTGTTGCATCCGGTTATGGCATGTAACTTTTGCATACTTCACAACCAACATTCTCAACTATTGCCCTAACATCCACGTATTTGTCATGATCGATTTTCATGTACCACTCTTTTGGCGCTGACAATTGTGTCATGCCATAAAGAAGCAAAATAAGGACATCCGTATCCTTGGCAACAATAACAGCAGGGCATTTGCAGCATGCAGAACCAGCCTTGTATCCGCCTCCTTGTGATTGCAGGTTGGCAAATTCCTCTCTCGTTTGCAGTTGATTACAAGAAGGAATCTTTAGCAAACTTCTGCCCTCTTCACTTCTGAAAAACGCGCTTGCTAGTCGAATCAGTTCTTCTTCGTTTTAGCCGTTATGGAAAAAATCAGCCCATTATTTTCCTTGCAGTATCTTCTGCTCACCACTCTCCAGATGAACCCTGCGTGAAGTTTCCCCACGTTTAATCCTCGTTGACGATTTGAAACTGGTCTGGTGGTACGTATCAGTGACTGTCTCGACCTGCGTTGCTTCTGCAGCTCTGGGTGGTGTTGCCGAATTGAGGACACTGACGAGACATTATCTGTATGTTTTTTTCGATTTGATTGTACGGAAAAGTGCCATGCCATCAATGATCCAGCGTGCTTCAGCGTGTATTAGTGGTAAGATACTGGATGCTGCCTTTGATTCGTTAATTGAGTAATTTCGAATGCTAGCTTTGTCAGACTGCCACAGTGTCCCGTCGGGTGTGGCTAGGCCTAAAGGCAAGGTTGTGATTGGGAAGGAGAAAGCTTTATCTAGTGACATTGCTTTTGCTACGAGAATTCCGAAAGCTTGTTGATCTTCTGTGAGAACCGATATTGCCGTTGGTGTTTCCTTCACTTTTTCTACTCCTGTTCTCAACTTTAATCGCTTTATTGGATCGAATACACTCTTTTTTTGGTAATAAGGCGTTTGGTATTAAACTCTTTGTACCTGGCATTCCCAGCTTCAGGTACTTTCAAAAGCGATTGAATGATTTCCTTGTCGGCTTCTACTCCTGTGCAAATTGCTTTCGCGGGAACTTTCGAAAATGGGTCAGTATTGTAGGAATACAACTTCTTCTTTAAATTATCAACATTGATGCTATGCCTTGTCTTTCGACTATCTGTTAGTTCTTTGTGTGTAGAAGTAGTGTTGATGTTAAGTTTATCACGCATTGCCAACCGAAGCTTTGCATGGATGTGAACGGTTTTCACCCATTTGTTTGTTGTGTCAATGTTGGTACTGTATCCAGAACTAAATGGACCGGCTGTTCTTTTAGTTTCGCGATTGAAATATTCTGTGACTAAGACTCCATGAACTGTGGCAAACTTTCTCCCCAAATAATTTGCTCCATATCCCCTTTCAGAAAGATCTTGGTAAGCTTTGTTGTTACTTGACTTTAAATCTGTTAAACACACCTGTTGGAATGTCAGGTATGGTGAGTAGTTTTGGTGATCGAATGCAAAGACTTACTTCAGCATTTGTCTTTCAGCTTTTGAATGTCGCTCAAAGTCACTTTCACGAACGCCAGAGACTAAAGCTAGGAGAGACAAAATATCCCTTATGTACGCAACAGTCATACTCTGTTGGGGGCTTCTGGTGCTGGTTAATTCTTAAAGATTTCTTCAAAAGTATACTGTCTTGTAACTTCCTCTAGATCTTCTGGAGAAGGCCTCTTTCTCAAATTTTCAAGGCTTTCATGCAGTTTAACAAGAATTGTCCAGTAATTGTTACTGAGACGTTCTGCGCGATACTGGATGAGGGCATCAAAGGATTCTTTCAAAGTTCGCATGCATCGGTAATCGTGCTTTCCAGAAAAGCCTGATCAACGGAACCAGCTGAGATAGTCCCAGCGTCAACAAACCAATCTTTATACGCAATACACGAGTGCCGCTTGAAGATTAAGCGCTGGCGAACTCGAAGTTGATGAAAGCCACCTATGAGAATGATGATATTGTTGTAAAGACCACCGTGCTTCCATGTGATCTGAGTAAGCTTTGCATATACATCTTTGTCTGCCTGCGCGAAGATATTCTCTAATGCAAGATCTTCTGCGATGTGTTGAAGGCTGTCGAGATAGTTCTTGCAAACTGTGAAGTCAGGTGGCTGGCTTCTGCTTCTTTTGATATGAAACTTCTTATCTTTATCGAAAGCAGTCCAAGAGCCTGACAAAGGGAAAATAGTTCTGGAAAATTAAAACAAAGTGCAAACTTCTCTGGCCTGCTTTGGAAGAAATATTAAGTCTGATTGACTGACATCGCTTGAGTTGAGGTAAAAATGTGAAACTTTGTCAATGCAGCTATAATAGTGACATCTTTTAATAACGCTGCAATATTGCTGTGATGCTAGGGCGAGAGGTCTTAGATTCAAGATATTGTTACCTGGCAGAATCAGTTGAAATAATGTTCTATTTGTGTCATGTGTACTGCCAGCTCCTGTCAATGTTTCTTGGCGCCCATCATTGCTATTTATGGATGAATGCAGTGGAAGTCTATTTGCAAACCGCTTGTGTACCTCTATATGTGCGAAAGACCACATACTGCTGTACTTAAGAATGTCATTGTATGAGATGGAATGGCCGAGGCGATGAAGATGTGTTGCTGCCTCCTTGCTGCCCGTAAGCCTGTGTAATATTAATCGAAGCAACGCTTGTTTTGCAGTTTTCTGCCTTGTGATCATAGATTGCCAATCAGATGCAATGGACCAAATCTTACGATTTCTCGCGCTTGAAATTAACAAAAATTACAAAACATGGGTGAAATAGATGGTAGAAGCCACTAAAAAAAGTTCAAACTGATATCTCAAGCGGTTACTGAATATCTCAATAATTTTGGAGTGACCCTCGTATTGACAATGTTGCTTGATTGTGTAATGGCATATCCATCCTCATTGAGCTTGAAATTAGAGTATATCATAGCATAGAGCATAGACAGTATTGCACAGCTCTGACATCGGTCTATTCTCGAAACTTAGCATCGTGTCATCAGGAATGTTTGGTAAGCTTTGAGATATTTGGTCTTTGACTTTACTCCTGATGAAATTGGCGAAAGACCGAATGTAATCTTCATCTCTTAGTCCTTGACCAAGCGGGTCGCAGCACTATATTGACAAGGATTCATAAGTACTGAATGAACAATAACGTATTTTCCCGTTGGAAAGAAGTTAATTTCGTCTTCAAACTGTTTTTTTAGCTCTTTCTTTAGCACAACAGTGTGCTTGATGAATGGCTCTGCATCATTGTCTTCACAAATTGCTTTGAAATCAACCAACAACTGATGATGAAGAAATATTTTCTTTCTTTCCGGCCATCTTCAAGCGAGTAGAGCGACAAAACTTCTCTCTTACGTCAGCTTCCTTTTCATTTTTGAAAGATTCTTCTTCTTCTTCGGCATTCAGAAGTTTGTTCACAGCATACTTTAGATAGCAATTTCTGTGATAATAGATATCAATGGCAAAAAGAACAAATGACTGTCCATCTTGCAAGACTTGGAGTCTTTTTGTTGCCTCGTGAAATCTGCAGGCTGCTTTTGAAAGAAACAATTCTGTTTGTTGCTGAATTCTTTGCCTAGAGTTCTCTTGTTCGCATCTTCTTAGGCCAGCATCTTCTTACATAACGAATTTTTTCCCTTTTTTGGCTCCTCTTTATGACTTTCTTCTTTGGTAATTTGATGTATCAACGTCAACATTAGGGTCATCTTCTGGCACAGTTGTGGCAGTTTTGCCGTATATTTTCTGAACAATAGAATTCATAAAGAACGACAGCTACACGGCAACTTTCGTGAACTTTCTCAAACACTATGCAAAAAATCGATTTGCAAAATATTCTTCGTCAGCGCAAAAGAAGTCCAGTTTTTGGGTCTGTTCTTTTCAACCTCTCCCATCCTTGCTGCTTCAGAGTTCTTGCTGAGTTTTTCTGTCCAATCGAAGAATCACAAAACAAACACTTCTAGCCACTCGTAGCATCAATTTAAGAATGAAGACGATAAAGAAATCTTGTGTGAACATTCTTAACCAATTAGGAGATTTTTAGAGACAAGCAGGCCAATCCAGTAAGCTAAACAACACTTAGGCCGCTTCATTGTAGGACACAGGCAAGGCCGTTACCATGCAAATCTTCAATGCAAATGCAAATTTTCGAATTCTCTGACGTTAATTTGATTTTCGAGTTCGAAATTAAATGTTCTTAAGACACCTGCTGACTTTGCATGGGTATGGGGTCTAGAAATAAAAGTCCAACTCCCCCTAGCCCCCTCCCCTCCGCTTCCCTACCCTTTTTATAACTCAAATTCCTTGCCAGGCCTTGAGGCATCTAAATGAATTTTAAAAACCCGTTATTTTTCATAACGCTTTCAGATAATTCACTGTACATAAAATATATGACGTCATAGTTCAAATGCTGATATCAGCAAAACTAGAATATTTATATATAATTCCAAAGATCTCTTTGAACTTATTTAAAATATGCAAGTTTTATTCGATTATCTCATTTCCGTCAAATGTTATGACATTTTAAATGTTGAAATTTGTATGAAAATGACGTCATCAATCACGTGATAACAACGAATTTCCAGAAAAGATACCGGACAGACTTTGAAAGTCCATAGCTTAATCTATGAGATAACGTCGAGAAAACGAAGGTTAACGAGATCGTTAGATAGTTATACTATATGCCCTGTCTATTTGCATATAGAACATTTCCTAGCCCTAAAATCTCCACGGGCAATGAAATTAATCTGATTCATCTTATATTTCAACAGATTATAAGTAAACCCCTACAATGATATCTTTATTACAAACCCTGATAAAGTGTCTGGAGTTGTAATTTTGAACATAAAGGACTACATAAAAGATGGAGATAATTATCCACGACAAAGAAAAATTTGCTAAATTGGATGATGTCGAAACACAGGACAAAGCGGCCAAAGTAAAGCGTAAACTCCAAAAACTTTTTTTCAACTGGTCAACTCAAAAGTCTTGGCTACAGAAATTTATGATAGGATATGACCCGCGGGCTCTCAACGACTACAAATGTATGGCCTCCCTAAAATACACAAGCCAAACGTCTTGTCTATGATTGGCTCAGCTACTCTAGTGTCGCTAATAGAAGGGGGAAGGTGATAGAAGGGGGGCGTTCATTCCGGCCGATTTTCGTAAGAAAGGGGGTGCTAATAGAAAAAGGGGGTTTATGGCGACCAATTTTCAATAGAAGGAGGATGCTGATAGAAGGGGGGCCAGTTTTCAATAAAATGTCAGCAAATTTCAACCGCAAAGGGGAGCTAATAGAAGGAGTTGATGTTGGTAAATTATTTAATAAAAAGGTAATGGGATTAGTAGGATGGTGACACTGGTTACTTGATAATAGATAGATAGTTAGAGATAAAGAAAGGAGAAGATCGCAAATTTTTCGGCTGTTCAAAAGTTTGGTCCGCGAAAGTGCCCAGTTCATTTGAAACTACCATGGATTGGTAACACTTCCTTGCGATTCGATAGTCAGATTAAACAAGCCATCATAAAATGTTTCTTTGCTGCCAATCCTCGTATTATTTACAGCACCAGGAGAGCCCTTTCACCCTATCAAAAAGATTGCGATCCTACCAACCAAAAATTTCCGTTATTTAATGAATTTACGTGCCACTGTGATTCCGGCTACGTAGGATGCACAACCCAAAGATTTGGGGATAGGATAAAACAGCATGTTCCTTCCAACATAAGGAACAAAACTGCCCCTCAAAAAGAACAGCCTCCTCGATCTTGTAGGTCTAGAAACACTGTTAAAACAAGTGATTCTGCCGTCGGTCTACATCGTTTAAACAACCTTGATTGTGGTAAACTCTATAATGACGACATGTTTCGGATAATTGGCAGAGCCTGGTCGTCTTTTCATCTAGCAGTTTTGGAATTGATCTACATACAAACGAAAAAAGCCGCCATTGTGTAGACAGAAGGAGTTAGTTTTCTCCCTTTTTCTTTAGGCACGCGGCACTGACTGGGTATATATTTTTCTTTGTGTTCTTTTGACGTTTTATGCTCTGAGGGGTGTCAGACGAAATAGCTTTTAGCCAATGTGTTGTAAAATGTTTACTTTTTTCAAAGCCATTTTCAAGGCTCTTTTAGTTTATAATGAATTATTCTTATAACATTGGTTATTCTAAACCTGCCATTGTTTATCGCGAATCACATCACAATTCACGTGCGCATGGGCAGATAGAGTTTATATAAGAAGTTCGAAATTTCTCCTTGTCAATGGGAATCCTGGTATTTGTGTCTCATGTCAAGAGAATATCATGTTACGTCAGATATTATTTACGAATCTTGTTTGTAAAGAGACGACTACTTACCCATTGATCTGTTTTCAAGTTGGTCCAACATGAAGTCGATGGTGCTAGAAAATCTGTTTTCCAATGCCTTAGCTTTCAGAAGAAATCACAAAGTTTCATTACCAAAAAATACGAAGCTGGTTATAACATAATTTACGTGTGTTTGTTGTTACTTTTTCTTGGAGCGTTGAAGTGTTCTTAATTTACTACATTTTAATATAGTACTTATTTGTTTTTTTGCTATTACACTTATGAAAACCTAACACTTTCAAAATGTTAGGAATAGTGAAAATTGGAAGAATCATTTCAAATGCTAATAAGTTAATGTTTCTGGAAATTGCTTTCCTGGTATCTGGAAAAAGGCCTTGAAAAGAGCATATCTGCTTACTTGAATGTCTGGTCCACTTAATATTATTATCTAAGATTTGCTGTTAAAGTGGTTGATTACAGAACTGAAATTGTGTCGAATCTGGGTTGCAATGTTTGGAGAGAGAGGATTAAAGTTCAAATTTACTAAAAATCCCAACAAAGAAGCAACATTTCTGAACATTTAAGAGGAGTTTTTGGGTTTACTTTAAGTTTTTGGGTGGCTCCCTTCCTCCAAGACATTGCATCCTTGGTACAAATCAATATGTTCACCAGGAAGTAGACCCTTAATGGATAACTGATGGCAACACTGGGTAGTGTAAAGCCAGCAAGAAAAGGAACTAGCCACCTTCCTATGCCACATTATAAGACTAGTACAATACAAAACCATGGCTCTCACTAACTGAAACTTCCCTACTTTGACCATCATTACACCATTCAAATATTGACATTGATTCTGCATTGAAGCTGACTTTCTGTTGGCATGATAAAAACTAACCCTCGGTAATTTTAAATCAAAAGCATCATTCAATTATTTCCAGGAGCATAAAAAACGACTAAACATTTTGAATAAAAAAATTTCCAAATTTCCCAGAGCAAATCTTGAAAATGTTCTTCTCCAAGCTTCAAAACCTTCTTCAATCCAAAATTTTCAATCCTACGTTGACAAAGAATTCTCTTCCTGTCCTTTACAGGGTTGTACTTAACAGATTTTTCTCTAGTATCGAGAAACCACAAATAACTTTGAAGCACATGACAAGATTTTTGCGGACCAAAGAGATGAGATTAGAGAAAATCTTGGACATCAAACTGTGAGCCAAATTGAGCAAGAAGAAGTCCATTTTGCCCTAAACTGTCCATCTCCAATAGATTTTTCCATATACTGGATCACAGGAGCCTCCATAATTTACTGTGCATAATCAGTATTGTACGTCGAGATCAACAAGGACACTCTGCGCACTTTCAAGGTAATTCAAAGTCGCAAGCAATAATTTGTAACATTGTTAGCTAGAGAAAAAATCGCTATGGTGAATGCTGTTAATGGATCTTTCAGCTTGTGTAAGGATCTTTCAAATCTATCAAGATCTTTCAGAACCTAGAGTTGATATTGCTTTTTAGAACTGCTGAATTCGGTTCCCTTATTTCCTTTTCCTTGGAGTTTTTTAAGCTACCCTATTTCATAAAGCTCATGGAACTTGAAGATAAAAATTATTTGAAGATAAAAATTATTTTATAAAATTACCATTGACAATGTTACTAGAGCTAATCAAGTCTTCTCCTAAAAAGCAATACTTTAATGAGCTCAAGATCTGATAACGTGGACGGGATAGTATTTCCCCTAACTATTTTGTTTTGGTACTTCCACTAACATTCAGTTTACGTTTTTCCTACGATCAAGATCGGTTTAACGAAAGGCAAGGACCGGTAGGAATTGAAAGCCTTCAAGGTGCAAATTAATTATACATTCATCTAAAGCCTTGTAGCAAAATTTTGAAAGACTAGCCCAAATTGGGATACTGCAGTAACGATATCAACATTTAAAGCTTTACCCACCTGACAAATCATTTCCCAAAGCTTCTTTAACTGCAATAGCGCAAAGCAGAACTTGAAGGATAATTGACTCCGCCATAGCTTCAATCTTGATGTCTGACTTGTTCTTAATTGCTCCTGGCTATGTTTATGGTGAAGCCACCCAATGTTCTTGTAGCATTCAAAATGCTTCGTCCAATGAAATGACAGCTTTGCAATATGTGACATGATTAAATGTCATATGGGCTTGTCTTCTGATAGGATCTCTATATCTCCCTTGTAGCTACGGTGGCCCATAACTGCCACGCACTTGAATTAAATTGATTCGAATATAAGCAAAACAGATTTACATTGAAACAAACCGATTCACGTAGAAAGAAAAACCACTCACACAAAATTCAAGTGAGTCGCACAAAAAGAAAAAAGACTCGCAGAAAAATGAAACTCGTCACACATTTATAGTTTCAGTCGCACAAAATACAACAAGTCGCACATAAAACAGAATGAGTCACCCAATTAGAACAGAGGTCGCACTTAAAGAAGAATGGGTCAAACGTTGCTGAAGGGTAGGTTTTTTATTGAATTGAATTTCTGTTCAGCCTCGGCCATGATGTTTTAACCAAAGTGCGGGAATTTCAGAGACAAGACCTACGTTCATCATCGGAATAGAGTAATATGCGCGTATTTTTGGACCATTGGGACTGACAGCAGTGACAGTGAGATATGATAGCATGATATTAACACTTAGCTCCATTTTGCTAAAAAGAAAGCTCAATTCGATTGACCTACGAAAACCTATTTTTGGAGCAATCAATCCGGCTTTTAGGGAATTTGTAATGTTGATGAAAAGTAATTACAATTTTCCTTTTTGGTTTATTTTTATTCACTATAAGCAAAAATCTAAGGCTAGTCCGATTTTTAACTGTCAAGTTTTAACCTCAAGTTTTAAAGCTCATTGTTAGTTCTGTTTCCATTGTCACAAAGAAACCTCTTATTTTACCTAGTTGTAGATACATAGGCAGATAACTTAGCGTTAATTGATTTGCATTGAAGGATGTTGACAGTGAGTGCTACTCATGGGGCAAAGATTAACAGGCTAAGTTTTTAACGATGATTGATTATGTAATATGTATACTCGGATCAAAGGAGAAGGCTTCAGAGAAGGGAGTACAGTAGGTTCCGGCATATAAGAAACCACTTTTTGAATTGAGGTCTCAGAACGTTTCTTATTTTAAGATACCTTTTTATAATCAGGGTAAAAGTTTCTTATATATAGGTTGCTCATTTTTTAATAAGCAACTAAGCTTTAAGTGTTGGACCGTGTTTTGTAATGCCAAATTATGTTATTTATTATTTGAATAATGGAAGGATAATGAGCCTCCAAGAGAAGGATAATGATCACAAACTGGGTAGGAGCTGCTTGGGAAGAAATGGGAAGGTATTAAAACTACAGGCAAAGAATATTTGAAAAAACTGGCCTCTTAATGACTGCAAACGGCTCTCGTGATAGGTTCATCAACCCACAGGGTTTTAAAGACAATACATTTTGACACTCCAAGCAAGATAAATTTTTGTTTAATGAACTGTTACAGTATTTTTCGGCACAGTACTTGTTATAAAAAAACAAATCTTTAGTTTTAATAATTTTGATTCTGCTTGAGAACACACTACATTGCATTACAAAATTTAAGGGATTACTTTCTGGCATACAGGAATAAAGTATGACGGATTTGAAAATGAGAAACGTTTCAATTTCAGACCTAAAATTGTTTCTTATAAAAGGAGTACTTTGGAAAGAATCTGAGGCTGGTTTCTTATACAAGGGGGTTTCTTATATGCGGGAACCTATTGTAGTAGACTTTAACGGCAAGTTTTTGCAAGTTTCATCGAGTAGCGGTCTTTAACGGGATCCTGGGAGGCAATCATATTATATAAGGAATACAGGAACATCCTGGGAGGAATACGGGATCCTGGGAGGCAATCATATCATATTATACCTTGTGGCCACCCTATATTTCAGTAGTAGAATCCCACCCATCCACCCTTTGTTTAATATATTTTGTCTAAAAAAACCTCATTGACGTCAAAAGATCCTATTGACCTACCATGCTTATTGATCTCACTATGAAAATTACTGCCGCCTATATGAAGATGCTAAGGTAATATGATCAAGATGTACAGTTACTTTATATATTCCAGTCTCCTCAACTTCATTACGAAGACCTGATGATAAAAAAGATCAAGAACGTATTGGATTAGAGTATTGCCACCATGAAATACAGCCGTTGGCTGCAGATTGCCGATTCTCTTTAAGGTCGCTCTGGTTCAATTCTCTTGACTGAAAAACATATTTTATATCCATTGCGGCTGAAACTGAAAGTTTTTACAACTGACCCTCTCTAGCAGGAAGAGGTTACTAAGGACATTTGCGCCAAAGCTCCAAATATAGATGATTTTGGGGAGGGAATGGACAAGAAAAGTACCTTTACTAGTGCCTTTACTTTACAAGAAAAGTACTAGTGCAACGGATTGGTCAGTCCTATCTAGAACCTTGTCCCACTGGTGCAACGGACTGGTCAGTCCTATCTAGAACCTTGTCCCACTGGTACAATGGACTGGTCAGTCCTATCTAGAACCTTTTCCCACTGGTGCAACGGACTGGTCAGTCCTATCTAGAACCTTGTCCCACTGGTACAATGGACTGGTCAGTCCTATCTAGAACCTTTTCCCACTGGTGCAACGGACTGGTCAGTCCTATCTAGAACCTTGTCCCACTGGTACAATGGACTGGTCAGTCCTATCTAGAACCTTGTCCCACTGGTACAATGGACTGTCAGTCCTATCTAGAACCTTTTCCCACTGGTGCAACGGACTGGTCAGTCCTATCTAGAACCTTGTCCCACTGGTACAATGGACTGGTCAGTCCTATCTAGAACCTTTTCCCACTGGTGCAACGGACTGGTCAGTCCTATCTAAACTTGGCCCACTGGTGAAACGGATTGGTCAGTCCAATCTAGAACCGTTTCCCACTGGTGCAACGGACTGGTCAATCCTATCTAGAGTGCAACGGATTGGTCAGTCCTATCCAGAAGCATCGAAACATGAAAGTATAAAAGTTGCACATAGTTTAGATGATTTTTTTATGCTAAAACTGTTTGGGTTATTCCGAAAAGGCAATTTTTGTAAAAAGAAACAAAACGAGGGCTGGTTGGCTTTGGAAAGAGCGAACAAGACTCTTGTAGTAAGGCTACACCATGGAAATTGAGACTCGCTCTATGTTGGGCCCATAAATACCCCTAGTGCAGCTATGAAACCATACACATTATACGTAAACTTATGCGACTTCATGTCCCTATTTGGATATCCAGGAAAGTTTCCTGCCAACAAACTGGCTCTGATATGTTAAATATTCAGCGTTCAATATGCAATGTTAACAAATGTCAACAATCAAAAGGTATAAACTGCACATATATTACTTTAAAAGGACAGTCAGAAATTAAACAATATCTACGGTATCAAAATCGTTAATATTATGGTACTATTTAATATCGTACAATATCAACATTCAAAAGGCATAATTGGCAGATATATTACTGTGAATAGAAAGTCAGAAATTTTTAAACTATCTACGGTATCAAAATCGTTAAAAATATGGTACTGTTTGATATCATACAATATCAACATTCAAAAGGTATAATTGGCAGATATATTACTGTTAATGGAAAGTCAGAAATTCTGAAACTATCTACGGTATCAAAATCGTTATAATTATGGTACTATTTAATATCATACAATATCAACATTCAAAAGGTATAATTGGCAGATATATTACTGTGAATGGAAAGTCAGAAATTCTGAATCTATCTACGGTATCAAAATCGTTATAATTATGGTACTATTCAATATTGTACGATATCAACATTCAAAAGGTATAATTGGCAGAGATATTATTGTGAAAAGAAAGTCAGAAATTTTGAAACTATCTACGGTATCAAAATCGTTAAAATTATGGTACTGTTTAATATCGTACAATATCAACATTCAAAAGGTATAATTGGCAGATATATTACTGTGAATGGAAAGTCAGAAATTCTGAAACTATCTACGGTATCAAAATCGTTATAATTATGGTACTATTCAATATCGTACGATATCAACATTCAAAAGGTATAATTGGTAGAGATATTACTGTGAATGGAAAGTCAGAAATTCTGAAACTATCTACGGTATCAAAATCGTTATAATTATGGTACTATTTAATATCATACAATATCAACATTCAAAAGGTATAATTGGCAGAGATATTATTGTGAATAGAAAGTGAGAAATTTTGAAACTATCTACGGTATAAAAATCGTTATAATTATGGTACTATTTAATATCGTACGATATCAACATGCAAATAGTATAAATAGCAGAGATATTATTGTGAATAGAAATTCAGAAATTTTGAAACTATCTACGGTATCAAAATCGTTAAAATTATGGTACTATTTAATATCGTACGATATCAACATACAAATAGCATAAATAGCAGATGTTACTTTGAATGGACAGTCAGAATATGACAATATTGACGCTATCTAAATCGTTAATATCATGGTACTATCTAATAGCGTACAGAGAGGCTCCAGTATGTAAGCTAGTGAAATCCTGATGTATAACTTACATATCCGTTTTTAAGACCTTGTCTTAATTTACCTTGGCTATCAATTTCTAGCAACTTATGTTTTCCTTTGAACACTGTCGAAAGATATTTCATGTCTTTTTGTTGGTAAATATCATTGAAATGATATGACCTGCAAAACATTAGCTAGTCTTCCGACTGCATATTTCATATAAAGTTACAAAAACCCTAATAAGAATGTCTAGTTCCTCTGTCGATGTCTTTTAGTTCAAGAGCATTGCTACAGTGATTCAATTTGACGGGTCATTGATACTGCTATGATTGTCATCTCTCATTTTACTCTTGACATTGCTCAATTTGTCTTGTCTGTCCTGAATGCTGAAAGACGACAGACACGCACATACAGTTTAGATAAAAATAACACAGGTCATCACTTTTTCTCATCAAAAGTCTTGTTATACTTTATCTTGTGACTTTTTTGTGTGTCGTTATCACAATCCGTTCCTTCGATTTCCAAAAAGCCAAAATGGTCACTGTTGATCAAAACTTGTGGCGCTGTCAATATTGTTTGTTGCAGTGTTTGATGAATGGCATTCTTTTTTAATAGATTTTCCAAACCGTCCAGAAAATGCTGTGTGCATCTGAAGTGCTATATCTAGGTGCAAAGGCTCATTGTCACTTTCAATTATATTACAAAGCCTTTCTATATATTTTACTAGCTCTACACTACTGCTTGTAATTTATTCTAAGCAGTTGTCATACAGACTTGAACTGTCTTTTTTGGTCAAGAACGCTAACATCTAATCTATAACAAATTTTAATAAAAAGCGAAATTTTTATGCATTAAATATCTCAAAACATGGCCTAACCAAGTCAAATTTGAGATTAACATAAAGCATTCTGCATTTTTCATAAAACATCTCTGAAGATTGTAAAACGCTAAAATTTGATGCCTT